CACCTTCGCCTTTTCGCATAAGATGCGTTCTAAGATTGCATCCCGTCTGGACTCTTTCGCGTTTAGCCGCTCCAACAGCTTTCTGTCCGTGATCTTGGGTTTGTACGCTTGGGCGCGAAGGGCGGGGAGGTTCAGCTCTTCCGGGGCGACCGCATTAGAACCATATGTCAAGGCGAATTGAGTTTCACCCGTAGCGGTTTTATGTGTCGTGCGATGCGCCCATAGGACATGCGGGATTTCGCTTGTCCATGTCCCTTTCGGCCCTTAGAGGATCAGCTTGTTTGATGTTTCGGCCTGACCGTTTGTCTGCGGGTATGCCACGGAGGCCATCGCGTATGCCATGCGGTTTCTGGCGCAGAAGTTTTCGAATGGTCGACCGTCGAATTGGGTGGTGGAGAGTGTTGTTTTCTCGAACGGTCGTTTGACACATTTCGCGTTATTCTTTTAAACCTTTCGAAAGGTTTTTCTCCTTTGAGCCTGTCGGGAGGCGTGAGAGCCTGTCGGAAGACGTTTTTCCTTTAGGCCTGTCGGAATGCGTTTTTCTTCAAGCTTACCCGGAGGCGTGTGGGCTTGTCGGCACTAGAAGGTGGAATATTCCCGTGGTGGGAGTGTCGCTCGTCGACTTTGACATTTTCGTGAAGAGAGCGCTCGATGGGAGCGTCTTCAAGAGGCGAGATATCCTCATAGTCTTTTGGCTTCTAAGAAGCGCGTGAGTCATCAGCTTCTTGGGCGGATATGAGGTACTTCAGACTGTGTCTGAGTAGTACTTTCTCAGGCGCCTGTCATTCCGTGTTTGTGGGGACTGGGACGCCCTCCATGGTTGCATTACGCTTGTCGCGGTTTTACCTTTCATGTTTGAGCACGGAGGGAGGGTAAGTTTACTTCATCTGGGGCGACCGTTTTGGTGCCGTATGTCAGAGCGAAGGGGGTATCTCCCGTGGCCGTCTTGTAGGTCGTGTGATGCGACCATAGGATGTGTAGGAGCTCAGTCATCCTTGCCCCTTAAGCGCCTCGGAGACGCTCGTTTGAGGGTACATCACTGATGCTTTGGTGTCCATGGCGTGGTTTGGCGCGCGAGGATTATTCTGCTATCCTTTCAAGCTTCTCGGGAGGTGCCTCCTCTTTGAGCTTGTTGGGAGGTATGTGAGCCTGTTGGAAGGCGTTTTCTTTAGGTCCTGTCGGGAGGCGTTTCTCCTCCAGCCTATTAGGGGGTGTGTGAGCCTATCGACAGGTGTTTTGATGATGGCGATATGCTTGTGAAAAGCGAGATTGGGCTTTTCGCCTTAGTGGAAGATGCATTCCCGTGAGATGAGCATCTCATGGAGGCGAAATATACTCGACGAGAGTGTCGTTGTGAGGTGGAACATTCCCCGAAGGGCGCGTCGCTGGGAGGCGATTTTCGGGCCTTGCCCGGAGGTGGAAGGCACGAATCGTGCCTAGAGGGAGGGTCGGTCATCGGCGAAATCATCGCTCAAAGGGAGTATCGCTCGGGGGCGGTTTTTGGGCCTTGCCCCGAAGGCGGAAGGCGTGAATCGTTCCCGGAGGGAGCATCGCTCAAAGGGAGTATCGCTCGGGGGCGGTTTTTGGGCCTTGCCCCGAAGGCGGAAGGCGTGAATCGTTCCCGGAGGGAGCATCGCTCAAAGGGAGTATCGCTCGAGGGCGGTTTTTGGGCCTTGCCCCGAAGGCGGAAGGCGTGAATCGTTCCCGGAGGGAGCATCACTCATAGGCAGAAACTATTCGCCGAAAGGAGCATTGCTCGGAGGCGAATTTTGGACCGTGCCCGGGGGCTTGAAGCATGGCACTTGAGATATATTTTTGTACAAAATATTTACCTTTGTGATTTGCCGTAGGAAAGGTAAGAGTCAAATTCCGAGTGCTACAAATCATTTGTACAAGACCTCACTGTAGCATACTGGTGAGCGCCGTTCATCTTATCGAGTTAGGACTCGCATCCAAATCCTGGCATAGGCACTTCGTTTTTTGTATAGAAGGCTTGTTGCTGGGCAGGAGGATGGAGGGGGTTTACGTTGTCGACTTGGAGAGGGTTATGCTGTGCCCGCACAATGGGCCTCTACGTGGGTGCCGTTGGCCGGGCGGGTCGTGATTGTATGTGAGACCACGTTCGCAGAAGAGGTTGCGATTCTTGACATAGATATGGGGTTGCACCTGGTATGAGGTGCGCCTAGTGAGACAGGTTTACTGAAGGCAAGTCTTATTTTCAGCCTACCGGGAGGCGCTCCTTTTTTCAGCCTATCGGGAGGCCTGTCTACTTTTAGCCTATCGGGAGGCGTTTCTTCCTGGTCTATCGAGAGACATTCTGTCTTTCAGCCTTCTGGGAGGCGTGTTTTCCCTTAGCCTATCGGGCGGCGTTTATCTCATGACTTTGCGGGAAGCGCTGTGGAGTCTTTGAACAAACAGAGAGCTTAGCCTAGGAGGCATGAAATATGATTAGTATGCGGTTTTACATCTGCGAAGGATGTGAGTGACAAACATAAGCATAGCATGCGTGAAATATGTCATAGCATGGGATGTAGTGAGAAAACATTATTGTGTGCTATTGGGAGCGGTCTGCATGGCATAGTATTTGAATATATCGTAGAAGGAAGTACTTAGCTTGAGAATAAGCGGTAGAAGACAGCTGGGAAGCGGTTTAAGTAAGACGAGTCGCTTTCTGATCCTCAAGGCGGTCTTGTGGCAGACTGGTAATTGCCCCTGCCTTTTGGACTTTCGGACGAAGGGGTCCGCGTGCGAGACGGATCGCGTTGATGAGGGAGGCGACCCATCGACGATGGATAGGATCGCCTTGGAGAATCGGATGTGGAGCGAGGCGGTCCCGGTCTTGCATCCGCTCGGAGGTGGAGCGAGGCGGTCCCAGCCTTGGGCTCCTGGCATGTTGGAGACGAGCCTGCAGTTGGGCCGTGTTCGGTTCCTGCGCTGGATCTTGAAAAAATAGCTAAAAGGCGGCTGCCCCTAGTGACATGAGAAGATGTTGTCGCCAGCCAGTTGGCGTTCTTGTATCCTAATTAATGCGGGTTCGAATCTTGGCCAGGAAATTCCTTATTTTTTATTTCGTTAAGAATGAAGTCTGCTCAACTAAATGAGTAGCGCCTCGGACTCCACTGTGGGCTTCCTTCGCAAGGCGGGTCGTGGATGGATGTGAGCCTGGTAAGGCTGCTTAGAGGGCGGTCACCTCCGGTTTGAGGTGCGTCGACTTTGAATGCAGGGGCGGTCCTTGAGCCCAAGGGTTGTGAGATGTTTGTAAAGCAATGATGATTTACCGCTGCGTTTGTAAAGCAAAAGGTATCCTCGTAGTGTACTGGTTGTGTGAGCTCCTTTGTGGGGAGATGATGTGGGTTTGAAACCCACCTATGATGTTTTGCTCTCTGGGCGCTCCTTGAAGTGTCAAGGGTACCTCCGAAAATTTCTATCACCCCTTCCGGGAGGGAGGCATACCACGTCCGAAAATGACCGCTGAAGGTAACAGGAAACGCTCGGCACAAGACGGAGTCCGAGGCGTTGATGCACTGCACCTTTGACATGAACGCGCAAAGGTGGTCCGCGGGATCTGAGGTCCCATTGTACGCGGGTAGTCCGAGGGAGGAGGAGTTTGGCAGTGATGGGGTCTTGAACAGCTCCTCGGAGAGCGGGTTTTTGAAGAACATTGGGACTCTTGTGCTTCCCGTAAGTCGACCGTAAATGTTTTTCAAGGATGCCTAGATCTGCACCTCTTCTCGCGTCCTTCCCCTCGACCCTTCAGGAGGGTTTTCCCTCGTTTTCGGTAGTTAGAGGATTCGCGACAGGCTGTCTTGCATGTTCGCGATTTGCAAGTCATGACCTTCGACTATCTCTTCAAACTCCGATTCGTCTTCGACTCTCGGCGATAGACCCCGGAGGGTGTTGTTCTGGGTCGTTCCCTTGAGAGGAGCTTCGAAGCCGTCTCCCATTTTTTCCGGTGACGAAGTCGTGAAGCCCCACGGTGGGCGCCAAAATGTTTATGCCTGGAATGTACCGGGCGGTTTGCGAGGCTTCACAGTCTTCGTGCGGTCTTGGGAGGATGAGAGGCGACCTTCGAAGTCCTGCAACAAAGGTCCTCAGGGGAGCCCTGGGACCTCCTCCGATGCCTAAGTTAGTGAGAGAAGTGGATATAATGAATAAGAGAGAGAATGGAGTAGATAGAAGTTACCCCAAATGTGTCCCATGAGTGGGTATTTATACTAGTGGATGTCGGAGTGAGGATAATTAATGCCCTGTCGGGCGTCCAAGGTCGCATAAGGACCTGTTCTCAGGAGGCTGTCAGGATCGTACCTTTGTCAGCCTTCGTACTGAGGTGTCAGACGAACTTTGTTCCCGAGTGTCGGGTGGTTACCCAGGGACCCGATCAGACGATGTCAGGCGGTTCTTCCTGGTCAGAGGCGCGGAAGACTGCCTTTGGACCACTGTCCGATGTATTTTCGGGCCCATCTGGGTTGGGCTTGCTCGCCTTTCTGGGCCTCTTGGTGTTTATGGGCTTGGTGGCCCATGTGTCTTAATGATTGGCCCAACACTATTTCTTAGATTTTCTTTGTTTCTAATATGACAGAGTATGTCAATTACGGATCATATCGAGCAAAGATTCGGCCATCAACAAACATAGTACAGTTAGTACGGATCATATCGAGCAAATAATTCAATGAGCTCTAACTCCAATATAATTTTCGCTTGCAAACGAAGGAAAAGGATATTACTAGAGAGATAAATATATCCAGCCAAAAGTGAACCCGTGCAGCTAATTACATCTTCATCTTATTCTGGAGCTCAATTTACTTTACTATAGATCCAATCATTATATCTCGATTACGAATCAAGTTATAAGTAGCAGTGAGTTGTTATCGGATCAACAACAACCATAATCAAATTAGTATAAATGAAATCAAGTATAATTCACAATGAATAGCAGTTCTCTCACACAAGAGAAAATTAGATAGAATCGAAATTCAAAACTACACTGTAATTCCCAAAAAAAATTTATCATTGATCAAATAGAGTATCTCTAGATTAGTAAACTAGAAGCTGATTAGGTAAACTCCTTAGTCGGACCCGTGCCAGAATCAAATCCCTGATTGTTGCCCGTTGACTGACTTTTTGGCGGGGAGAGTGATCATTGGGTCCCAATTCGATGGTTCGCCGTCGTAATTATTACAGTTTCCAGTGTCATTTCCCCCAACCCGTCCCCTTAGAAAAACTCCCCCTCCCTTCTTTCCATTTCTCAGCCAATCGTCCCCGTCAGGTTGCCGGCAACTTCCCCTCAAAATACCGCCGCAATGACAAGACTACCCTTTCTTCTCCTCCTCCTCCTCTTCCTCGCCGCCGTACCCTTCCACGTAATTTCTCAGGACGAACGGACCATCCTCCTCAACCTCAAGCGCCAGCTCGGCGACCCACCTTCCCTCCAATCCTGGACAGCCACCACCGCCGCCTGCTCCTGGCCGGGAATCACCTGCACCGACGACGGCGGCGGCGTCACCGAGCTCCTCCTCTCCAACCAAAACATCACGGTTCCGATCCCCTCAACGGTCTGCGACCTCAGAAACCTCACCCGCCTGATCTTGTCATGGAACTACATCCCCGGCGGCTTCCCAACCATTCTCTACAACTGCTCCAAGCTTCAGTACCTCGACCTCTCCCAGAACTACTTCGTGGGACCACTCCCCGGCGACATCCACCGCCTCTCCACCTCCCTCGCCTTCATCGACATCGGCGGGAACAACTTCACCGGCGACATCCCTTCCTCCATCGGCAACCTGACCAGCCTCCGCTCTCTGTATCTCTACCAGAACCAATTCAATGGGACTTTCCCTAAGGAGATCGGGAACCTCGAAAATCTCGAGGAATTGGGGATGGCGTATAATGGGTTTGTTCCTTCTCCGATTCCCCCCGAGTTCGGCCGGCTGAAGAAGTTAACCTACGTCTGGATTCGAAACGCTAATCTGATTGGGGAAGTGCCGGAGTGGTTGGCCGGTAATTTGAATCTTGAGCACATCGATTTGGCAGGGAACAACTTGGAAGGCGGGATTCCAAGCGGGATTTTCACGCTCCCAGATCTGAAGTTTCTCTACCTCTTCCACAATGAACTGTCCGGCGAGATCCCGACGAAGGTGGAGGCGTTGAATTTGGCGGAAATTGATATTTCAATGAACAATCTCACGGGCTCTGTTCCCGGGGAGTTTGGGAAGCTGCAGAAGCTGGAGATTCTGAATCTATTCAACAACAAATTACACGGGGAGCTTCCCAGCAGCATCGGCCTGCTTCCATCGCTGAAAGAGATCAAGATATTCACCAACAACTTCACCGGGGAACTGCCGCCGGAGATGGGTTTACATTCACGGCTCGAGATTTTCGATATCGCGACGAACGGATTCTCCGGCAAGCTCCCGACGAATCTCTGCGCTGGAGGGGTGCTTGCTGGGCTGGTTGCGCAATCGAACCATTTAAGCGGAGAGGTTCCTAGTTCGATCGGGGATTGTGGGACTCTGAGAACGGTTCAGCTCTACGGCAACAATTTTTCAGGGGAGGTTCCGTCGGGGATATGGACAGCGGTCAACATGACGTACTTGATGCTGAGCGACAATTCATTCTCCGGCGCACTCCCGGCCTCCATAGCCTGGAATCTGTCGAGATTGGAGCTTAACAACAACAGGTTTACAGGGCCGTTACCCAAAGGAGTCGCGAATTGGAAAGGCCTGGTTGTTTTCGAAGCCAGCAACAATCAGATCTCCGGCGAGATCCCGGTGGAATTAACCAGCCTTTCAAGTCTAACCACACTCCTACTAGATGGGAATCAGCTGTCCGGCCAAATTCCATCCACGATTCTGTCTTGGAGATCGCTCTCCTCTCTGGATCTCTCGAGAAACAAGCTCACCGGCTCAATTCCGCCGGCGGTCGGGGACCTACCCGACCTCCTCGATCTGGACCTTTCCGAAAATCAACTCTCCGGCGATATCCCCAAGGAGTTCAGCAATCTCCGGCTAACCGCCCTCAATTTGGCGTCAAATCAACTCTCCGGGAAAATTCCAGACGATTACAACAATCTCGCTTACGAGAACAGCTTCGCAAACAACTCGAATCTCTGCGCCGTGAACCCAGTTCTAAACCTTCCCAACTGCAGAAACCGAGGCGGCGGAATCAACGGCGGCAGCTCGAGCAACAGACTTTCCCCAAAGTATCTAGCCATGATCCTCGCGCTGGCGGTGATCGTATTCCTGTTCGCCTCTCTGGTCACATTCTCGGCCATTAGGGATCTGAGAAGGAAGAAGCACAGACGAGATCTCGCGGCATGGAAGCTGACGTCGTTCCAGAGGGTGGATTTCACGGCGGCGAACGTTTTGGCGAGCCTGACGGAGAGAAACGTAGTGGGAAGCGGCGGGTCGGGTAAAGTTTACCGGATTCCTTCCAACAGGGAAGGGCAGTTCTTGGCCGTGAAGCGGATTTGGAGCAATAACTTGGAGCTTGACGAGAAGCTGGAGAAGGAATTTGCTGCGGAGATTCAAATCCTGGGCACGATCAGGCACGCCAACATAGTCAAGCTGTTGTGCTGCATTTCGAGCCCCGATTCGAAGCTGTTGGTGTACGAGTACATGGAGAATCGGAGCCTCGACAGGTGGCTCCACCGCGGCGAATTGGCGTCGGAGACGAATGCTGCTGATGTGCTGGATTGGCCGACCAGGCTGCAGATCGCGTCTGGAGCTGCACAGGGTCTCTGCTACATGCACCACGAGTGTTCTCAACCGATCCTTCATAGAGACGTGAAATCCAGCAACATCCTTCTGGATTCTCAGTTCAAACCTCGAATCGCAGATTTCGGGCTGGCGAAGATATTGTCCAAGTCTGGAGACCCTGAGACTGTGTCTGCGGTAGCAGGCTCGTTCGGATACTTCGCTCCAGGTAAAGCTCATCGCTCGAAGTTGTTAATAATCGATCGATCTAATCGTTGCTTTCGAAGTCCTGTTTGTGTTATGGTTGTCTTATTGGAATGCATTGTGTTTCTGCAGAGTATGCTTACACGACGAGAGTGAATGAGAAGATCGACGTGTACAGTTTTGGAGTGGTGCTACTAGAGCTGGTGACTGGAAGGCAGGCAAACTGCGGAGGAGAGAACACTAGCCTGGCAGAATGGGCATGGCGGCAAATTGGAGAGGGCAAACCAGTAGAAGATTGTCTTGATCAGGAGATCAAGGAAGAGAGCAATGTAGAGGAAATGATGACAGTGTTCAAGTTAGGGTTGATATGCACGAGCACAATGCCATCGACGAGACCCTCGATGAAGGAGGTCGTGCAAGTTCTGAGGAGACTGTGTCCGATAGAGTACGAGAAGAACGGGGAGAAGAGGAACTACGACAGCAAGGGTGGTCGCGAGTTCGACGTGGCCCCTCTGCTTGGCAATGGGGTTGCCTATCTAGCTAGTTACAGGCGGAGCAAGAAGGTGACAGACGTTGATATTGATGACACCTACAGCGTCTGAACTTCTGCCATTTCTCTAGTCTTGTTAGTACACTGTAGAATAACATCCCATGTAAGTGGTCAATAGAGAACCAGGTTTTGCACAAACGAGGGAACAGAGGGAATGTATATATTATATGGCTATGACAATAAACCCTCTCCATTACACAAGAGATATCATAAGTATCACTGTGTTCGACCCGGCTTTTTCAGGAACGCGTACTTCTAAAGCGCAAGCCAGAGGTTCTGCAAGCTTAGGTGTACTTCATAACCAGTGGTTCCCTTGCGAAAACAACTCAATCTGATATCCTCTTATATAATGTACACTTGAAACGATTCCTCAACAGAGTTTGGATCCTACTGATTTAAAACATGAAAACATAAGTCTGAAAAGAGAACAAACGGACCACAATTCCAGCAGACAATGAAAACAAATAGTTTCGTAATCATCCAAGATGTGAATCTTGCCAGCATTGTGGCTTTCACGGGCACCAGACATCCGAACAGCTTAGCCTCATGCTTAGCTTTAGATGAAGCACCCAAACCACCAAGCGATGCAGCATGCCTCAACCCAGCTCCAGCTCTACCGTGTTTAGGTGCTCACACCTGGAGAAAACAAGACGGAGGGGCCAGCAAATAAATGCTGCACTTACCATGAACTTCAAGCTGCTCATTCACTTTACCTCATACTGTTGATTTGAGACTCAGCCTGACAGAAGAAGAAAAGCCATAGAGAACAACCGAAACAACAAAAAAGCATAAAAGATATCACGACTTAGCAGATGTAAACTTAGGGTTGTATAAAATCATGCCTCATCAACGGCCTCTGCAAAGAATCTGACCTCGATGATCCGTCTTGAGATTGCATAGCTGTCCCGCCAGTGTTGCACTAGAAAATATACAAGCGAAGGCAAATTAAGAATCAAAAGTTAGCCTCCTCGTTTGGGAAATGAAAGCAAAATATTAAACAGAGAGTAAATGTATCCAGCTGTAAAATATGTTCAGGTAGTTCTTTGTTAGCAACAGTTACTCGAAAAATAGCACGTATAGACTATAGTGGTGGTGCAGGACCTGCCACCATAAGCACCAGTTAGGAAATTCTCCGCATAAAACAAGTGGGGCAAAGAGAGAAAATAATCAAAGAAGAAAAGTTTCACATTCAACTTTGACTGGTCAGAATTCATGCAATATTCAATTGAAGGGGAGCATAAACATTATCACTCAGATTTCTGGACCTCAATAGTAGATTCCTTAAAACTGATTTTTCACTGGCATGCTGGGAAATGCTCCAACTCCATCAAACAATGGAAAGAAAGTAGGCAATATGGCAATCAGGTACGAACGAGTGGATGAACAGAGGTATTAGTGGAAGAAAACAATTTCAAGTCAGCAATCAACGATTAGGACCTCTAGTTCTTCAGGCAAGCCATTTGCAATCTGTCCTTTCCCACTCGGACATCTATTCTCCAGAACTGAGCCCAAATCTGTAGCATCTTCACCCTGCAAAGATCCTCCCGTTGTCACTATCTTCCGAACTTCAGATAGCCCCTTCCATTACTTTTACACCATTAAACCCAAAAACCTTAAACAGAATTACTCACCTCGCAATTGAGGTTCCGATTGCTGGAACTAGAGCACATTACATCCTTTTCCCCAAGCACTACAAAAGTCTGATTAGACGGTACAATTGGCACCGCTTCAACCTCAACTCCAACCCTTGTCAAATTTAAGAATCCCTCAGAGGACCCGTTTGCTGTACCCTCTTCCAAACAAGTTTCAACTACCCCAACTCGGCATTCGCTTGGGTCAGGAGCATGCTGCCATTCAGCCACCAAATCCATTGGTTCTGGCTCATTCATTGCTAAGGAGGATATATAGTCTTGTGATGAAACTTGTCTGCTTAAGTCACCCCCCTGATCTTCAGTTTCAAACCCTTTGGAATCACAAACAACCGGGTCTCCATTTTCACCGTTGTCCTGTCCACTACATGATGTAAATGGAGCATTATTATCAACATCAGCCAGATTTGAAGAAAAGCCCATTTTAACCACCTCGTGGAAGCTCTCTAAAAGTGGTCCAACAGACCTAGTTCTACAGAGTTCTGGAGAAACAGACAGCAGTTTCTGTGGACTTTCAGAGGCACACTTGACTCGTTTTACAGCTGCCATTTCACCATCATGTTTTCTCTTAAGCTGCTCTTCAATGGATCCAGATGGAGACTTTCCAACATCATCATTAGCTTTTCCAGCCTGCTGCTGATTTAAATGCCTAGAATGCCGAGAACGTCTGTGTCCCTCTGGGAAAACATAAGTAGGAAGCTGCCTTCTTCGAACATGAGCAACAGAAATATCCATTCCCGGTTTCCAGAACACGTACATGTTTATATCTTGCCTAAATTCATCAACTGTTCCCCTTATATCAAATTGCTGGCCTTCTTGAGGACTTATTCCCTCTTTCCTCTGCAACCCCGTGAAAAAAGCACAATGAGGGAATTGTCTTGACATGTCAGTGTACACATGCGGATAAGGATGGCACTGCAGCATCCCATTTGTATCTCGCTCGATCTGCAGAACGATTGATAGGAAAAATCTCTCATTATGTAAAAAAAAACATGAGCATGATCTGAAACAATAAGTTTAAGGTGCAATCCCTTACTTTCAAAGTAAGTTGTCTAAGACGTGACTCAACCCAGCCTTTCCAAGCTAACAGATCATCAGCATCTGCTGCAATTATATCAACCTGGAGGTAATTTTTGTATGAAGCAAAAAATGGATAAGGCTCAAATAGCGCACTCCAATGGGCCTTGCTGACCTCAATCTCCTACAGGCAAGAGAAGAAACAACAAAGGGCATCAATAGCATAATGTTAGGCAACCTTAAGAAAGATATTACAATTATGCTCTCACCTCGCAAGTCCTGTTACCAAATTGAAATTGTTCGATCATAACACGGAGAGTACTTATCGAGACGTTATAGCTAGAATTCATGCAAGGATAAGCTGGAGTTATTATAGGCATATGATGAAGTCGATCTCTGGGGTTTTTACGGGGATCCCACATTGAAAATCCGAGTTTATCTCCTTCTATTGAGCACAACATCACAGGATTTGGCCAACGCCACAGAGTATACACTCTGAAAAATCGAGAAACCAACATGCTAGGGATTGCGTTGGGATAAAGCTGGCACACTCGAGCAACAAGAAGGGCCCAGTTTACACCACCAAGGAAACCAGTGACCTACAGACAAGTGACATGTAAATGGAAATCACACAAGTATACTAAGAAACAACCTGACAGGAAAAAGAGAACGCTCATCTTACATTAGAATAAACACCTCGCCTTTTAGCCCAAAACTTCAAACATCTGAGTGTTGTTCGAAAATGCTAGAATTTTATAAAAAGGAAACAATGATCAGAATCAAATCCACTAACAAAAAGGGAAACTAGATAAAAAAGGAAACAATGATCAGAATCACCTCAGCATTTGGAACAAGCTTGAGAATTTGATCCGCTACCCTGCATCCATTAAGGCTACGAACAGTTTGTTCATCCACATCATGCAGCACGGACCCATTAGAGATGTCCAGATCCTGTCAGAAAGTAGCGTCAGGATTTAACTGGACAAGAGGAAGGAAACATTGACCAGAAACAGCAAACTCAAAAGCAGTCTCTTAGATAGAAAAGTGAAAGACTGGTCTTTATCAGAAAAACAAACTCCAGAAGCCAATACAGTATAAACTAGTAATGACAAGCTCTAGATAAACAAAACAGTTAGCAGAAAGGAGAGAGTGAGAGAGAGAGAGAGGAGAAGACAAAGAAATAGTGAAGCAAACTAAACAGTCAGGTAGCAAAAACCACTAAACATCACCATAACAAGCAGCTGAAACTAGAATTAGCAGATGGCCAAAGAACAAACAAATCAAGCTTGTCTCATAAGGCTCAAGCACTAGCACTAATTACCAATAAGCCCATTACAGAAGCTGAAACTCAAGATTGGTAAAAAACGGCATTCATCGATAAATTAACTCAGTAATCAAGTGTAGTTCATGTTTTAGAGATGAGAAGACTCACCTCTGGAACAACCAAAAGAGAAATACTTGCATAAAGTAGATCAATAGATATCCCCAAGAATCTGAATTTCATTACAGGGACATGAGCATCTGGAACTGGTTGAAGCTCTGTAACTTCCTCCATTTCAGCAAGCAAATCATGCAAGATAATGAAGAAATCTTCCTGTAACAGGTATGAGAAGCATTCAAAAACAGTGAAGAAATGACATGTAAGTATGCATTCAAGGACGATAGCAAGTTTCAAAAGTCACCTCACGGTTGACATAAGATGGACCCACACACAATGTATCCACATCTGCCCCAGGACCATGCACCTGCTCAATAAGCATATCTCATAATTTCCAATCAGAATTCCGGGGAGAAGGTAAATACTCTAGAAGATTACTGAATACTTCAAGGGAAAACATAGACGAGAAGGATAATACCGCCCTCAAGGGCCATCCATGAGTGAAGCTTACTAAGTAAAATAATGAGCGTTCCTGCAAATACTAATAGAACCTGTCAGGCTATCCTTGCCAGTTAGTCAAGACAAGGCTTGCCCACTCAACCACCACGGCACCACCTTAAATGGTCCCTATATCTTGACTTGCAGCCAAGTTATTAAGGCAAGAGAGTAACAGCAATAATGCAATATCCAAAACCTGAGCCATTTTCATATCCATAGAATCAAGGAATTATGCAGGAACAAAACCAGCTTAACTTCGCCTGGGTATTATTTCATCACAAACGCTCAAAACTTTATACGGGAAGGGAGCACACTACGGGAATAGAATATAGAAAAGTGAGAAATATAGCCTTCTCCTGACTGCTTGTAGGCGGTCTACAGTCTCACACTCAAGAAGAAGCAGAATCCTTGTATGCATTGCAATATCCTCAGTAGACAGAGAAAAGAAAACATAACCTAGACTTACTCCAAGACGGTAAGACCCAAAAGTGAAAAGAACTGCATTTGCTTCCTCCACCGTCTGATCGGTGTAGCCCCTCAAGCGCGTCAGTTGCTTGACCCAAGCTTTGACAATCTGCAGGTCAAGGTAAAGAGCTCTCATGAAGTTTGCGCTAATTCCAGTTAACCACTGCAGACCGGCAAGGTAATATAATAAACTCACAAGGTTACCTGATCAATCCTGCCAAGTACCTCCTGCCTCTGTTCAGCTTCTTCTTTGGTCTCATACAACCCAGAATCAACCAAAAACTGTCCAGCATCACACCAAGGAAAGACAAAGCACGAAACTTTCTCAACAGTAAGCTAAGACACGGAAGATGGGTTTTTTTTTTATCTATGGGAAAAACACCGGTCTACCTTCTCCAAATTAGCATTCCGCTGAATATCAGCCTCTGAAGGGCCAGCAAGGAAGACTTTATTAGTAATGCCACCTCTTCTCTTGTTCCCCGATTGAGTGGACGAAGCCACGTTCGGACTCTGCGAACCCACCACCATTTTTCCCCTCAATTTACCGGAACCGACGGAGATGATAATCTGGGAAGTCCCGACGGAGACGAGACTTAGGGCAGCAGAATAAGAGATGGGAAAACAAAAAGATCGGAACCCTAGATTCTGACCGGTTGTGGAAAATGTAACGGGGCAGGGTGAATCGAGAAATCAATCGTTTGTTCAATGGCGGCGAGATAGAAGGGATGGAGATTGTGAGACAGTGAGAGAGGGAAGCAGTAGCGGAAGAGAAGGGAACGGAATGGAGTATGGAGGGTGGAGAAGAGGAAAGGTCGAGGAGCGACTGGAGAGAACGGTGAAGAAAGAGAAGACGGAAGTAAAGGGAACGAGGGTTTTTTTTATAAATTCGAAACGACGTTTCGAGGTGGGGGCCAGCAGCAGCCTTCCCGCGGATTGCCGTCCGTTTTCTCGGTTGGGAACTTGGGATACCGCGCGACTTTTTATTACGGAGTCGTTACTGTGAAACTACCTCCGCACCCTCATATAATGATCCTATCATCGGGCGCGCTTTATAGCACAATCCCCGTTTTCTACAAGCGTTTCCCACGTTTAAGTTTTTTTTTTTTTTACGGGTGACATGTAAGGCTGTAACCCCACGTTTAAGTTAGGGAACTAACTTCCAATTCCTCCTCTGGCCGCCTGAGAGCCTCCACCCGACGACTATTTGAAGTTCAACTTCAACGTAACTGTTCGTGACTCAGGATACTCATTTAGTCTTGATATCCGTGGGTCAGACGGGCATGTGGTGCTGGCAGCCGATATGTGTCACCAGGGAGTAGTCTACCCCTTCATGGCATAACTCCTAGCTGTAAGAGATGTTATCTCCATTGTTGTCTCAAGACCTTGTCTCTCGTGATAGTGGAAGGTGATTCCGAGGAGTTCGTCACCAGATCCGTCATGATGTCATAGAAGGTTCATTTGGAGGTCCAGTGCTGCGGGAGTATCGTCAGATCGTAAACTCTTTGTCAGTTTGTATATAGTTTAGGGTGGTTCATAGAGCCATCAACAGTGTTGCCCATTGAGTGGCATGTAAAGCACCGCTTTTGTCTCTAGTAGAGTTAGAGTCTTTCGACTTTATTTGTGTGGCTCCATTAGAGTGTCGTTTGTAGTGGGTTCCTGGGTAATTTTGTTTCTATAACTCTTGTCCTCTTTTGATAACACTCCGGGGCTGCTAATAGGGTGTCGTTTGGAAAGTATGGTAAATTACATCAATTTTAATATATCATATATGTGTTATGTATATAATAATTCATTACGAGAGTGTTTAGATGGATCGATTAAAAAGAAGATCATTTACCATTTTAATTTGAATTAAAATGAATTAATTTGAATTAGTCATTTGTAAAATAACTAGTTTTTAGAAAACATTTAATGTAAAATTTTAACTTATTGAGTATTTTCTTCAAGATGCATAGTCAAATGATTAAACCCTAATGCGTCATTGAACATGTATATACTTATTATATGTTGAGATACTTGCCTCAATATGATCTAGTGTTGTTCCAACTTCCAATGCCTACTAAATTTGTTAGTTGAAGAACAAATTGCACAAGGGGTATGTTGAAGAACACTCTTATTTAGCTCAAATGTAAGAACCCACAGGCGGCTGGAGATTGGAGGCGTGTTGGGAATGAAGAGTGTCGACAAACATCAGAAATATCTGGGACTGGCTACCGAGGCTGGAAGATCGAAGAAGCTGTTGTTCGAAGGGATCAAGGAGAGGCTTCGGAATAAGCTAAGTGGGTGGAAGGAGAAGACTCTGTCGGTAGCAGCAAGAGAGGTTCTTATTAAATCTGTGGCGCAAGCACAATTTAGCTATGCGATGTCAGTTTTCAGGGTACCGGATGGTACGTTGGATGAAGCCCACAGCATGATCATGACAGCGAGCATCGGAAAGAAGATCGCACGACTTGCGACGGGAGGAGTTGGTGAACCGGAAGGAGGATGGCGGTATGGGTTTCAGGGATTTGAAGGGGTTCAACGAGGCCATGTTAGCAAAGCAATTGTGGAACCTGCTGAAGCGCCCAAATTCTCTTATTGCCCGCATCCTAAAAGCGAAATACCATAAGAATTCGACAATTTTGGATGCAACTTTGGGTCACAGGCCGAGCTATGTTTGGCGTAGCCTGCTTAGTGCACAGGAACTGTTGAATCGGGGGTTAAGATGGCGGATTGGAGCTGGAACGGATGTGAAAATCTGGGGCGATCGATGGGTACCGGGGCTCCCCGGTCAGTTTATACCCTCGGCGCCAATGGGACTGCCGGTTGATGCTGCTGTTAGGGAGCTGGTAGACCCAGAGCTGGAATGTTGGGATGATACGATTTTGGAGAGCTGCTTCCCATCGGACGTTGTGAGGGCTATTAAGCAAATCCCCTTGAGGGGAAATGGGGAGGTCGACACTCTGATCTGGCATGACAGTAAGGCTGGAACTTATACTGTGAGGGAGGGGTACCAGTTGTGGCTGGCGGACTTCTTGCGGCAAAAAGGAGTGTTGACGCGAGGGGCGACGAAAGTATGGAGGGAGATCTGGAAGCTTAATATCCCACCAAAGATAAGACATTTTATTTGGCGGTTTATGAGAGAGATTTTACCCACAGGTGTAAAAGTAAATAGTCGCGATCCCCGACGAAGTGATAGGTGCCCGTTCTGTGACTTTGTCGAAACCCAGCAGCACACTTTTTGTGAATGCGAGTGGATGTCCAGGATTTGGAGACAGTCAGAGTTCGTGGGTCTATTCCAATTGAAGAAGGAGGAAGATTCTTTTTACCTATGGGTTAAGACGGCTTTGGAGGTGGGAAATAGGGAGAAGTTTGAAGGGTGGTGTGTTCTGCTCTGGTATCTCTGGAAGGAAAGAAATGCCCATTTGTTTAATGGGGCAAAAGTACCCGAAGAGGAGATAGTGGTGCGGGCAAAATACCTACTAGAAGATTATAGAACCCATCAAGGAAGACAGGTAGAACAGACGGTGACCACGGTGAGGAAAGGGTGGAAAAGGCCGACTGCAGGGTGGTTCTCAGTTTGCACAGATGCAGGCATATTGGGTGAAGAAGGAGCTGGGTTGGGCGTTGTTATTCGGGATTCCAATGGCCGGTTCTGCCTGGCAGCGACAAAGAGAGTCCCTGGGAGTTGGAAGGTGGAGGAAGCCGAAGCTTTGGCTGCTGAGTTCGGGGCGCAAATGGCGGTCCATGGACACTTTCAGAAGGTAGTGCTGGAGTCGGACTGTCAAGTTATTATACATAAGCTGCAGGCGGCGCATGAGGTTCAAGACGAGGTAGGGGTGATTTGCAGAAATGTAAAGCGTTTATTGCAAGGAACAGGTTAGTGTAGTTGGCACCACATCTGCAGGGAAGCTAATGAAGCTGCCCACGTAATGGCGCACGCCATGTCGAGTTGGAATGAGAGTGTGATTTGGTTCGATAGCCCTCCGGGGTTCCTTCTTAATCAGCTTCAGCTGGACGATGTAACCGCTCTAACTGATTAATAAAGCTTATACAGATCTCAGTCAAAAAAAAAAAAGAACACTCTTATTAAAATGACTCAGATAAAAAGTAGACATTTTTTGAAAAATATACAAATGAGAATGAAGTATATTGTATTTGTATGCGATCGTCAAATTCAAGAACTCATTATATATTCAATTTAATATAAAAAAAATTCGATTTAATATCAAACACGGTCCAACCGGTCAAACCACTCAGTGTGGAACGAACCAAGATCTACAACCCAAAACCAATCTCCCGGCGAGCCACGCCAGGGAGGGCTTCAGCTTCACAAGCGTCACTGTCCACTGTCCAGTAGCCGGCCCCTTCCCTCCCATCGACGGCGGCGCTACCAAACGGCAACTTCCAACGCCAAGCCATTAGTAGCCACCCGCAACTAACCATATGCTCCCTCGCGTCCGTCCCCTCCTTCGATTCTCTCTCCCCTTACCTCCTCCGATGGCGCCCCCCATTTCTTCTCGCGCCGCCGCCGCCACTCTCCCGATTGTTTCCCTCGCCGCCGCTCCTCACTCCCCTTCTGCTTTCAAGTCCAACATTCTCTTCTTCCCTCCGACTCGGCCGTCCACCGCCTTTGCCCCGCCAGCCTTCTTCACGACCAGATGCTTCCACGCCGGAGTCGTCAAGAAGATTGTACCCGGGGTTTGCGCGGCCGCCGCCGGCGGACAGAGAGAGTACCGTAAAGTGAGAAGACGCGCCACCGCCAAGAGCAAGCAGAAGGAGCTGGAGCTGAGCGTTAGCATTTGCATTGAGGAGGACCTCCCTGATAACGATTCTGAAATCCTGGTAGTAACTTGTCGTTCACTTTTCGTTTGAATTGTCATGAACTAGAGCCTCCCAATAATGGTTGTTTGAGACACAAGAATGTTTACTGTTATTATAATGTGAAGAGTAAGTTTTTGTCGTAGTAACTCGCGTTGTTGGAAGAGGTTTAAGAACGGACATTATACCATTCCGGCATTGAATGATTATGTATTCTGTCAATTTTATGTATGTTGTTTTGTATTGAACTCTGGAGTGGATGCCAATGTTGCAGAGTATAGCAGAGTTGCTCCGCCTAAACGTGCCCATGGCATTGAAGTTGGCACTGGATGGCCTGAAAGATTCTCGCTGCAAAACTCGAGATACTACTATCTCGGATGTTGGTGGCTACGAGAGCATCGAGTTGTCTGTCATGCTTTGCAATGACAGCTTCATCCGTAAGCTCAACAAAGAATGGAGGGGTGAAGACAGTGCTACTGATGTTCTCTCCATGTCGCAGCATGTTCCTCGGCTTAATCTCCCTATTGTAAGTAGTAGGCCATAACCATTTGTTAACCGAGTCTTCTGTATTGGGAGAGAAAGCCAGGGTTGATAGTTAAGTTTTCTCTTCCTTTGCAGCTGATGCTGGGTGACATTGTAATTTCTGTGGAGACAGCTGCACGGCAAGCTGAAGAAAGAGGTCATACACTTCTTGATGAAATCCTTATCCTCATGGTTGGTTTAGTTATTAGCTTTTAATAGTCCGGTGCAGTTGAGAAGACGTTTCTTGTTTTTGTGGTGGTTTCACCTCATTTCCATGCCTAACTAGTACATTTTGCTGTTGTGTTACCCTTCTGCGCCATGTACAGGTCCATGGGTTGTTGCATCTGTTAGGATTTGATCACGAGATCAGTGACGAGGCTGAAACTGAAATGGAGAAAGAGGAGGAAATTCTTTTGAAGAGTCTTGGGTGGACGGGTAAAGGACTAATTCAAAGTGCATATGATTCATGCGAGAAAGCTAATTCTGATTCAGCAATTTTGGGTGGTATTATTTTGTTAAATCTACTGCTACATGTTAGTCCAGATTCTTACGCAAATCATATGCTTCCGAGTCTTTGAACTGGTGCTTTAAAGACAGGAAGAAAGAAGGCAGTCTTCGCTTCTATAAACCAAAATTCAAGTACATCTTCTGTGACATGGATGGTGAGATTACCACTTCAATGTGAATACTTCTAGGTTCTTTCTTTGATCTGTTTTTCCTTCTAATTTGGTTTTTGTCCTGAACTCTAGGGACATTGCTTAACAGCAAAAGTCAACTTTCAACCACAAATGCAAATGCATTGAAAGAAGCTATGTCAAGAGGAGTGAAGGTAGTCATAGCAACTGGAAAGGTAGGATAATAATCCACTTGAAATTATTTATAAACAGTGCACTTTGTTCCATCAGTACATGTCTTTTTGGTCCAATGATGGCTGACTTGAGATGGAAGTTTTGCTAACTGGTCTAAGAATTCATGGAACAGGCTCGCCCTGCTGTGATAAATATCTTGAAGACTGCTGGCTTAGCTGATAAAGATGGTATTGTTTTAGAGGCCTCCCCTGGTGTTTTCCTGCAGGTTTCTTACTTCTCTCCTCATAATTCTCTACCTAAAAGTTTGGAGTTTTGGGGTCACATTTCTGCTGGATTTTCCGGTAGGATGTTTAAGAATAAGAACTCACTAAGAATTTTCCCTTACGAGCAGACAGGTATGAACAACCTTTCTATTGTTCTTCCTTTCTGCGTCCCTTCTGGATTATTTTTTTGGGTTTGTCCATATAAATTTTGCAAGGTTAAGATATGTATATCTTTATCTGGAATATAGTTATTGTAGTTTATTTTTCGTTTCTTAAATCATACAGTCTTAAAACTGTTCTGTTGCTCATGTTTTGGAGTTTCTATTATCTCAGGGGTTGCTCGTGTACGGTAGGCAGGGACGAGAGATTTTCAGAAGGAATTTAGATCCAGGTGTCTGCAGAGAGGTAATCACTATGATGCTAATATCTGTCTGAGTTAGATCCTTTTTGACTGTCAAAGAATCCTTTGCATGGTTTCTCACATATACAGACAAATCTATAAGCTGTTTGTATTTTTCATCCTATAGATGGCTACTCAGCTGGATTGCTTGTGATTAATTGATAAGCCTTGGACCATAAGAATTTTGGAAAACCTGAAGATATCACAATGTAGAGACAGAAATCATGTCTTGATTGCAGGTGTGCAGGTATTCTTTGGAGCAGAAGGTTCCTCTAATTGCATTCAGCAATGATCGTTGCTTAACGCTGTTTGATCACCCCCTTGTTGAATCGCTGCATACAGTTTACCGAGCACCGCAGGTGCCCTTTTCATGTCCCTGCACTGCTCGATGAAAAAGTGTAGTTGTTCATTTGTTACTGTCTGGAGTTATTCCCGTGAGTAATGATGTAAGACGATTTTAACAGGCAGAAGTCATGCCTTCAGTTGAGGATCTCATAGCTGCAGCTGACATACAAGTATGTGTATTTTTTATTTTATATCTATTACCATTTAGAACACAAGGAGCACTATTTTCATTTTGTTATCTGCTTAAAGAGCAGCAGAGGACATCAGATCAGCAGAAAATCATGGAATTAACTCGTAATTTGTTTGATTTAAAATATCACACTTGTCAGTGGCCTTAAGCACATCATTTGCTACTGTTGACTGCAATACAAACCCCAAGTTTTGGAATTATTTTGCAATGTTTCGCATTTCCTTCAATTTAACTACTGCCATTATTCCAGTCACAGATTTATTGCAGCTGTGAGTTCCACCATTTTTACATCAGGGTCAAAATGATTTCTTAGTTATCTGCTGATTAGGATTCTACCTGATTGAACATTTCAGAAAATGTTGTTCATAGACACTGCTGATAGAGTAGCAACTGAACTGAGGCCGTATTGGTCAGAAGCAGCAGGAGAGCTTGCCAATGTAGTTCAAGCTGTCCCACATATGCTTGAGATTGTGCCTGTGGGAACATCGAAAGGTAGCGGGATCCAAATTCTACTTGATCATCTGGGTGTGAAAGCTGAGGAGGTAAGAGCTGATTCAATCTTTGGTCTTCACTTGTTTATTATTTTTATGCCATAAGATACATGATGGAAGTAGAGGTGGCAAATGCGTCGGGTTAAAATGGTTTCACATGTTTATAGGATACATGATGGAAGTAGTGGGTTGGTGGGGAATAATATAACTTTCTTGAAGTTTTGATGTGGTCTGGACTTTGGAGGGTGTTTTACCCCTTTCTCAGTGTAAGGGCTGTCTGGTCAGATTTTAGAAGTTTGGATACTGTTGTGAAATTATAGATTGTGTTTGGTCCTAGAATGTACTAGGCGAATAACAATGATCATTGGAGCTCCGATTGGACTCGCTTGTCCCAGATAATGGCCATTGGCGACGGGGAGAACGATATCGAGATGCTGCAATTGGCTGCCCTTGGCATTGCTCTCAGCAATGGTGTCGAGAAGACGAAAGCTGTGGCCGACGTAATTGGTGTTAGTAACGACGAAGATGGGGTAGCTGATGCCATCTATCGGTATGCATTTTGAACCATACCAGCATAGCCATTGATCGTTCGAAAGCTCACAGCAAGCATCTGCACAACAAAGAGGAGGTAATTTTTTCGATTGGATTGGATGGTTTTAGTTGTTTCTCTTTAATCTAGCTGAACATTTGTTCGCTTTTCGATACACAGGCACTGTATTACTACTACTACATCCACGGGAAGTGGGGAAAGATGCAAATTAGCAGGACGTTCATGGGACAATAATCTGTAACGCTGAATTTAAGGCTACAGATTATAGTCCCGTTAGATGATGGAGAGCGCTTGTATTAGCTGAATATGTTGCGATTTTTTTTGTTGTTCTTTTTTTCCTTCCAATTCTTTTCACAGGGCCTTTGGTTACTTCAGTGCAAGGAATCGGATGGATTCAGTGAAGTGTTTTGTGATCTGTTTAAAAGTAGTTACTTTCCAGAATATGTTCTTGATCTTAATTCCCTTTAACATATGAAAAGGTGCAACAATAATAATAACCGTGTGCAAAGGAAAGGAAAGGAAAGTGGACTGGGAACCAACATTGCAAGCCAAGTCGCAAGTGGCGTGATGGTAAAGAGTAAAGAAGAGAATAAGTGGGATCCTTGAATCGGTGTGCGACGCCGCGGTTTTGCAACAGTTGTGGTTTTTTAGGGTTAACGCTGGGGATTTGTTTGCAAATTGCAACTGAGGAAATGAATTCTTTCCACTATGGATGACAATCTGAGCATCCTCTTACTTCTCGCGTTGGGAAGATGGCACCAAAAAGCAATGTGTAATGTCAAGTAGTTCGATGTGGAGTGTAGAAATCCTCAAACATAGTGTAAAAATCAGGCAAAATGTTAAGACAAGATTGACGGTATGCATTCCATAATAATTAGATACATACGAGAAAATATGATATTTGATAAAAGAAAAAATTTTGGAGGATAATATCTAGAATTATTATGTTCATAGATATCATTTATATAATATCATATCATGGTGGCTATTTCGGCGCACTCACTTTTTTGGGTGCACTTAGTGCACCCACTCTAAAAGTGTCTATATTACATCAAATTTTGAACTTTAATTAGTAATCTCAATCTAATATGATGATATGACATAGAATCATAACAAATCAATTTATTACCCTAACCCCTTAACCTTCAATTTTGAATCCCAATCCAAAATCCCAAATTTTAAACCTAATCCCTAACCCTAAATCCCTAAATCCTTCAAATTAAAGTAAATTTTGAATGAATTTTTTTCAAATTCATGTGCTTCTTGTTCATAATATCATAGGCAACAATTGATACCGTTTTGACATGAATCACATGCTCAGAATGACAATTATGAGACAGGTGTACTGAGTGCACCCAAAAAAGTGGGTGCACTGAATACGCCACCATCATATCATTATTTAATTTGGTGAAATTTTTTAATTTTCGTTATTAATTGCAAGGGGAAAAGAAGTAAAACTTCTAAAATGAAAAGGAAAGAAAAGGACACAAAGATGGAGGCGTACTATGTTGGTAAGGAAGGAGAGGGAGTCATCACTCGTCAGACGAAATTCCTACTCTTTCCCGACTTTGCATCACCAAAAACAACTCTCCGACTCTGTCGTCTGTCGCTGTCCGTTCTCTTTTTTTCCCCGTCTCCGTCTCCGTGCTGCTGGCTTCTCAGTTCTCACTACTCCTCGTCCTTTCTCACTCACTAAACTATTAAACAGATACCAGCATTCGGACCTTTCTTCTCCTCCGCAAACCGCAAATCTCAGGCTCAGCTTGTTCATCGGCGCTCAGTAGTTGCTGAGAAGATGGCCGATGGAGGTTGCGCCGCTATCAACACCAAGATAGAGGAAGGAGAAGGAGGCTATATATTGGAAGACGTCCCTCACCTCACTGACTATCTCCCTTCGCTCCTCGTAAAGCTTCCTTCTGCTAATTGCTTTTCTGGGTTTCTGGTGTTCCTCCCACTGATTAATGGCGGTATGTTCTGTAATCTAATGAATCTGTGTTCTTTGATCTGAATGGATGCAGACTTACCCTAATCCTTTGCAAGACAATCCTGCCTACTCTGTTGTAAAGTAAGTAACTTTCGCTGTTTCTGATTCCAAATCCTCCTTGCTTTTGTTAATCCATCTCCTTTGATCTCAACTCTTTCAGGCAGTACTTCGTCGATGTGGATGACACCGTCGCCCAAAAGGTAAATTGGTTGCTCTGCTGCTATTCCCGGGGTTGGATATTGCTCTAATTTCGTAGCTGAATATCACATTGTATGCTGAACTGAACTGAACTGAACTCGCGGTACTGGGACAAACTTAAAAGCATTTAAGTTAGTTTCTTAGGTTTTATTTTGTTTTGTCTCTCAGATTGTGGTTCACAAGAATGGTGACAGGGGAATCCACTTCCGTCGTGCTGGACCTCGCCAAAAGGTTTTGCTTCTTCCCATTCAATCTATACCCTGATGCCACCAATCTAAGTTTACCACTGCCTACCGAATATACTGTATACATCTCGGGAAGTTTACTAGATATGAATTCTAACCTTTGTTTTGTTTGCAAAACAATTTATTCTCAGGTATACTTCAAGTCCGACGAAGTTCATGCTTGCATTGTCACCTGTGGTGGCCTCTGCCCCGGGCTGAACACTGTCATCAGGGAGATTGTTTGCGGCCTTCATTACATGTACGGTGTCTCCAAAATCATCGGCATTGATGTGAGTCACCTCTCTAACTGTTGTCCACCCGGTACTCGAAGTCGTTGAAACTCAAACCTGGTGTTTGATCTGTTCTCACTTGTTACTTCCAGGGAGGGTACATGGGATTCTATTCCAAGAATACTGTTACTTTGACTCCCAAGGTTGTCAATGACATCCATAAACGTGGCGGTACTGTTCTTGGGACGTCAAGAGGAGGTCATGACACCTCAAAGATAGTGGACAGCATCCAAGATCGTGGGATCAATCAGGTTCGAATTTAGCTTTGTTGCAACTTCCCATGGGTTTTATGCTAGTAGTTCATACATTTATTCTCGGTGTAATGTTAGTACAGGTTTATGTCATTGGAGGTGACGGAACTCAAAAGGGAGCTGCGGTCATTTATGAGGTATGTTTTTGGTAGATGTTATTTCATTAGGCTGTGATGAATTCGAATTTTATATTAGCCTCTGTATCTGCAAGTTGGGCAGTGTTGAAACATTTTTATTTTCGCCCTGTTTAGGAAGTCAGACGACGCGGTCTAAAAGTTTCAGTTGCTGGAATACCCAAGACCATTGATAATGACATTCCCGTAAGGATAAACCCGCCATCTTGGTCTTTCAAACATCATCCTTTCCACTATCATGGATCCTTTTCCTTTTTTGCCCCCTGGGTGCATTATATGAATTCATGCTAAATATCCGGGTTCTGGTACAGGTTATTGACAGGTCGTTTGGTTTCGATACTGCGGTTGAGGAGGCACAACGGGCTATCAATGCAGCCCACGTGGAAGCTGAAAGTACCGAAAATGGTATTGGTGTTGTGAAGCTGATGGGACGTTATAGTGGTAAGTCTTAGTTTAACTTGCACGTGTCCGAAAAAATCCCCTGGGGTCATTTGGATGTTGGTGTTAGGTGTTTAATTTGAGCACCAAATCCATATGAAGAGAATTTTTCTTAGAACCCTTATTTGGCGAGGCAGAAAAATAAATAATTGTGTCAACTCCATGGACTTGGAAATCCATGAGGGTACCAAATCCATAAGCCTTACGGATTTGAAAAATCTTCCCCTACATGTGTTTTTTTTTTAAATCCATCCCTCCTAATGCTTTTGTTTTGTCATCACTACTTTGATACCCGCGACGATGCATTGAGCCTCATTAAGCCTTCTGCTGTTGGTACAGGTTTCATTGCTATGTATGCTACACTTGCCAGCAGAGATGTGGACTGCTGTTTGATTCCAGAGTCGCCTTTCTTCTTAGAAGGCAAAGGTGGACTTTTTCAATTCATTAGAAAACGGCTAAAAGAAAATGGGCACATGGTTATCGTTATTGCTGAAGGAGCAGGACAAGATCTGCTTACAGAGAGCATGCAGTCTATGGGGCAGCAAGATGCTTCTGGAAACAAGCAACTTCAAGATGTTGGATTCTGGATATCTCACAGGATCAAGGTACACACTTTTGCCATAAGAGCATCAAGAAATTCTTGAGTCTCTCTGTTAGCCCCACTGAAGGTTGCTTTGTTTCTGTTTCAGGATCATTTCGCCAAGGAACATAATATGGCTATCACTCTCAAATACATAGGTAAGCTATCTGTTTGGTGTTCTTGTGCTTCCTTTCCCTTTGGGATTTTGGTTTGACAGTTATGATTGTTGCAGATCCTACGTACATGATCCGAGCAATTCCAGGTAATGCTTCTGATAATGTCTACTGCACGCTCCTTGCTCAAAGTGCGGTTCATGGGGCAATGGCAGGATATACAGGCTTTACTTGTGGACCTGTGAACGGACGACATTCTTACATCCCTTTTAATGTGAGTATCGCTCTCTCTCTCTCTCTCTCTCCCAGTAGAATTGGAATGAAATGATACACAGGGGACTCTTGGAAGATTTTCTGGGCATGTCGTTGACAGTTCATTTCCTGGCTTGCAGCGCATTACTGAGAAGCAGAACAAGGTGGTGATCACAGACAGGATGTGGGCAAGACTTTTATCCTCGACGAATCAGCCTAGCTTTTTATGAGCCCTAATTTTGCTGGCATGGAGAGAACTGGGAACTAGGTGCATGGGAGTTGTAACATGTTCGACAACATCTCGCAACTTACTCGAGATCTGACATTTCCCCTTTCAGTTTTGTGTATTTCCTTTTGCTAGGAAAGCAAGTTGTATGTACACAAATGTTTGTCATAGTTGGATTACATGCGTTCTTTCATTGAATTTTTTTTTTTTTTACATGAATTCTTTCATTGAATTGATGAGGTGAAGGATTTAGAAATTGTCGAGGAGCATTTCGCTTTGACATTTGAATGGGCAAGCACAACTAGTCCCAGAAAGAGACTGGACAAGCACGAATGACAACAGAAGATGGATACTTTTGCTATATATATTGGCCAAATGAATGAATTAACATAATACGCTGCAACAATTCATCCCCTCGTACATAACAGGGTGAATGAAAGAAGAGGGTATGGTCATTGTTCAACTGAGTCTGTAAGTAGTACAAAGCATGCTGGTGCCTTCAGTCTCTTCTAATGTGACTGCAAAGAGATTATGCTCGAGTCTTTAAGCACATACATTGATTCAGGAAGTAGTTTACTTAGCATCATCCATCTACGCTTATCAACCCTTGTAAACGCCAGAGGGATCGGCATTCTGAATAATCCATGGATGTTCGAGCAGCTTGTGTAGTGGCAGACGCTGGAATGAATCTTTGACAAGCATCTGCAGGTGCAAAAGAGACAGCAGCAGATGATAATAAGGACAAACGTCAAGTTAGGATGGAACCTACAGCTGGTTCTAACTTCTAAGAGATGTGGCTTACCTGACTAATTAGGTCTTTTGCAGAAGCAGATACAATAGGCTTTGAAGGAAACTTGAGATCCACTTGCACAATCCTGCCAGCATTGCAACATACGGTTTAAGTGGGGGCATATAGCGCACAAGAAATGCAACAATTCGGAAGTCTGAATGAGACTTATACATACCTTCGGTATGTGTCAGAGTGTTCCCTAGCCTCAAAAGGAGGAGTGCCGTAGAGGAACTCGTAACACAGCACACCTAGGCTCCAAATATCTACACTAGCATCATGCTCTACACTTTCCACTGCACAACAACAAGCAAACCAAATCAGACTCGCTGCAAATGTTGAGGTTAGCAAGTAGCAACTAAGGGTCCTATTCTGGTTACATACCCATTTCAGGTGGGAGATAGTCCAATGTCCCGCACATTGTTCGCCTTCTGTTGAATGTATGCACAGACCAGCCAAAATCGGCAATCTTGAGCTCCCCCTGACAAAAAGAAAGAAGAGGAACAAGTACGTGGCAACACACATAAGCTCGCTATAACCCAAAAGACGGAGACTTGAAATCATTCCGAGATGCATAATAACATTAATGTGTGAAATGGTAGAGCACCTGGGCACCAATCAGGAGGTTCTCTGGCTTGATATCTCTGTGGATGACATGTTTCCCATGGCAATATATCAGAGCACGAGCCAATGACGCAACATACTGGGCATCATATACACACATGAAAAGGAGCATGTTAGATTAAACGTCAGACTAAACACGGGGGTTGTGATAAAACTTCTCAAAGAATGGAATTTGCAAATGATGCCATGAAATGGAGTTGTAGAGAAGAGAAGAGAGTGATTTTCTCACCGTGGCAGCACGCCTCTCGCTGAAGTACTTGCATCTCTGAAGCTCTTTGTAGAGTTCACCCTTGACTGCGTACTCTAGTATCAAGTAGACTCGCTTCTGCAGGCAATTTCCAATGGCGGGAACGGAAAGCAAACATCAGCTACCTAAAATCCAACGATAAGCTCAACGAAACAAGAAAATGCCAGAATGTGGAGGAACCTGGTCGTAGAAGTAGCCATAGAGACGGAGAATGTTGGGGTGACGGAGGTGGCCCTGGATCTCAACTTCACGGCGGAGTTGATGCTCCACCTGCGATTGCTGGAGCTGGCTCTTGAACAGCACTTTTAGGGCCACGATGTGATTGCTCTGCGGAATCGACATGGAAAAACAAACAACCACCTCTCAGAATCTTGAAATCGAATCGGGGTAGAATGAGATTTACACTTTGCTACTGTAATTATGATTTAGTTACCCTTTTCTCACGAGCGAGGTAGACGTGGCCGAATTTGCCGCGCCCGAGGGGCTTCCCGATGTCGAAATCGCCGAGAGTCCATCTCCTCGTCTGGTTGTTCTCTCCGCCAGATGCAGCGGCCACCGCCTTATCTTCCGCCTGCGGTTAAGGAATTGAGGATCAAGAGAGCAAAAATCAAGGGCGAAATGAAACCCTAGGAGGCGGCGGCGCGGCAAGGCAAGAAGGATTGCGTAGGCTTCCCCGCCGCCGGCGTCCCGACGGGGGATGGATTTGACTTCATTACCTGGTGCTGGTGGTCGGATTGGGAATCGGGAGGAGGAGCGATCGCCATTGGAGAAGAATCGGGAAGAGAGGAGAAAGTCAAAATCGACTGGAACCAAAAAAAAAAAAAAAAGTCGGAAAGAACTAAAAAGGGAAGAAAGGGGGAAGTAGGGGCCGGGATCTTTCTTCCGTTCTTGTTCTTACTCTTGCGGGGGGGTCTGTCCTATGATGTTATGAATACAAAATTTTTATAACGGTCGACTAAGAAAAGGTTCCACCTGGCCCACTTGGAGGGTTTCAAAATTTCTTCTTAAAATATTCAAATGAAATGAAAGCGAAAATGTTTTCTCTTCGATGAGGAGCGTCTACGGGCCGGGTGGGGTATACTCACATCACATGAGCTGTTCAGCAGCCACCGTTGTGTTTCTATTCCGTATTTAAACGATAAAAATAGGTAAGAAAGATGAGTCGATTAAAAGCAATATGAAAGAGAGTTTGATTGAGAGGTCTTAATTATCAAAATTTGAGTAAATAATGAAGAATTTTTAGCTACTTATTGTTGGGCCATAGCTGAGCGGTGTTGGGCTCGGAAGCCCACAGGAGGCCCAAGGAGGAAGGCCCGTCGAGGGGCCCAGGAAGCAGGCATGGGGAACGAAAAAAGGAGGGCGGCCATTCTAGGATGGACAGACAGTAGGACGCCTAACACAAGGAGCCGTTGCTTGGCAGAGGGCGAGATCTTCCTAGGATACTCGCCTCGAACAACGCAGGACTGAGCATTAATTGCCCGCGTAGGCGGTCTAGATAAAGCATGGCTGATCTAGGACGCCTGACAATAGCATTTAATGCCCAAAGCCCAGGCCAACCCACTATAAATACATTCATATCTGCATTGATAGTAACCCAACTACTCTCTCTCTAAACATAAACTAAAAGCTCTTATTCTATCTCTAACTTAAGCATCGGAGGGTGTCCGGGGTGACCGCCCACGGACCCTTGTTTTGCAGGAGTTTGGAGTCCCCCATCATCTGGAACAGACGCTTCACTCGTTCTCCACAAAACCGCCTAGAACATTCTAGGCTCAAACACTTATTATAGACCAAATGATAAAAGTATGAGCGTATGATAGTTAGGAATTTAGCAATAAGCCATCTCGAACTGGTACAGTTTTATTACACTTATAATATTTTTCATTCGTTCCATGACATTTTCCCTCATTTGATTCATATTGGGTCCTATGAAGTACTTGGACTATTAATACAACATACTCGATATATTTAGTTATGTCTCCCTGACTTGCAAGAGTGCAGCAACAAAACTTTCACAACTCCACCACCTTGAATACGATACCGATCCTCCCTAATTTCAACCATGGAGAAGGCTGACACTCCTTCCTTTCTCCTGTTCTGCACAAAAATGCTAACAATGAGTCAATGACAATCAAAACCTAAAAGCTTCCATGATGACCATAGAAGGAGCTTCGACAACCCAACATCCCCTCCCTGCTGCTGAATCGGTTCTGAAACCTTCCTACTCCTAAGATTCTTTGGCAACACCTTCGTATGATGATGATCTGGAGCTTCCTTTTTCAGGCAGCACGAGTGTTGGGAGCAAACGAGGAATGATGAATGCAGCCACTAAACATAGCAACACCAACACTCCCACCCACCAAGCCTTGTGTGGGATACCCAGCAACAATTCATCGCATACTGCAATACAATAATCATAAGATTACTACACAGAAAAAGCTACACAAATAAAACAAGGTGATGTAGTTGGATTGGGGAAGAAAGGAATGCAGAAATAATCACAGTAAAAGGGAGAAAATGTGGTCTTAAGCAGGACTTATTTAGTGAGGCATCCATGTCAAGCAACTTCGGAGTTCATACTAATGGAAGAGACACCAAGCGTGCAGATCTCACAAGAACAATCCTAGGCTCGTAGGTTAGCTGCTATGGTTAATGCAAGCAAGCAAGCGAGATAAAGAGAACTCAATAGTCTTACTGCCTGGATAAAAACCAAACCTTTCTACGATTTCACGGGAGAATGAAGACAGTTCAGAATCAGATAAAATCCTAAACAGTCATTCGGATAAAGATTCAATGAGGTTATTTCAGAAACTTGTATGAAATAAACTAATAAGTTGACAGAGAGTTTATTTACCTATGTTGAAGATGATTGTTTCCCTCTCTGGTACATTACGTATTGCAACCACCCCCTCCGGCTCTACAGTTACCGATACATACAACAGGTTCTGATGAGCAGAGAGAAACACATCAGTAAAAAGAACAAAAATAAAACAATACCAAGCAAATATGATTCAGATCAGTAGGAAAACTACACCTGTGTGCCACTAAACTCATCAGTCTTGAAAATTAATTTCTCTGTGTTTAGTAATCTTCGATTCCAGTTCATTCCCAAATCAGAAGCATCTTTCTTCAGTTGTAAAGTGAAGCTAGCAGGTATCTGGAATGTCAATCCCAGGGAGAAACAAAGAAGATTTTTCGTGATGGGGATAGTGTGGACATCAGCAAGTCAAAGGGACAATCAAACTACATACATACAGAAGCCGGATAAGATATCTTCACTTCATACCAAGTGTTCGATTTCAAGTCCCGCAGTTCATACAGACGAGAACCTCCCTGCAAGGAAAGAGTCTCCCTCCACAGTTCATTTCCAGGAATCAATACATTGCTGGCAACCCTTTAAGAGATAGTGCCAAATGAAACAGTGAGATACATGAGAATGGGCCAACTTGAGAATGGAAGTGCACCGAGCCAAAAAGAAGATGAGTCCATACTCTATTCTCCCAAATGTTGGAATTGGGTATCCAGCAATGAAGGTGAATGCACAGACCCCAAGGAAAGAGCTACAAATCATGGCTAGCATGCCGTTGAAGCTCTTCATCTTCTTCCTTCCGGTTTCTACAACCATGACCTTCTACATAACCGCAACCACAGGTTTCAGCAGGCTATACATTGTATATTGGAGAATTCACCCTAATGCAGTACATAACAAGAACAACTAACGGAATTGTCCTAGTTGAATTTCACTTTTCTGTGCAGATTTACTGAATTAGCCGAGACCGGAGAGATCCCAAGTAAAGAAGAAGAAAAACAAGGTCGTGGGATTACCCTAATTGATATAATTGAGCAGTTGATGAAGACTGGCGATGCTGAGGCCTTCTTCTCCTTCGATTGATGCTACGGAATCAGCAGATTTCAGACTCGGTGGAACTGCGGTTGGAGACCTGAAAGGAAGCGTGGAACTTGTAAGTTGGAACTAAATTGAAAACATCGGCGGCGCCTCCGCGCGGCCGCCGGGGTCGGGTGGAAGGACTGGCAGAGATGGGTATTGGGTGGGTTAAGGTCGATGGGAAAAGGCCGAGTGACTTCTTTCTTAATTTTCCGTTGAATCGGAGGAAATTGTGCAATAATGATTAATGAAACGGCACCGTTTCGCAGCAATAAAACGAACACCTCCCTCTTATCTGGGCTTTAAGCCTCTTTCTTTAACTGTGTTGGATCAGGCAAAGTAAACGCAAGGTAGCAAACTCGAACCTCAAAGGCCCAAGGCAAAGGAGGATTTTGCTTGGCTCTATTCCATTTTACAAATATAAGGGGTCATGTGATAGTTTGGTTGGTATTGTTATAATGCATGTATTGTCCACAATACATCGTTTTTTTTTTTTGCATTTTCTGCACAAATAATACATGCATTGTTTGCTTGATGTGATGAAAACTATCACTCAATGAGTGATAATACTATCTCTACTAAAACTTAAGATTGTTGAGATAGTTTTGAGGAGATTGTTGGCCACAATACAGATTCAGTATATATCTATAACTTTTATATAGATTTCTTTATGAAACAAATGCTTTTATGGTAAAAATGGAAAGTGTACATTTAACGTATAAAAACAAGTTTAATTTGTATCCCAAAATACCAATATTTCATAGCATTTGTAATTATAATTTTTGTCTAGCTTTTGTGTGAATTAAGTTATCCCCTTATCATTCAAATATCTCTCATCCTGCGAATTAGTGGTTGGTTTAGTGCTACACTCTCGTTTTTCGGTATGAAGATCCAAAATTCGAATTTCCGTGTGAGATTTCTCTTCCTCCGCACCCTTTTCTTCAATAGCATGTCAACAAAAACAACTTTCCGATCTTACAACTTACAACCTGTGCAAATCAATGGTAACTGGTTAGCGTGTCCTACACAAATTGGATGACCTTTTGTACTAGTTCTCATGTGTAAAATCATATGCAAATAACATTATGTATAAATGTGACCTTGTCATACAACGATATTATTATCACATGATAATTGCCCATTCTGCAGCATACTAGCACCATTGCCATCGTATGATTGCAGTACCAAATGTACTATGAGTCCATGTCTATGCCCAGAAGATGCATAGTGAGACGCTTTCATGGGCATTATGTTATGTATACGTCGTCCAAACCAACCAATAAATTGTGACGGCAATGTATACCAAAGTGGAATTAAGACTGACATGAAAGCTTTGTGGCGTAGTAGGTATCTGTTGGTTCAATGGAAATGAATTTCCCTCATTGAAGGCTCCCTCCTACCCTTTTTTACAATAGCAAATTGTCAATGGAATCGACGCCAATTGAATGGGGGTATAGAGAAAAATGACTGGTGGCTGCTCCTTTAGTCCCTACAAGGGTTAATTAGCCCTACTAGATTTCCCATTTGTGGTTTGGAGTTTGGAGCTAGTCCTCTCCTAACCAACCCAAAAAAGGGGGCCATGATTTACATCTCTTCTTTCTCATTCTCTTATTGAATGTAGTTTTAAGTGAGAGCAACTTGTGATCCAACCCCATAGGAAATAAGGACCACATGTTATGTAGCATATATCCATCTAGTGACAATCTAATTCGTAGTCTCTTTAATCTTTATATATCCATGTTCAATTAAGTCAATAAGTAAGAATATAACATGTATTGATCAAGTTAAAGATATGATATGTGCGAGAAATACTTACAAAGAGGTTTGCAAGATGGGATCAGAATGAGTTTTTGTGGTCCACCATTTATTAATAATTAGATACACAACATATACTATAATCACAATCCAAACCAAAGAATAAAAAGATAAAAGTTTAAAGCTCACTAATCATGTCCTTTTGGTACCTGGGTATAAACACACCCTATTCTGAACATTCTTCACTCATAATCAATGAGAGTTCGGATAGCTCCTCATAATCATACAAAGTCCAGTTACAAAGTAACATATGAACAACACAATTAAATATTCAAGTCAGCGAGAGTATGTGTCATCGGCTAATTAGATGACCCACACTCTTATTGGATTTTCATAAAAATGAGGAAGATAAAACCTCCCTATCTCTATCCAACAACTCATGAAAAACGATAAATAATAGCTATATTCTGGTGATCGCTCCAATCAACACTCTCAAGTAACTCAATAACTCAATGAGAATCTAGCTTCCTCCGTTCTCATATTTTGGTTTAACTTCCCATCACTATAAACCAAAACACTTTATAAAACGCCTTTTCGATTACCATTCCATACAAAGTTGGACAAAAAAAAACACAAACCAAATTAGTCACATGAAATCTTTGTATAGAAATATGGTGTCCGCAAATCACCAACAGTTTTTCAGAATTGGTAAAAATCTTTCCCCAAGTAATTAGGTAGATTTGGTGGATCAAAACCAAAAAGGACCGACCATTGCATCGTCCTCCAGCCTGTTGAAATTTCCCCATATGGGAACGGAACGGCTTCACCATCAACCAACCCAACCAATATTTTCCCCTTTCTTTCCTTTGATTTCAAGGTTCGTATCGTACCCACAATTCATTCCAAACCGCGTGGTAGCCAAAAGCTGAAAAGGGAGAATTCATTGCTCAACTAGACTTCTTTCTCACTCTGTTCCTCTGTTTCTTTCTTTCTCTCTCTAGCTGACTCATTCTTACGTTCTCGCCTCTCGGCTGCAATCCCATGAGTTCACTCCAGAGACATTTTCTGGTACCCACTAAAACGTTATTTCACCCTCTCTGGTTTCCTTTCCAACCATGACTGCGCACGTGGCCGGTCTTCGTTCGTCTCTCTCTTTCTATCTTGACATTGAAATCAAAGTTTCAAACGTTCCCCAAATTTTCAACTATCCCGCATTGTAGGAGAGAAATGACTTTTCGGGGTCCTTGCCTATAAAAAGGACGGCTTCGGGTTTCTCTTCTTTCATTCTCAGCTTCACCAAGCACGACTCTTTTCACTCTCTCATTGTTTTTTTACCGTAAAGCTTTGATCTTTGGTGGATTTGCAGAGAAGGGTCGTTCAGGGTGTTGGTAGAGAGAGGAAGAGTCGTTGGGGTTTGATTACTGAGAGGAAAATGGCGAATGTTGTGAATGACGGCGGTGATTCGACGGAGGAGATCGTCAATGGCGCCGTCGGCGGTGGTGGTGGTGTTGAGGACGTGTATGGTGAGGATTTCGCCACGGAGGAGCAGTTCCTAACCCCTTGGGCTGTCTCCATTGCTAGGTAACAAACAAACAACATTAAACAAATAGTTTGATCGTCTTTTCTGTTTCCATGCGATTAATTTATTTTGTGTGGTCTTCTGTATTTTACTGCAATGCCTTGGGCTGTTTAATTGTTTAATGATATACTGTTCTCCACTCCAGTTATGTTCCCTTGATTTGCTCAAGTTAAGATAGGATACATTCTTGAAAATGTCAGTTTGGATAGGAAGTTGGGATCTTTTTCTGGCATTTTTATCTTTGCTTGATTCAGGTGGAAAGAATCTTTCTTCCCCAAGCATCCCAATCACAGGCTATCAAAGAGGCTATAGTCTTTACTCTTTAGTTGTGATCACAGACCCACTAATGCATCAGATCCCAACATAACTCCGAACTTAATCGTGTTTGTACATTAGTTATACACACTAATATCACTAAACTGAATGATCTCTGGAGGAGTGAAAAAGCTCCAGTCTTTGTGGGGATGTATTTTACATCTTGCCATGGTTTTAATTTTACACCCCAAATCCACACTGGGTTTTTAATTTTCTATTCACCTTGTTTGTTGATAATCTGGCAGTGGGTATAATTTGATGAGGGATCCAAGGCACAACAAAGGGACAGCATTCACAGAGAAAGAGAGGGATGCTCATTACCTGAGAGGTCTTCTTCCCCCAGCCATATTCACTCAGGAACTTCAGGTTCAAAAGTTCATTAAACTCAGCTCCATGAGATTTATTTTAACTTGCTGCTAATTCGGCTCTTTCAATGTTGTGACTTGTGATGATTAGGAAAAAAGGTTGATGCACAACCTTCGTCAGTTCGAAGTTCCTCTCCAGAGATACATGGCCATGATGGATCTTCAGGAGAGGAATGAAAGGTTGTTCTACAAGCTTCTGATTGATAATGTGGAAGAGCTTCTGCCAGTTGTGTATACTCCCACTGTTGGGGAGGCTTGCCAGAAGTATGGCAGCATTTTCAGGCGTCCCCAGGGGCTTTATATCAGCTTGAAAGAGAAGTACGTGTGGCTTATCAGAGTTGCCTCTCGAGTTCTGGCCTTGTTCATGTTGTTAAGAGTGCTGAGATTGGTTTTCTGTTTTTGGGTTTTTTCAGGGGAAAGATTCTTGAAGTACTTAAGAACTGGCCAGAGAGGAACATTCAAGTCATTGTTGTTACTGACGGTGAGCGGATTCTTGGGCTTGGGGACCTTGGCTGCCAGGTAACGAGTTGATTACTTATTCCATAAGCCATTCATTTCCTGCATTTTACTTTCTTCCACTTTTCATATCATTTGCTTGTGTCAAAATGTTTCAGGGAATGGGAATTCCCGTTGGGAAGCTTTCTCTGTATACAGCACTGGGAGGAATCCGTCCATCAGCAGTAAGCTTTTGCTACAATAGTCCAGATTCTTGTACCTGATTAGTGAAATTACTGAACATCGCTTCTGTTTACAGTGCCTGCCAATCACAATTGATGTTGGTACGAACAATGAGAAGCTGTTGAATGATGAGTTCTACATTGGTCTTAAACAAAGGAGGGCAACAGGACAGGTCTGAAATGCTGCCTAATGCATCTCTTCTTCTTCAGTCATTGCAAACTCAGTATCATCTTTCTGAAATTTCTTATGTGATTTAGGAATATGCTGAACTTCTGGAAGAGTTCATGACTGCAGTTAAGCAAAATTACGGGGAGAAAGTCTTGGTACAGGTAAAGACATTGATTTAGTTTGGCAGGAGCAGTATCACGGATACTTAACACTTTTAATATCTTACTAAGTAAACTTCTTTTTGTAGTTTGAAGACTTTGCAAATCACAATGCATTCGACCTTCTAGAGAAGTACACTCGGAGCCATCTTGTTTTCAATGATGATATTCAGGTGAGTAGTTTTAGCGACACTGAAGCTTTGAGTCATTAGCAGATCAAAATTGCATGTTCTTCTGATCTTATATTTCTGATCATTTCTTCCAGGGCACGGCATCTGTAGTTCTGGCAGGGCTAATTGCGGCTCTCAAGTTGGTTGGTGGAACCTTAGCAGACCATAAGTTCCTCTTCCTGGGAGCTGGCGAGGTGAGCTTGCAGACAGTTTTTGTTTCTTCGTTCTTCTCATTTCTCAACTCTTTACAAGTTTGAGGTCACTTGCAGGCTGGTACTGGCATAGCTGAGCTTATAGCACTGGAAATTTCCAAGCAGGTGACCTTCGTTTTCCTTTTCAATGATCTAACTGTTGAACTATTTGCGAGTTTAATTCGTCTTCCAAAAGGCTAAACTTACGATCTTATTGGTTTCCCAGACGAAAGCTCCGGTAGAAGAGACCCGTAAGAAGATTTGGCTTGTGGATTCAAAGGGGCTCATTGTTAGTTCTCGCAAGGAGTCCCTTCAGCATTTTAAGAAGCCCTGGGCTCATGACCATGAACCTGTGAAGAACCTCCTAGATGCTGTTAAGGTGTGTAAAAAAAATACTGGAATCTCTTACCATCTGAGAAATTAGTCAGCAGCTTCTGATATAATCCCGTTTTCTTTATGCAAATGTTGTTTTAGGCAATCAAGCCAACAGTTTTGATAGGATCATCTGGAGCTGGTAGAACATTCACAAAGGAGGTGGTTGAGGCAATGGCCTCCTTCAATGAGGTAAAATTGCCGTCCTCCTATAAACCAAAATCCTTTTGCCTTGACGATAAACTGATTGAATGTCTGTTGAATTGCAGAAACCACTGATTCTTGCTCTCTCAAATCCCACGTCTCAGTCGGAATGTACAGCTGAGGAAGCATACACATGGAGCCAGGTAAACCACAACATATCATTCATCATCTACATTGTGACACAAGGATAGGAGAATCCAGGTTAAGGAATATGGAGAACTGACCATTGTGTGAGTGAGTGATTGCAGGGTCGTGCCATCTTTGCTAGTGGAAGTCCATTCGACCCGGTTGAGTACAATGGCACACTGATGGTGCCAGGACAGGCAAACAATGCATACATATTCCCCGGGTTTGGTCTCGGGCTGATCATGTCTGGGGCGATCCGTGTCCACGATGACTTGCTCTTAGCAGCCTGTAAGTTTCATCCAAACACCATAATCCTCATCTGATGTCCAGTCATTGGCCTGGTCTTCTCATATGCTGCTGTGGTTTCTGGAACAGCGGAAGCTTTGGCAGTGCAGGTAGAAGATGAGCATTTCAAGAAGGGACTGATATACCCACCATTTACCAACATAAGGAAGATATCAGCAAATATTGCTGCAAAGGTTGCTGATAAGGCTTATCAGCTAGGTCTGGCCTCCCGCCTGCCCAGGCCAAAGGATCTGGTGAAGCACGCTGAGAGCTGCATGTACAGCCCTCTCTACAGGACTTATCGTTGAAGCCTGTACTGGAATGGATATTGAAATTTTCTAGGGCCTATAACTCTATTATTATTATTATGAAGTATTCAACGATGTCGATTGTTTAAGTTCCTAATCATGCCTTGATTCACCTTATTTGTTCTCCCAAAAGTTTGTTCTTTCGTATGTGACACTTTCGGTTTTGGTATCTTGATTGTTAGTGAAGTAAGACCCCCTCCCTACCTTAGGTCTTCTAAGTAATGTAGAAGCCAAGCGCTCTTGTTTCCACATTCTGACCTATATCTAATTTGTCCTACGTTCATTAAATCAAAAATAAAATTTTGATTATTGGGAGTGGTATGAATTGAATACAAGGTGACTATAATATTATAAAAGTTTAAAATTTATTTATTCTTTATTGTCACATTGTCACGTCACTCGTTTAATTGTTAACAATCCAATTTGACTGTCACAACAGATAAATTTAACCCGAGTTACAAAAGTTGAACGATTGAACTAAGTTTAGTGACCACGAATGTAATAAACTATTTTTAGTAATCAAATGTAATCTTTTAGTAACTACTAACTAGTGACCAAACCTACAATTTACCCCAATATAAACTGGTCTAGAGAGGATAAGAATTTAAATGGTTTCATTTTTTCTAAAACAAGATAATTAGCTCAAAATCTATACATGAAGTCATCATTAACCCTCTGCCGCTGCATTCATAAAGGGGTCGTTTGGATGCAGGTTTGTATTGGGAGATTTATGAGGGATTTTAAAATAATCCCTCGTTATGCAGGATTTTAATACAATTATGCGTTTGGTAAGATGAGAGATTGTGAGCATCAAGAATTTCTAAATCTCTCAAATGCAGGTTTTTAAAATAGCTAATGGAAATCAGCTATTTCACAATCCCTCATTTTTTATTGCATTTTTTCAAAGTCTACCATCATCCCTTCGGGCTTATTCCTTATCTCATATCAGCTCCAACGCCAGTCATCATCTCAGTCTCTCAGATATCACCCGTTTCCTTGCCGCCATCACCTTCTTAACTTTCAGTCTTCCGCTTACGTAGCCGCCTCGTTTTCTAAATGTCAAGCTCGAGATAGGAGCCGAGTTTTCTGCATAGCTGGTGAATTTGGGGTTTACGATATCGAAGCCTGAATTCAATTCGTCCTGTCCTCCCATCCGTCGCCATCTCCTCGTCTATTTCCCAGCTACCCACAAATCGATTCGTCAAGCCGGAGATCGGAGCCGGAGTTTCCTGCAAAGTTGGTAAATCTGGGTTTGCAAGATCGAAGCCAGACGCCGATTCCTCACGTTCTTCCTTCTATCGCCATCTCCCTATCTATTCCCCAGCTACCTAGAAGTTGATTAGTCTGTTTTCTGATCTAAGTTGTCGTTCTCCAATCCATCCCGTCAACATAAGCAAAAGGCAGATTAGGGGAAGAAGATGGACAAAGAAAAGAAATAAATATGGGTAGTTAAGTAATTTTAATATTTTATTAAAAAATCTTGATCCTTTGCCAAACGTATTATTTGGGCTAAATCCCACAAACTAAAGGGTTAATTGCATGGTTGGTCACTGAAATTACAAAAAACGTTCAAGTTTGATCACTCGAAATATTTAATTTTATTGGCGGTACTTCAGATTACTGAAACCGTTCACGTTTGGTCACTCTCCGTCCAACTCCGTTAACTTTGACTGATGTGGCAGTCAACTCTCAAAGTTGACCGTTAACTTAGTGACGTGGCAATTAAAAAATAATAAATAAAATAAAATTTAATAAAATGTCCAACTCATTTTTTATCATAAAATAAAAAATAAAATAAAAATATTTATTTATTTTATTATTTCCTTAAGCTCCTCGCTCTAGGGACGCGTTAAGGTGGTTACTAGATTTCTAGTAGCCACCGTGGCTACATTAGCATCCACCATCTATTTTTCACCTTTTTCTATTTTTTTAATCTCACGGTTAAGATTGTTTCAGGGTAATTTTGGAAGAAAAGATAAAACCACACCTGATTATTCTATATATTCTACCCTAACCCTAATTATACTCCCTCGCTCCATCCAAACCCTCCTCCCTCTTCCCCATCCCAACCCCGGCCGCCGTCCCCATCTCCAACTTCCACCTCCTGCCGCCTCCATCCCCATTTCAAACTTCCTCCCTGCCCCCTCTCTCCCCTCCCCCATCCCTAGGGGTGGGCAACGGGACGGGACGGGTATCCCGTCCCGTTTGAAACGGGTACCCATTCCCATTTGGAGAGAAAACTCCATCCCATGTCCCAACCCGTACGGGTTAACGGGTACCCGTTACCCGTACGGGACGGATAACGGGTACCCACGGGTACCCATATTTCATTAAATCATTGAAGTGTTGCTACTGCAGACCACATGGTCAATCAACAAATTAAAGGAACTGATGCTTTTGTGCATCAAATGGGTAAATAATTTAAGGAAAGACTTATACGGAACCTTAACAGTAACCATCAACCATAGAGTAATGAGAATTGAGATGGGAAGTGTCAACCTTGAGCCAAACGTTGTAAATATATGGGCCAGTTCTAATAGATATATATACCGAGGCTCACTAGCAGAGAGAAGGATGAATGCAATGCTGGACAAGAAAGATACCATACTCTAATATTTAATCCACCATTCTACTCCTACTACTATTACAACCAAAAATCAATGGAACTAAGTCTCAATTTGAACCAGGGCGTGCAGCTCTAGCAAGGGGGAACCTTGTTCTGAAGCTCACAGTGACAGATGGGAGTCGGATCTCGATGATGATTGGAAAGTTGATGGGTAGTACGGGTACCCGTAATACCCAAACGGGTATTAACGGGTAACCCGCGGGTACCCATTGTAAAACTTCTTGATCCCAAATCCCATCCCATAAAAAAAACTACGGGTATTTGGGTACCCGTAACCCTCAAAAAACGGGACGGGTACGGGTATTCCCAAATACCCGTTTCCCATTGCCCACCCCTACCCATCCCTCCTCCTCACCCCACCCCCATTCCCCCTCTCCTGCAAAACCCACTCCACCGTCCACCCACAACCCCCCGCCTCTTCATCCCCCTCTATCTCTCCTGCAAATGAAGGCTATGAAACATAAGGAAATTGGGGGAATTGACTAGAGAATATAGGACTAGATGGTTGCTTTGAAGGTTTCACTCACTCCCCTCGCAATCTCTTTCTCACACAGGCTGCTGGAAAAGGTGGGATGAATAAAAACTCTAGATCTTATTTTTTCCGCATTGGTAGTGATTTTTCGTAGAGGTAGTATTTTTTCGCATTGGTATTGTTTTTGTCGTATTGGTATTGATTATCATGTAATGGTATTAATTTGCATGTATTGGTATTAATTAAATCTGCAATGGTATTGATTTTTTTGTGAAATGGTATAGATTTATATTGGTAGATTGTTTATATTGGTAGTTTTCGTGTAATGGTATAGATTTATTTCTGCAATGATATTGATATTTTTCAAAGTGGTAGTGGTTGTCTAATGGATTGGTAGTGATTTCGTGTTTTTTTTCTTTTGCAGAAAGATTGAGAAAAATAAGGAAAGTGGATCTGGCTGGAGATTCTGGAAGTGAGAGAAAGAGATAGAATTGTAATTAATAGATTCTTGTAACTACCTAAAATATAATTTATTAAAAAAATTAATTAATATAATTTATTTTTCATACCCAATTTACCCTTAGTAACCATGGTGATTACTACAAAATATAGTAATCACCCTAACCTGTCCCCCTCGCTCTACCCTACGTCGCTGTGCTCTTGCTCTTCCTCTGGGTATTCGATCCACGCCAGAGTTTCCACCGAATCGAGGTTAGCTCCTTCCCTTTCTCCATACACAAACCATCGTCTTCTCGCCGTCAGCTCTTGACGTCCCAAGAGGATGAGGGGGGAGCTTTGTTCTGAGATCGGCCCTTGAAGACACCTACGTTCTCGAACCACCGCCGCTCGCCCTCACTCCTGCTAGCAGCGTTGAATGTATCGACTGTTTGGAGCTCAAATTGCTGGTGAGTTTTTCATTTCTCCTGCTAATTCCTTGCCCTTACCAAGATAATCGCACTCTCTGGTGGCTGGATTTTTCTGGTTCTTTGGCTTGATTTGGGATTAGTGAAGAGGAAAGAAGTTCTGTCGGGTGAGTACGGGTGAAGGGGAATTGCAGCTTTTGGGTTCTTCTACTTAATTGTTTTGTTTGGGAATAAAAAACCAAATAGTCAATTTCTGTACAAAAAAAAAAAACGAATAAAAAATCAAGCCTCTTTGGATCTGGAAAAGCTCGCCGTATCTTTGCCGAGGGAAGAGTCGAAGCAGGATGAATGAATGTTCCATGGAAGCAAATTTTCATGTTATTATCTAGGAAGCTATGTGCCTTGGTGGGAGATGAACAGTTGGTTGCATCTTTGTCGAAGGAAGAGTCGAAGAGGAGATGGGATTTGACAGCGATGGCGCTGGCGACGATAAGAAGAGAGGGAATCAGAAGCGCTAGAGAAGAAAGCACATCGACGGCTGGTGGTGGATTGATTCCGGCCAGAGACGGGAGAACTCCAAGCTGCTGCGAGAGAAATCGCTTCCAGTCCGATTGGGGGTCTTATGGACGGTTAATGGAGGAGAGAACTCATAGAGTCTGCATCTTCCCAAAAAAGAACCTGAACCGCCCTCTTTCGAGCCTCCCATCTGCTCAACCTCCCTCATGCTCCACCCTCCACTCTGCCGTTGTTTTCATCGATCGTCATCGCTCTGCTTCCCTCTGCTCGCCTCTACAAGCCGGAGACGAAGGCGTCGGGTCGGAGAAGAAGACGAGTTCGTCAATCTGCCGCTCTACCTCCTCTGCTCCGATCGCCGAACAAGCCGGAGAAGATGTTGGGTCGGGGAGATGAGATTTGGTTTTAATTAATGAGTTGGACATTAGATTATAATATTTATTTATTTTATGCTAAAAATGAGTTTAACATTAAAATAAATTAAATTTTATTTATTATTTTTTAATTGTCACATCACTAAGTTAACGGTCAACTTTGAGAGTTGACTACCACATCAGCCAAAATTAACGGAGTTGGACGGAGAGTGACCAAACGTGAACGATTTCAGTAAACTGAGGTACCATCAATGGATTTAAATATTTCGAGTGACCAAACTTGAACGTTTTTGGTAATCTCAGTGACCAAACATGCAATTAACCCACAAACTAAATATCCTGAATCGCTATTCGTCGCCCTAATATTTAAATTTTATCGCCCTAAAATATACCGAATTGACATTCTTATCCCTAAGCCCAATTTCAACTTAAACCCTAAACAAAAAATCTCTTATTCCTGCCCAGCGGTGGTCGAGCCGAGCTCCTCCATCCTCTCACCGCTGCTGCCATAGCCGGATTCTTATCTCCGGCAGTGCCCATCTCAACCAGATTGTTTCTTTTTCTACTGCCAGTATTAAGAAGAAAGATAGTCACCAACAATAAAGTATTAAGGAGGGTGTCGCCTAATATTGAGTTAAGCCAATTATCATTGCAAACTCAAACCAATAATAAAATGTTAAGAAGAAGGCCGTCGCCCACCACCACAATACTCCTTCTATTGGCGGCGAGCAGAAGGAAGAAGAACACGAAGAAGAAGGACGAGGTAGAAGCACTCCATCAAAGGGGTCCGCAGTAGGTGTCGAACGGGTTGAAAATTTGTCATCGGCGAGCTGGGGACAGATCGAACCTGTCCCGTGCTCGCCGGCGACAAGTTTTGAACCCGTCCGGCGCTTCCAGCGGCAGGTACAGAACATGCCCTTCTCTGGTCCAGTCGGGTATCTAACCTGTCTGGTTGGGCAGGCATCCGACCGGTCCAGGTCTGTTTTGGTGTAGTATATGAGTTTGTTTTGGGTTTCATTATTTGAAAGATAAATAAATGAATTAAGGACATTAAGGTAAATTTAACTTAATTAGGGCGACGAATAAAAAATTTTAGGGCGACGAATAGCAATGCCCTAAATATCTTAGTTTTTAATTGAGAGATTTGGGCCTCAAATCTCTCATATTAAAATCCTGCATCCAAACGACCCAAAAAGAAAACCCTCTGCCGCTGCAGTCTGCAGAAAGTAAGGAGTGATGACTGACCCCTTAGGCCCTTACCGCATAGGATGGTTTGACAGAAGGAGGCCGGCGTACGTGGAATAATTCTGGGCCCAAAGCGAAAGGCTTCACCGGCCAAAAAGGAATGGCGCTCAAAACATAAACCAGATTGTGCCAATCTCCCGTTTTCTTCAAAGAGTTCAAACTTCAACTCTCTCTAATCGCGTCTGCGCTTCTGTTTGTGTCTGCGTAACTCCTTCACTTCCAGCAGCTTCTCCAATAACAAGGCGCAGCGGAGTACACTTCCCGGCAGCAAGCCAGAAACAGAGAAGCTAGGGTTCATTCCTTTCAATTTCGAATTGTCAGAGAGCAGTCGTCCATCGTCATCCATGTCTCGGCTTCGTCCGAAGCTGGTTTTCTCTGGCTTCACCAAGGCCGAGGTACTTTGCCTATCCTCGCTTACGCCAAATTGCGATGGCTCTCAGTTTAGCACTTCGATTGTCAGCTTCCTTTCTTGCTTTCATTTGCATGCACAATTGATCTGTCTCTTTCGCATCCATGGGGCACAGTCCGAGAAGATGGAGAAGTTGTTGGATGATTCGGTCCAACCTCTAAACACAAAGTTCTTTAAAAATCTTGCTAGAGGTTTCAAGTGAGTTGCTCTTTTGTGAACTGTACATTGAAATTCAGCAACCGACTATTGATTTGATTTAATTAGCGTCAAACTAAATGCTGCGAACGAATTCCAATAGTTGGTTCTGGATCTAACCCCTGTTTTATCTTCTCTTCAGCCAATCTTCTGGCCGTGCGGGTAAACCAGTTGTGAAATGGACCGAGGTGTAAAATCTACTAAAGCTTGAGATTGTAAAGCTTCTTTTTGGTTTAACACCTCTTGTTCTTTGATTTGCATCTCTAATTATTTTGACTTGTTTGATGATGGGTTATATCCAGGTAGAGAGTTGGTTCCGGAAGAGGCAACAAGGCATCACACCACCACTTTGCTCCGAAACTGGTGCTTCGAAAGATGGTTCAATGTTGCCAGGGCCTAGTCCTGCGAATGAGTCTAATGGTACCTCCAAAAAGGATACAGGTGCTCCATTTCTTAAGCTCTTTGGATTGGGTTACATTACACTTCCTTCGTTAGTGTCTGTTTGCAATGTATTGCAACCTTTTGTTGATCTGGAAGCTATGAAATAAAATTCAGCTTTAAGTGTTGTGAGGTGCTCCAACTTATAGTGTAAAGGATAAGGTAGAACTAAACTTTGCGGATCAAAGCGTAGTGTAGGGAAGAATAGTTGGATATTTCAACTTGTGCAATACAGAGATAAAACTCTCTTAGTATTGAACTCTCTGCAAAGAAACTTGGTGCCGACGAGCTATTTTGCTTAGGAAAGGCAAGTGTACCTTAGATAAGCTAGCATAGTGGCACAAGGTCGTATTTCTTGGGGTTTAAAAGTTAAGTAGTATAGTGGCACAAGGTCGTATTTCTTGGGGCTTAAATTTCTATCTTGTCAAGCAAAGTGGTTTGATTTGAGTACAAACTAATCTAACGTAAACAAAGAAATAAGAAAAACTAAACTAGTGGAGAATCACAAGATATGAGAAGTTGCTTATAGTTGAATTCCCCTAGAGTTGAATTAAGATGCAATTGAAGAAGGAATTGATTTGTACACCTGAACTTGATATTGTGGAGACCCCTATATAACTCATCATTAATGCAATTATAATCCTTTCAGTTAGGCAACTAAAGCTCACTTTCATGCAACTTAAACTCCCAAATTGAAGCTTTCAAGATGGTAGAGTTCACATTCATGCTATTTAAACCCATACACACAAGCCTACACCCCTAACACTAATTATTTCTGATTTGTAGCAAAACTATAGCTAATCATCTCCTTTTTTAGTTTATTTTCCTAAATTAATGAAGAACTCCTTCGTTATAATATCTAAAAGTTACTATTAGAAAATATAGGTGTTTAATTTGTCCATAATTGCATGCTCATCCTCTGGTTGAAGTACTATTCATGTGATTGGCCAATGCTATTTGATGAACAATTAGGATAGCAATAATAGCACCTTGCTTGCATCATTCTTGTCTTCAAGACTGTAGAAACTAGGTGGCTTGTGCTCTCCAATTGAAGATTTAGAGCTTCGGGTTTGGAGAATCTTCTGGAGAAGGAATGATCAATTTTTCTGAGACTTGCACTACTCTTTGCTGAGATATAAGTATCCTTCGATAGAACTTTGAAGTAATTGTAATCCTAGTATAGTCCTTAATTGCTTGCTCACCACGGGAAGACATTGTTAAATTTTTTCATTAATATTGGAAGCTAATAAACTAGTAAACATAAAGTTACCGTTAATAACTTCTTCAAGAATATGGGAAGCTAATAACTATTTAACATCACATCAGACTAGGACAACAAGAATGAAATGACAATGAAATAAGGAAAGTGGTATAATTTGAATACTAACTAATCTAATTTAAACAAAGAAATAAGGAAAACTAAACTAGTGGAGAATCACAAGATATGAGAAGTTGCTTATGGTTGAATTCCCCTAGAGTTGAATTAAGATGCAATTGAAGAAGGAATTGATTTGCACACCTGAACTTGATATTGTGGAGACCCCTATACAACTCATCATTAATGCAATAATAATCCTTTCATTTAGGCAACTAAAGTTCATTTTCATGCAACTTAAACTCCCAAATTGAAGCTTTCAAACTCTTTGGATCCCACTACTTAGTTGCCTTAGTCCACCGAGAGGGTAGAGTTCACATTCATGCAATATAAACCCATACACACAAGACTACACCCCTAACACTAATTATTTTGGATTTGTAGCAAAACTACAACTAATTATCTCATTTGTAAGATTATTTGACTAAATCAATGAAAAACTCTTTCGTTATGATATCTAAAAGGTACTATTAGAAAATATAGGTGTTTAGTTTGTCCATAATTGCATGCACATCCGATTGTTGAATTACTATCATGTGATTGGCCAATGCTATTTGAAGAACAATTAGGATAGCAATAATAGCACCTTGCTTGCATCATTGTTGTCCTCAAGACTCTAGAAACTAGGTAGTTTGTGCTCTCCAATTGAAGATTTAGAGCTTCAGATTTGGAGAATCTTCTGCATAAGGAATGATCAATTTTTCTACTATTCTTTGCCGAGAGATAAGTATCCTTCAATAGAACTTTGAAGTAACTATAATCCTAGCATAGTCCTTAATTGCTTGCTCAACCCGGGAAGACATTGTTATTAATTTGTTCATGAATATTGGAAGCTAATAAACTAGTAAACATAAAGTTACAGTTAATAACTTCTTCAAGAATATGGGAAGCTAATAAACTAGTAAGCATCACATCAGACTAGGACTCTAAGAATGAAATGACAATGAGGATTGCATCTTCATCGTATTTCCTAATACTTATTAGTGCTTCTGTGTTCCAAATTATTGGTGTTTACTTTGAACTTGTGGTTAGAGTGGTCTAACAAAATCAGAATATTGTCATAGCATCCAAACAAATTTAATACAACCAATCTTCCATGCTTCTTTTTGCTTCATCTCACATTTCACTTAGGTAAAAGATGAGTTGTGGTGTGTCTCATGAATGTGAAGTCCTATTTAGCATTTCAAGATCTTGCCGTTTTGCTCCTTATTTTGTCTAGATGTCTGTTATCCATTATTCCATTATCCAACCAAAAAAAGTATCGTGCCAAATTCTGTATACTACTAGTTCAGTTAGCAAAGGATTTTATATAGCATCAATATCTTTCTTCCAAATTAGCCATAAGTTGACAAAGCCTTGTTTGTGATTTTGGTTTTGCATGAGAAATCATGATATTTTTGAATTTATCTTTATCATTCCATGCTAAAGTGACTTCTATTTGTCCCAAACAGGAAATATGCAAGATCGGTCGACCATACAATTTGAAGCAAAGTCATCAAAAGATGGTGCTTGGTAAGCGGAACAGAGTATGATATGTGGTGGGATGAGATTATTTTCAGTATTGACACTATAGAGATATAATTGATGATACACTCACTTGGACAAGACTTGAATAACTTGCTATTCTTGTTTTTTTTTTGTCTTTTCCTTGTTAAGAACACCCTAGAAGAGTTGTCTAGCTTGAAGGAAGATGTAGAATGGTTGAGTCATAAATTGCCTACTACAATCCTTCTCCAATAGTCAACTTTCTATGAAATTCTCCAATAGAGTTCTTTAGTAATTAAAAATGTTTTCTGTATATTTTCCTTGGGTCATTATGATGTGTTTTATGCATTAGAAAGATTATTATTTATTTAGTTCACCTAGTCAAGAAATAGTGTGCTGGTATTTGATAGCAACCTTGTTAATAACACAAGTATCCACTCATTCTCATTGTATTGGTCACATCTTTCTTGCTTAGTAGCAAGGTATTAACAATGACATGTAGCTCAATCTAGCATGTCCCTAGTCAAGAAATAGTGTGTTGGTATTTGATAGCAACCTTGTTAATAACACAAGTATCAACTCACTCATGGTATTGGTAACATCTGTCTTGCTTAGTAGCAAGGTATGATCAATGACTTAGTCCTTCTTCAACCATGTGACCTTTCATCTTTTTTTGCATACAATGTGTTGGATAGCTCCTTATTTGGTCTCTCTTTTTCATTAGCCGATGTGATATGTAGATTAAGGGGCATTAGCTTAAGATTTAGTGATCAGCGCCCTTATGTGATATGTAGATTAAGTTGGTTGCTAGCTCAACTTAGATGGACTTGCCTAAGCGTAATTGGATGCTAAGTTCTTGTTTAGAGTTTAGACACACTAGCTAAAATAAGCTGAAGTGGTTGTTTGGTGTGGCATAGATGATGACATGTCATAGGTACCATGTGGTATGAGACATGCCACAATATCCTTGTGCCTACACATCAATGATGTGGCACCACCTATGTGACAAGTGGACCAATGGAGTGGTAACCCACGAGAAAAGGATAAGTGTTGGTTACCTCTTGTCGATAAGGATGTGTGGTTATTTGTTTGTTTTAGTGGAGGGGATGTGTTTAGGCTCCACTTAATGATTATAAGTTGAGTCAAGAATATTTTGCACTTTGTGAATGCTCAATGCTTGCGTCTATTGCTTACATCATTAGACAAATGCACAACAAAGTGTGGAGTACAAATGCACCACAAAGTGTCAAGTGTTGCTATATGTCTGGAATTTAAGTTCAATGCTTTCCCCCCTCTTTCCAGGTATGATGTTGAGTTGTTCCTTTGCAACAGAAAACTACCATCAGGAGACCTTGTAAGTTGTGTTAGTATGACTGAGTTTTTTTCCATGTTAGTTCCCTTTGATTTTTAATAGTGAAAGGGCAATCAAAACTCAATATTATGAGCTGTGTTTGTTTAAGTTTTTCTAAATAATTAACTTCTTTTTATGTTTCCGTGAAAGTAAAGAAAGAGTGTGTTGAATGTTGATAAAGTTTCAGGAAAACTTAAATTGATGAGTATTGAAATATTTTGTAGTAATAAAAAAGTAATTGTTGTAATGACAGATAGTTTGTTCGATGATAAATAGATGAGTAGGTTATGAAAAAAGTGTGAGTATATAACTCTTAAGAATTGATATGTATTTTGTAGCATTAAGTAAAAATGTAAATTTGGTGGTGTGGAGTCTACAAGTACCATGACTAGCAGTTCTAGAAAGTTGGATTTTTTTTTGTTTGTTTTAGCTTTTAACTCTAGTTATTTTGTAGCCGAAACAAACACATCAATGTCATTTCAACAAGCATGGTAGAAAGCATCAACATAACACTATTAGCGCTTGGACAGATCAACTGATATGCATTTTATAACATGTTGAAGGAAGTTCGTGTCAGATTTGAAGGATTTGGGGCAGAGGAGGACGAATGGGTAAATGTAAGAGAGGCAGTCAGACAACGGTCTGTTCCCGTGGATCCTTCAGAATGCCATTCGGTGAATGTTGGGGATGTAGTATGCTGCTTTCAGGTGAGTGGCGAAATTGCTTGCCAGTATCGCCCAAGTCTTGTGTGGTTTTGTATGGTTGGATGTTAGAGAAATTAAAGCTGATGAGATGTCTTAGCTAGTAATGAAAGAGTAATAGATGAAGTAGTAGATGGTATATATAATAGTAAAATGAATGCTATGAGTATGAAGTATAAGTTCATATTTCATAGGAAGGTAGAAATGAAATTTATATAGTGGCAGATTTCCAGCTAGAGTTATTTGTAGAGGTCATTATAAATTGTTCTTTTTAAAAAAATAGATTAATACTATAAAAGAAATAGATTGATAAAATGTGTTTGTTTCGGCTTTTAAGTCTGAGTTCTTGCTCAAGTAACTAGCAATAACCAAGACAACCATTTGCCAATTTGCCTCTGACTATGTTATCAGGAGAGGAAGGATTATGCGATGTATTACGATGCTCATGTGATCGAAATTCAGAGGAAACTGCATGATATAAGGGGCTGCAGGTGCATTTTCAAGATACGGTACAATCATGACAACGTGGAGGTCAGAATCTCGATCGTTGTTCTTCCCCGGTAGTTATATTTCAGCGCCCGCCCCGAGGGGGAGCGGGGCTTGTTAATATTTGGGTTGTTGCTGACTCTGGAATTGGTTCTTTTGCTGTTGTTGCCAGGAAAGAGTTCGTCTTAGAAGACTCTGTTATCGCCCAACACCTTGACGCAAGAATCAAGAGAAGCTATGTGGAGCGAAGCCAGACCTCTCTCAAGTGTATAGTAGTCATATATGCCATCCAACAGAATACCTGTGAAAAATGAAAAGCTTTTGTTTCCTCCTTTTGATGCTTTCAGTAAATGGGAAGCTGGCATTACCTTCCCGCTTGTTGAAATTTGACTGTAGTCTGCGCAGTAGGGACTTTGTTCAGAGTCTAGAGAACTTCATGGTTGCGCATAGCAGAATGTAGATGGCCAAAACTATTGAGGCTTTGGGGGGAGAAAGTGTCGCCAGTAGCTTTCTGCCTGGTGTCCCGGTACCAGTTTCATCAGATGTCGCCGAAGGGACGGGTCTCTTGGCTGCATCAAACTGATGCACAACTTATTTTGCTGCTTAGCTAGTGCTTGTTAATATTGTACAGGACTGGTCCGCTGTACCCGTTATAGTACTGGTCAGGTCTTTTACTAGTCTGGAGTTTTTGTATCGACAATGTGATCTCTGGTACTGTTTTACAAAAATTGGTGCTAATGGCCATCATTCTTGCTCGCTGGGAGTTTCACTCGTGATGCATTGAGGCTAGTGATGACAATTTCGACCCGATAGGTCCGATCTGTTTTGGATTAGGTTCGACCTGCCGGGCATGGGTATTCTCATAGACCCTACCCGTTCTGACTCGCCCCATTCTTGACCTGTTCTAGATTACATGTAATTTTAGTTAAATTACTTAAGATTTTTCTTTTACTACATCATATTTAAACTATTATAAAGTTGTAATTAGTGAAAATCTCAATTTTTTCAATAGTTTAACTACATTTTATAATGCTTTCTTGATCTTATAATAAAAATAACTAATATTTTTAATGCTTTCCATATAAATTACATACTCATGGGTTGACCTGCCCCGATTCGTGTCTCATGATAAATTACCCGACCTGCTACGGGACGGATATGGGTATCGAGATACCCGCCCCGAACCTGCCCATTGCCATTCCTATTCTCGAGACAATCAATGTGACTACAGTCCTTATACCTATGGTGAAACCGTAGTTCATCGGTTAATACGGCTGGCTAATTATCGTCTACGGATTTAGTCTTAGTATTAGTATTTTGCAGTTGAACTATTACTACAGTACGGTCTCACAAACCATGCTATAAATATCCTCCCTTTGATTTCCCATCTAGAAGTTTCTCTCCCCCTCCCCTTTTGTCCATCTTCCTGCCTTTGGAACTTCTTCAATCCAATCTTCACCGATAACTTCCCGACCCTCGATGAACGTTCTCTTTCTTGCTGGAAGCGTGGCACCACCGTCATCTTCGCTCATACGATCCCTGAGCAGCGAACTCGCTAACCCAACAAATCGGCCGTTTCAGTTACCTCTGCCGAAAGGATTGAGCTCGAAGTGGATTCGAATGACACCATAATCGCAGAGGAATCTAAACACAAACAGGATCGCTGTTTTTTTATGAGAATCAAAATCTTGCGAGTCTGGAGTTCTTAATAAGATGGATGAGTACGACAGTGGGGAAAGGCCCGAGCCAGAGGACGAGGGAAGCACAGCTCCTTTGCCTGAAAAGGTTGGTTTCTCTCTGCCCGCGCCATTTTGCTTGTAGCGTTGTGGGAGTCTTCGAAAATTGCCATTGCATTGTAAGCTTATAAGCTTCACTTTGCTTCACAGGTGACTGTTGGTGGTTCCCCAACGTACAGAATAGATAGAAAGCTTGGGAAAGGAGGGTTTGGACAAGTCTTCGTCGGTAGACGAATTGGTGCTGGCCCTGGTGCAGTAGAGGTGTGTGCATTTCCGATGTTTGAACTTTGAAGCTGTCCTGCAACTTTTGTACGGACACCCTTCGGCCGGGCTTATATTTGGTCTCTGAATTTCAGGTGGCGTTGAAGTTTGAGCATAGAAGCAGCAAAGGATGCAATTATGGTCCACCGTACGAGTGGCAAGTTTACAAGTGAGTTCCTTGTAGTTCCTTCGTAGTATGTTCTGATAGTGTGAACGATTGTGGATGTGATTTGATGAACTTATTAACCCCTTGACCCTCTGGTAATGCTGATAGTGCACTTGGAGGTAGCCATGGCGTGCCACGAGTCCATTTCAAAGGCTGTCAGAGTGACTACTATGTTATGGTATGTTGGTTGCGCTTGACTGCTTGTGTTCATGAGATGATTAGCATTTTGATATACAGGGATGGTGAAAATGGAGCCCGTGTTTGCTGCAGGTCATGGACATGCTTGGTCCGAGCTTGTGGGATGTTTGGAATAATAATTCACAAACGTAAAGAACTCGTTTTGGAGTTGGAAGTTCATGTCTTTTTCCCTTACAATGGAGTTTGTCGTTTGGGAATTCTCATTATGCTAACCCATTAGGTTTGTATTTCAGGATGTCGATTGAGATGGTTGCCTGCATTGCCATTGAAGCCATCTCCATTTTGGAGAAGGTGCACTCTAGAGGGTAATGCTTTCGATTTGACTGACATTTTTTCATTGCTTATGTGAACTTGCCTGTTCTCTTGTGGATTTGGCTTGGATTCATTGGTTCGGTTGCGATTGATATAATATCTTACTTGATCCATGATATAGGAACCTTGCCAGTATTTTGATTTTGAAGGTCGAGTCTGGCTACTTAGAACACAATGCTGTTTAGTTTGGCTGCTGGTTGGGATAGCTTTTCCAAAAATGTTATGCTGGTTTTGCAGATATATTCATGGAGACGTAAAACCTGAGAATTTTTTGTTGGGGCCTCCAGAAACTCCTGATGAGAGGAAGTTATATCTTGTTGACCTTGGTCTGGGTAAGTTCTATACTTTTCTCTACTGGTAGTCTGTATTCTATGTTCGACATAGTTCTTTCTGTGAATTGACTCTGCTTGATGATCATTTCAAAATGGGGAACAGTGTTGTCACCAAGTTAGACTACAAACTTCTGCTCCCCCTTGACGTTCACAGTGCGAAGAGATGTATGCACTGGAACGCAGTTGCTTTGTCTTCTTAAAGTTGACCAAGGAAATGCTTACAAGTAAAACTGTGCATTTGTTTTAACTTTACAGCTACAAAATGGCGTGATACCTCAACTGGTTTGCATGTTGAGTATGATCAACGGCCTGATGTTTTCAGGTAAATTCTTGTTTTTGTTCCTTCGATATAAACAGCCTAAACTGCCTTATTTCTTGCTGTGCCTCAGTGTTAAGGTGCATTATTTCTTCCTATGATTCAGGGGAACAATGAGGTATGCCAGTGTTCATGCTCATTTAGGTAGAACTGGTAGTCGGAGAGATGACTTGGAATCTCTGGCCTATACTCTTGTTTTCCTTCTCCGTGGTCGGTTGCCTTGGCAAGGATATCAGGTCTGCATCTTTGAATCATATGATGTCACCAATAACAGTGAATTTTGTTGTCTCTAACATTAGTCTTTTTTAGGGGGAAGATAAAGGATTCCTTGTTTGCAAGAAAAAGATGGCTACTTCCCCAGAAACTTTGTGCTGTTTTTGTCCTCAGCCTTTTCGACAATTTGTCGAGTATGTGGTGAATTTGAAGTTTGATGAGGAGCCAAATTATGCAAAGTGTATATCCCTTTTTGATGGGATTGTTGACCCAAATCCATATATTAGGCCAATTAACACTGACGGTGCCCAGAAGGTACCTTTTGTCGTCTGTTTTGATATGTTTCTTCATTTGATCAATCTTCATGTATTAATCTATGAATTTGGTCATGTGAAGCTTATATATCAGGTTGGACAAAAGAGGGGACGATTGACAATGGAGGAGGAAGATGGACAACCAAATAAAAAGATCCGAATGGGAATGCCTGCAACACAGTGGATCAGTATCTACAATGCTCGCCGACCCATGAAACAAAGGTTTTCCTTAAAAAAATTGTGGCACTAACTCTGATGTTCACAAGACAAGTAATTAATTCTGTGTGCTTGTTGCAGGTATCACTATAATGTCACTGATGCAAGACTCTCCCAGCACGTAGAGAAAGGAAATGAAGATGGGCTGTTTATAAGCAGTGTCGCTTCATGCTCAAATCTATGGGCCCTCATTATGGATGCTGGCACTGGGTTCACTGCCCAAGTTTACAAGCTTTCTCCTCAGTTTCTCGACAAGGTTGGTTTTCATTATTAAGTTTATGATGGAAATATGTAACGAGCAATGTAATGCTGCAATGGATGTCGGAACTTAGGCCTGGTTCTTTAAAATTTTCACTGCAATAACTGGTTTGATACCTTTGCCCCAAAGGAATGGATAGTGGAACAGTGGGAGAAAAATTACTACATCAGTGCAGTTGCAGGAGCTAATAATGGCAGCTCGTTGGTTGTGATGTCCAAGGGTGAGTAGCATAGCTTTAGCTGCTTCATTTTTGAAGGGTTCTGATGCCTTTTACTAACACATAAGGCTTATTGGAACAGGTACACAATTCTTACAACAGTCTTATAAAGTTAGTGATTCGTTTCCTTCCAAGTGGATTAATAAGAAATGGCGAGAGGGATTCTATGTCACTGCCATGGCCACTGCTGGAAGTAGATGGGCTATTGTTATGTCTCGTGGTGCAGGGTTTTCGGCTCAGGTCTTGTGGTTTTCTATGATTTGCTGTTTATAGATTCCCCTATTGGTGAACAGTATGGTTGTTCTGAATGTCGTTTTCACTTGTAGGTCATTGAATTGGATTTTCTTTATCCTAGTGAGGGTATTCACCACAGGTGGGATAGTGGTTACCGTATAACCTCAACTGCTGCAACTCGGGACCAAGCTGCCTTTGTTCTTAGTGTCCCACGTAGAAAACCAGCTGATGAAACTCAAGAGACCCTTAGAACGTCTGCTTTCCCAACTACACATGTCAAGGTCTATTCGTTTGTTATAATTCGTGGTTTCTATGTGTTTCTTCCTGACACTGGTTTTATTTACATCTATCTTCCTCTTTTCTTCCAGGAGAAATGGGCAAAGAACCTCTACATCGCCTCTATTTGCTACGGCAGAACTGTCTCTTGAACAGCTGAAATTTTGTTGAATCCCATCAGGTCTCAGGATTTTTCATGACTTGGAATTATGGCGTTGACAACTTGCATAGGCAAAATCATACTGTTGCCATTGGTTAGCATCCAGGAGCTCAGGTGCACATTCTTACAGTCGCGCGAGCTAGTGAACCTTCTCACATTCCATTGGGTTTGAGATGAATTGCATTTCACCTAGAAACTCCATACAAAGCTGGTGAACAACAGAACAGGCCTTTGTTTCGAGGGTCTGTGCACTGGTCCCTGCTCCATTGTTGATGTTCTGTCGGAATTGCAGTGTGACTTCTCCAGTGAGCTCTCAGCTTTCATTCTCAGAAGCTCATGTCTTAGGCTTCCATGCTCTTCGCCACAGAAGGCGGAGTTGTTTGTCAGTCCATCCCTATGGTTTTGGGATGTCCCGAGTGCGGTCGAAACCATCGGAACTTGCTCAACTTTGTGTACTCTATTTGCAAGAGCAGATGTAAATTATGTATTCACAACTAGTCCCAACGATCGGAGAAATGCAGGTACTATATGCGGTCTGTTCTCTTGGTTTTCAGGTCCAGAGTAAATCATGAGTTGACAACAGCAAATCCGAAGCAGGTGTAATCGTAATGTCGAATTTCGAACCTGAAGATGGTGGTTCTAACTAAGGCTTGTATGATTCGCCTTCCTCCTCTTCTCTCTGTCGCCCTGTCGAAGCATCCATAGTTGCTATCAACTGCAACTATTATCGACTTGAGAAATCAAACCGTTGTGAGCAAGACACGATCACATAGCTGGTCTAGTGACGTTTAAGGTTACTTTAGACCTTTCTTTGACTATTTTGTTTAAAATTTGCTAGTACTACACTGCATTTGTGGGAAGCATGTTCCAGCCATGTATATTTAATTAAGGCGTGCAGTATATAATGCAAAGCGTAATCATTGCTTCGTTAGAGTCGGTTAGTGACTGGAAACATCTTTTCTCTAGCCGATTGACTATACGTATAAGTGGATCAGATCTTGTGCTACCCTTTACTTTTTAAGATTTTTTCCCTCTTAATTCACAAAAAGGACGCATTTTCCCTCTAATTTACAAAAAAGGATGCAACGTAGAATGTTTGCCGATGGCTTGGATGAAGGTTTTTCGAGTAGCCAATAGCAAATTAATATCGATAAAAGAGCTTTTTTTGTCACTAAATAAGTTGAAACTTGAAACACTTATAAATAAAATAACATTAAAATTCACGATGTCTATCACAAGAGTTCAAATATTAATTTTTTTAACACATTAGAAGAGCTCATAGGTGGATCTCACAAAATTCCAACATGGTTATCAGTGTCTTAATTATTTGAATTTTTGCTAGTAAGGACCCAATACATGTAATACATTAATTACAATATATGACAAAGTATGTTACAAGTCATTATAAACTACTGATTGTTGTAGTTAAAAAATTCAGAAACAACGATAAAATATTGAATACATTTTTGGCGTCTACGAAATAAAATTCATCGTATATATGATTGATAGAATTTTTATACCTATGTTTTTTACGGATTTAACACATAAAGCGTCGTAAAAGAAATGAAGACAAATGAAATGCACCACTAAAAATTAGGATGTGCTTTCCACGATATAAAAAAAGTCAAAACATTCCATTGGATCATACTTCTTACAATATATCTGACGATATAAAAAACGTACTTACGCCAATCCCCATGAAATGCCAACCAAATTCACTTGAAATGATGCATTTGTTTAGTCCATTTTCCTTTTGAGATTGAAAATTAACCCTAGGCCTACCCCAAATCGGCAAATCCTAAGTCATAGAAGGCAACTGTATATATTCTTGCATACTATTTCGCACAGATATACTTAAATAGACTGATTTTCTGATACGAGACACAATCAATGTCATTATCATTGGGTTAGTCGTTAATCTTCAAAGTTAACTGCTACCCTCAAACACTCATTACTCATACTGGCAAATATGCCCTAAAGTCGTAGCAATGATTATAGCTACAGTTTGCTTGCAGAGTGATGGTCTTAATATACTGATAGTTTTCAACTTAATTAGGTTAATTAATTTTTCTTTCTTAGCCTAACTGGCCAAGAAAGGCTGCCCTAAAAAGAAAACATAATTTCCCAATGATCACCCAAGTCCTGTTTTGACCATTCTAGATCTATCTTGGTTCTGTTGCTCGTTATTTTTTCCTATATCTAACATCTATCAGCCAATTCCCCAAATTGGGTCGTTTTGTGGGTAGAGTAGGCGTGGATTATGGATAGTTATGATTGCGATAAGTCGATAACAATTTTACTCAAGCTTATATGTATTCGTTCATTCTGATACTTATTCACTACTACAATTAAGTGAGTTATATATTATATCTATTGAATTTATACGCGACAATTATCTTTTCTCGATCATAAGTCTTTATTAATAAGTAATTGGCAACCCTATTTATGTACATAATGTGATCACATAAGAATATGAAGTTTGGTGATAAGATATCGATAATTTGAGACAAGATGAAGGTTTGTTCCAAGTTACGTTTTATTTTCCCCCTTGCAGTTAGGGTTGTAGTAATAAAGCAAAATGTTTTCATTCCCTCCCCCCCCCCCCACACAAAAGCTTTAGTTATTGGAGCAAAGGAGGGTATGTTCTTAACTGTAAATATAAGAAATTTTTTGATTGAAAGATCAACGGATTGTACAATTTTCAATTTTTCATTCTAAGAAGCACGTGAAAGAGCAATGTAAGATTCGATTTTGATTAAACCGGCTGTGCTATTACACAGCTTGCATATTTTTGACGAACTCGTGTTTTTGTTTTTACGAACTCGGTTGTTGCTGTTGACAAAGGCAGGCAGATATAAAGCACTCGTATGATATACACATGTTTAATTTGGTCCCAATTGCTACAAAAGTATTTACAATGATCAAACCAGATCCGGTGTCGTTCCATACAGAAAAAAAAAGGACCCAGGAACACCGATACATATATAGAGAGGGGAAGATCAGGAACAAGAAAGCAAAGAGAAAATTACACAATACAAAGTACAGTACAAGGAAGTAAAAAAAAAAAAATATTACTGAAAAGAAGCACTAGATCTCGATTCATGACACCCGTTGGATCGCCTTTCTCCTGCGCGTTCTCAGCCATCGGATCGGTAGCTAGCTAGCTTACCTTGTTGTGATCATCTTCTCAGGGTTAATTCAGTAAATACCATTATGGACATGCTAATACGTTCATTGTTTCTGTTCGTGATAACCAGCCGCAGCCATCCACTTCTGCAGCCTCAGATCCGTGTAGAACCTCTGAATGAACCTCTCCGCTTCCGTGTCCACGTGGCCTTCCACGTGTCCCGCGCCAGCACCGCCGCCACCTCGCATCGACGAGAACGGCGAGTCCGTGATCCTCACCTCCCTCACCAACGGGCTCCACGACCCTCCCCCCGACGACAACGCCGAAGAACACCCTCCCACCGTCGACGTGGCGGCACACGACTCCGCCACCTCAAACCCGCGGCCGTCCACGTCACCATGGTTATAATACCTCGCCAGTGGCGGCTGCCTGTAGTGGTGGTTGTAGCGGTAGGGCTTCCGCGGCGGGGGACGCCTGCGGCGGCTGCGGCGGGCGGCGGCGGAGGAAGGGCTGTTGCTGCAGCAGCTGAACTGGTAGTCGCGTGGTGACACGTAGGAGAGCCGGACGTCCACGTGGCCGGCGCCGCAGCTGATGGGGGACAGGAAGGAGGCTTCCGGGTCGTCGGGGCGGCAGCCGGCGGGAGGGGAGATCTGGTGCTGAGTCACGAGGTCCTTGCCACGTTGGATGATGAGGTGGAGGTCTAGGGCGAGCTTGGTCTTGGAGTTGGAGACGCCCTTTCGGATCATCACCATGGCGCAGCGGAGGATGGACTGGAGCTTCTTCCGGCTGATGACCATCAACGGCGGCGGTGGGTTTTTGTTATTGTGAATATTGTTGAGCCTCTCCATGTGGTGTAATGATGGGTGTAATTAGGGATTAAGGGAATAGGGTTTGGGGCTAATTATGTTTTGGGGAGTAAGGAACATGGGATATAGGAAGGAATGATGATGGCTTGTGGTGGTGATGGGAGAAGGGGGAAACTGATTTAAGTATTTAAAAGGGGAGACAAGGGTGTAGAGTACTCCATATAACCTTTTTATCAATTTCTAATCCCTATGGTTACCATGTTGTTTCAACCAATGTGCTATGTTGTTTAGTTCCTTAATCTTTAGGTACGTACCTATGATGTGTTAAAGACGGTGTGTGCGAATATCTGTTGGTAATGGAGTAGACTCATTTTCAGTAATTTCGATCTAACTGGTCATTTACGATAACATTGTTAGGTCTTGGATGACAAGATATATCGTAAATTGATCGATGAGATCATGTGAAGTTTGAAAACAGGAAGAAAAAAAACAAGGTGTGAAATATGAAACTTGCTAGGGTGTTGTGCACATCGGAAACGAAACTCGTGTATGTAATTAAGTTATACCGTGACAGAAGTAAGATAAAAATTATGAGGATGAATGAGATTATATAGTGTGTACGACATTGTTAGATATTACATGAATTAACAATATATGGCTTATACATGATTGAAAATTCCATGAATTCCATCATATTCAACTTGGAATATCGAGAAACTTTTCAATGCATAATATCAATGCAGTCAAAATCGCGCTTTAAAACTTAAAAACTTACGGTTTTACGCTTCTAGGTCACCAAAACGCTTTCGTTTCTATGTAAAAACTTTAGTGTATAAAATCATACTAAATTACGCTTTAAAACTTAAAAACTTACGTTTTTACGCTTCTAGTTCACTTAAACGCTTTACGTTTTTACGCTTTTACTTCACTGAATGGGTCTTCTTTTCATGAAATTAATTATAAAAAGTAAATTTTAAAAATAAATCACCGACAATATGATACTTTTAAGATTAAAAGATACATACTAGATACTTGGATGCATTATGAACTTCAATAAAGTAATCTAATTCACTATCTTGGCTCTTCTCAAATTCATTAGCATGGAGGGGAAGGTGACATTTTTTATAAGATTTATATTTATGAACTTATTATTAAGAGACTATAAGTTGCTCTACTTTAGACATGAATTGTAAGTATTTATTAACTTATCTGAATTTTGAGCACTTATATTTTTCATAGTATATGTCGTAATTAACATATTTTTAGTTCTTTTACAGTATGCGTCAAAAACTTACGCATTTACGCTTTAATTCTACGCTTTACGATTTTACCCCTTTTCCGCTTCTAGGTAGAATCGCGGTTTTGACTGCATTGCATAATATATATATATATATATATATATATATATGACGACTAGGAAAAAAATGATATAGTATCATGACAAACCATACGATAGTTTGGTAACTCGTACATGATTCAAACTATACAATCGAACATAATGTATGTTAGCACAAACACTACGAAAAGGGGCCTGAATGAAAAGAAATTACAAAATTGAGCTCTAGGGTGTAAATTTAAGACCTAATTAAAGCAAACAAGAACTACATGGATTAAGGCAGTAATTTAGCGCTATCATTATCTTAGTGTACTTACTTACATATATAGTTGTGTATATATAATGGAACAACAAAGTCCAACGTAATGATTCATTTTTGTATTGTGTTGTCTTCCTTTTCCTTCCTTTTGCACCTTTCTTTTGCTAGTTAATTAATTGTTGTAATAATATCCTATATTTAAAAAATAATGCTTTTGGTTTACCACTGAGCAGTAGCATCTTTTAGACTTTACTCTGCTGCCAGAAATTTGCTTTTGCCACTTATATATAATTGGGTTATAATTATCTACCAGCAAGCAATCTTCATTATTATTACTTTTGGAGCACTTCTACTATGCTATATAGTATTGGTGCTTTAATGTACAACTTAAAGTTGTACCATAACATTAAATGTATAAGTTTAGGTTGTACCATAAAGGAATTTGTATTATTATGTTATGGTACAACTTTACAACTTGAAGTTGTACCATCACATAAAGGTACAAGTTCAAGTTGTACCATAAAGGAATTTGTACAAAAAGTATAGGTACAATATGAAGTTGTACCATAACGTAAAGGTACAATTTCAAGTTGTACCATAAAGTAAAAAACCTATAGCACCAATACTATATAGCATTGTAAAATTCCTCTTACTTTTGTGGGTCGATCTTTCATGATTTTGTACTGAACTGACATGGATAGTCAGAAGTTTAATATTTTTTTTTTTACAATAGAAGTTTAATCATTCATTATTATGCCTACATATGATATGATGAAGTGGTTTAGATATGCAACTGATCATCAACTGCAAGCTTAATTGGGGTGTTTAGGCACATGTGTCTAAATTAATCAAGAAAATAGATCTAAATTAAATGAGATTTAGCATGTAGCTGGATGGATGGAGTTCTCAAATCCATAGAGTCTGAGTTGTGTCTCGTGCGAAGGGATGAGCAAACAGTGTACTTCGATGTTGGGTCGTGCTTGGGACGACACAATATGAGCTTACCCGATGCGCATTTATCTTGTGACGTACTTCACAATACCTGTCAATTTTAGGGCCATGCAGTGTGTTAGCGGTTCTCAATGAAATGGAAGAAGACGAAAAACTAGAAGTTCAGTGGGAATGATTTGTTCTTTGTGTCTTTTTTAGTTATTTTTGAATTTTGTTATGTTAGTAACCATATTTAATATTTTATGATCATTGCTAAATACAATAACTTATTACTTGTGTAGTTATCTTTAGTGTTTGCCGTGTCGTTTTAACACTCGTAAGGAAATATTAGGCTCATCATGTATAGACTATGTTGTGCCCGTGCTTGTGCTCTTATCAAAGAATTATGGCATGTAAAGTATTCGTGCTCATGTTGAACCGTCTCATATATTTTGCGTCCGTACTCATATTGTGTCATAATGATTTTGTGTCGTGTTGGCCCGTGGATGGTTTCACTGCGTTGGTTGTTTCTTGATTTGGCCACGTCATTTTGTTGCCTCTGGTCCGTTTAACCTGAATTTGTTGATGTATTTGCCATGGGAGTGAATCCATGAATGACCCGTGAAGCCTTGTCGCTTCATCCTCAGGTCATTTTTTAAGACTTGACCAAGTCATAACTGTTGACTAGTACTTTAGACTGAATGTAACGATAATTTTTAAAATTTCGAGCTAAAGTAGCGGGTTTAATGGAAGTTTGAAGGAAAAGTATAGATTATCCGTATCCACAAAAAATACATAAACAATAAGAAAGGAACTCGAACGGGCCCGGGGCAGGCCCATGGAGGAGTCTGGAAGTGAAAGGGAGAAACAGGCCGGTTAGTGGAGCCCATTAAGAAACTAATTAACAACACACAAAAAAAGGATAAACGGGAACATAATGTGCATATATATATTAATTGGGGAATTCGGCAGGAGGTCCAATCCAAGTTAGGTATAATAATACAATATATCACAAATATACCCTTTGAATTATTATAAAAATATAAAAATAAAATATACCCTCCAAACTAAATGTGCATCTTTAGCCCTTAAACATGTTTCTGGTCCGATTTGATCATCATCTATTTTTATATTTGATTCGATTTGATTTTGTCCCGCCTTTGATTAAATTAGGGAATGTAAAAAAACAAATATTTATGTCGAAGATTTCTATAAGAAAACTATATATATCAGTGCAACCTTGTTTTTGTCCTACAGGCTACAGCGTGCTTTTCATATGATTCTCATTTTGCGTTATTTTTTGTTCGATCCTATTCCAAATCGATTGATGACCACCTTCATTTACATATATACAAAACAAAATTATATTTATATCCTTAAAATGGCTATAAAAAAATAATATGCACCCTTAAAACTAAAGGTGCAACCTTACTTTAGCCCTACATCTTCCCCTCCATTACAACCCAACTCTTTTGAATTTAAAAATCCTCCCATGGTCCAAAAGAAGGGTTTACATTACAAACAAGCTAAGCTTCTTCTTTTTTCCACCCAAGCTTAGTGGGTTTGTAATCATAACGGGAACAGGAATCCAATGGGGAATTTTCAGGCAATAATGTAATCCAAAAAGGGTACTGTTGTTGGATAACTCCATCAACCACATGATATATAACCCCATTGTTAGGGATATCAGCTAATTAATGGAGTTTGACTGATTACCCGTATTTTATTTCGATTCTGCAAAAGCACAAGGGCACATTTCAGAGCTTTATACAGTCAGCTCATCACTCACTCCAACAGCATCAACCATCGGATGTGCTCCTATATTTAAAAAGTCTGTACATAGCTAGCTAGCTAGCTAGTTAGTCCATTTCATAGTGATGTTGATTTGATCAAATAATGGTTTTTTTTTTGTGGATTTGTAAAGCAATGTCTGTGGAGCCATGTCATGTCGATGAGAAAATGTGGTAAAGAAGTTTGGGATACTTATTAATTAGTTGGGCTTCTTTAGATTGTAACGAACATTGATAAGATTGTGTAATGAATCGGCACCAACGGCCAGCCAGGCTGCATCCGCTACTGCTCCGGCTTCTCCATCTCTGTCGCCGGCGGCTGCGGCTCGGCTGGCCAGGTCGCGAGATGGTCCAAGGAGAGATTGACCGCCGTCGATCACCCCCGGCGCGTTCTGAGCTACGAGATGGTGGACTGCAACATTGGGTTCAAATCGACGGTCGAGATCGTTCCTGACGGGACAGGGTGCGTGATCGAGTGGGGGTTCAGCGTTGATCCAGTGGAGAGTTGGACACTGGATGATTTGGTGCAGAAGTATGAGTTGGTTCTGGTATCCGCGGCACGGAAAATGGAGGATTCGGTTGGATCTGTTGAGTAGTGGGCCTTTGAAGACGGCCCATGGTGAGCTTAAGAAGATATTGGGTTGGGTCTGCTGGAGGTTCGTAAATTCAAAGCCTAATACAAAACGCCTTTGAGCTCTTTACATTTTTTTCAACTGAAAGGAAGTGTCTTTATACTGTTCTTCTGCTACTAGTTTCAGCAGAAGCAGAAAGACAATTTTACATACAGTTGGCAAAGTGTAGAAGCTAAAAAATAGATATTACGACTGTAGGATAGAATTTACAGAAAGAAACTGTCACATTCAAGGCCAAGAAACAAACGTTTTGCCAAACGCAGCCTTGTGGGTTCCTAAATCTTGTAGGATAGCAGCTGTTGCACCTACTTCGCATCTGCAAACTAGTCTACCCAACGTCTATAAACACTTATTCTTCAGAATCCAGCAGCTAGCTTCGTTTCCATCCAGTCGATTATCTCCTGGGCAATCTCCTCCCTCTCCGGTTCGAAGAGAAGGTCGTGCAAGAACCCTTCGTACAGCCTTATGTCCTTGAACTTGGAGGCGGCTTCATTGTAGAGATCCTGTGATGCTAAGGGATCGGTGACTCTGTCAGCCGTTCCATGAAGCACGAAGAATGGAACCGTGACGGATTTGATGTTGCGCATCAAGTAGGATGAGATGCGCAGTATCTCATGGCCCGTTCGGACTCGTATGGGACCGGTGTAGACCAATGGATCGGAGTACTTGGCCAACAGTGCTGCAGGATCCCTCGACACAGGAATGCCCCTCTTGTTGGCTCCTTTGAACTGGAACCTTGGGGCGACCAGCGAAACAATAGGAGCCAGAGCCTGGAAGAAGCGAAACGTGAAGCATGATGAGAATGCGTGTTTTAGGGAACCACAGAGCGGGGAAAGAATCATGAACTTGTTCATCCCGGTAACAAGTCGTTGGGGAATGTCTAAGAAGGGAATCATATAACTATTCCTAGAAGTGGCAATGTTGCAGTGCAAGTAACTAGATAGATTTTGTATCGGATATCTTTAGCACATTTTTAGTTACTTACCGCAACAATTGGATGTGCAGGCTTAACACGCAAAGCAGGCGAGGTTAGCACAATGCCCTCCACCATCTCTTGAATGCGAGGATATGAAGCTGCCTGCAAACCATTATTTTCCGCGTATTCAACAAACACTATCTCCCATGTAGGTGTATCATATGGTAAACTTAAAGATGGTTACTTTACCTTCAAAACCACAGCTCCTCCAGTTGAGTGACCAAAAAGGAAGCACGGTACTCCAGGATTATCAGACTTTATCTTCTCCAAGAAAGCCCCCTGTTACACAAGGTGTTACAGACTTTATCTTCTCCAAGGAGTTGCATAAAAAGTTCCCATAATACAAGGATCTCAATGTCGTCCAGCTAATCTGGAAACTGCACACTTAATCACGTTCTAAGAGAAATTGAAACTGCAAATACCAGGCCAGTTGAACATGCATAAAGAGTTGCGAAGAAAAGACATGCTTGAAGGAGTTGAAAGTACTGAGAAAATCCAACTTGACACAGGGCGATCACAATTGAACTGAATGCACATTAGTGGGAACACTGAACTTACAGTATCTGCAACGACATGGTCGAGAGAAGGAACATATCCGTGCAATCCATCGCTTCCACCGTGACCTAAGCCATCAAAGAGACAAATGGAATAGCTAATCCAAATGAGAGAGCTTCCAAGTGTTGATTGTAAAAGACATTAGTTTTTTTCGTTTCATTTTCATTTCATTCTACTGTCTCGCGATAAGAAAAAGAGTTGCATACCTATCCAGTCCATAGCATAGACTCCAAAGTTCGACGAGTTTAGCTGCTTCGCAAAGTGAGCATACCTTCCACTGCGCGTTACACAACAAACCAGGCAAGAGAAGTAACACTAATTAGAAACTTCCACAATGTCTGCATCGTCACCATGTGTAATGAGAGAACTCAAATTGCTGAATCAGGATATCGAATAGTTACCCGTGCTCGTTAAGCCCATGGATGATGACCAAAATTCCCCTGATATCACACACGCACCCACAGAGGATTCATTCGTCAGCAAAAGGTTCAGCACGGAGAAGACAACATTGACAGCAAGAAGCAAAACTTGTTCACTCTAAACATGCATTTGATTTTTTTACCAAACACGACCTTACTGAAACCAGCCTTCTTAGGTATCACCAGGAATATTCAATTTTTCCGGATATGGAAACAAGAAATCCGACTGAATCTAATCGCAAAGGAGAAGGATTCATCCATACAAGGAAAAGCAGTGCCCTAAGATTATAATTTTCCAACAAGCAAAAGGAATTCTCCAATTCCAATTCCCAAAAATTTCAGGCGATCATGAAACACGCAACCAAACAACAGAATATCAACCAAGGCCCGCAGGAGAGACAGGGAGGGAGGAAACCTTACTTCAAATCGTCGTGAAGCGGGAACCAGGAGCGGCAGAACAGAGCATTCCGTTTCACGCCGAAGAACAAAGAGGTGCTCCACCGGCACCGAGTGTCACCGTCGACGGTCATATCGATGACCTCGGCAAGGGCTCTCCTCCGCAAGGTATCCTCCTCCTCCAGCCTCCACATCGATCGGCGCTTCGAGGAGTTGGAGGAGGCGGACGAATCCGCCGACGTAGACGAAGAAGAAGGTCGGCGGCGCGGGAAGAGGACAAGGAGGAGGGCGAGGAAGATCGATTGGATGAAAATGAGGGATTTCCTCAGGACTCTGAGGATCGGGATGATGCGATTGCTCGCGCCGGACGTCAGAGGTTCCATCTCCGCCACCGTCGACATGGCCGAGACGGAAGAAAAAAAGCGGAAAAAAAAAAGTTGGACGAAAAAAAAAATTAATTAAGGAAGGAAATGAGAAGGGGAAAGAGAGAAGGGGAAAAGGAAAAAATGGATTTTCAGAAAATAAATAGGGGGAAGAAAAACGAAAGCTTGCCCCGAGTCTGACCCGGGCACCCGGCTACTTGGTAACATGACGGTCCACATAATAATAACGGGCATTAATTATATAAATGAACATCGTGCACGTGGCGATCTCTGATTGGGAATGTGGGCACCAGTTTGAGGATGGACGGTGCAGATTGGTGCGGGTAAGGCGCGGAAGGAAAGGAGAGGCTGGAGGCGGGAAGATGCCGTGAAGGTGACGGGACGGCGCGTTGTTCATCTACTCCTTATTTGAATTGGGCCAAGTCAGCGGACAGATCTGTTGGGCTACCCATCTGCCTTCCCGCGGCTTCACTAACAAAATCAGGGATTTTATTAGATGGAGTTTGAACAGACTTTTTTTTTAATTTTTTTTTTCTCTCAGTTGGACGGATCGGTTCAGGTGAGAAATCGGAGATTTTATTAGGAGGATTCTCCAGCTGTTCATCTGTGAGCTCATGCTTCTTCTTAGAAGTTAGAACCGATCCCTTTCTCTATTTGCTAGCTGAGTGTGAAAGTTCTGGATCTGGGTTTAGGAGGATACAAGGCCCACAAATAATATCTATAACGTTAGAGTGTAGCATAAGATCCAACATACCTTGTGTTTTAATTAACTGCTAATATTGAGAGTCGTCGAGATTTGAACACACGACCACTTGGTCAAACCAGACTCTGATACCATGTTATAAACCACTTGATCCCAAATAACTCGAGTTGTTGAGATAAGGTTATACTAGATCTTATACCACACTCTAACATATTATTAGACTTCATGATTCATTAGCTCTATTAGATTTTATAATTAATAATTTACATATTTATCCAATATTATAAAATCATGTATAAGGATGGGTTGCAAAAACTTTCTCGGAGTATGAAACAGGTAAGAAACGCGTATGAATTTCTGAAAAAGGGATAGGGTTAATGATTTAATCCTGAAACAACCAAACTCATTGTTAACCGTTAAGTGTTAAGCATAAAACCCTCCTCATGCATGGAAAAATTTCCCACTGTACACATGTTTTTAAAAAAAATCTCAAAATACACACGTTATGAAAATATTTCCCAATCTACGCATGTTTGGGCCTTCACCGCGTCAGACTAAGACGGTGATTGTATCACCGCGTCAAAGAAGAGCGGTGATTGCATCACCGCGTTAGAGGAAAACGGTGATTGCATCACCACTGTAGAGGAGGGCGGTGATTGCATCACCGCTCTAGAGAAAGGCGGTGAAGGCCTGACCTGCATCAAATCTTTAAAAAAACGTAACTTTGTGCTCGGAATAAAAAAAAAAATCACCACGATCGGATAACCGAGCACAAAATTACGTTTTTTTAAAGATTCGACGCAGGTCAGGCCTTCACCGCGGCCGTTTAATGCGGTGAAGCTATCACCGTTTTTGTCTACAGCGGTGATGCAATCACCGTTTTTCTCTAACGCGGTGATGCAATCACCGCTCTTCTTTGACGCGGTGATACAATCACCGTCTTAGTCTGACGCAGTGAAGGCCCAAACATGCGTAGATTGGGAATTTTTTTCATAATGTGTGTATTTTGAGAATTTTTTTTTTTAAACATGTGTACAATGGGATTTTTTTCTCATGCATGCCCCCATTAATCATTCATCCCCATTGACGTGCTTAACAACGAGATTTTAATTCGGTACGAAAAAGTGATCAAAATATATCCGTTCATCGTATCTCTACCAAAACAACCATGCCGCTCCTCCATCCTACCCTTACTTGTCATTGCAACTCTGTCGACCCTTCACTTTTTATATCTTTCTTTCCATCGTGCATTGTTTGCCCAACCTTATCCAAGTGACTGCAACCGTGACAATTGATATCCTATCTACACTACTATAACAAACAGCACATATATAGTTAACAGAAGGTCGATCGATCGATGTCCCTTTATACATAACGTCAATCTTGATAGCACTGTGCTGAATCATCGTATTGATTAATTTAATGTTGATCATCACCAGCCATGCATGCACATTGACAGTGCAACTGCACAGAAAATGATTTGAGCTAACATAACATAAAGTCATAAACCATATACGGTGCGGCGTGATACCACGTCCGTAAGAGAAAGACACCTTCTTTTTTCATCGATCATTTCTCTCTCTCTTTTCCGTGACTCCTTCCTTTCCTTTCCTTTCTATCCATACCCTTTGAGTAAACTCGGCGCAATCCTCGTTTAAACTACGCTTTCTCTGTATTTTATCTTTACGTACGTAGCCATCGCCATGCATCACGAGTTCCACATAAATGTCCTCCCTCCCTCCTCCTTTTTTTTCTTTCCATATAAGCTGACACAAACCGTGAAAGGAAGCTAACCAACAAAAACCATGCAGAGCCTCCAAAGAACCGTGTCGGACTTCTCCTTCCACCTCACCACCAAGGAAGCAGCAGCAACGGGCAAGCAGCTTCCGGCGATAGGAGAGGCGGCGGCGGCGGCGGCTGTGTTGGAGGAAGGGGAGGAGGAGTTGGCCAAGTGCGAGTGCTGCGGGATGGCGGAGGAGTTCACGCCGCAGTACGTGAAGCGGGTGAGAGACAAGTTCATGGGGAAGATGGTGTGCGGGATGTGCGCGGAGGCGATCGGGAGGGAGGCGGAGAAGAACGGCGGCGAGAGGGAGGCGGCCGTGAAGGACCACATGAAGGCCTGCGCTAGGTTTAACGGGCTGGGGAGGAAGTACCCGGTGCTCTACCAGGCCGATGCGGTGAAGGAGATACTCAAGAAGAAGCGCAGCCAGGCCGGAAAGGCCGCCGCCGGCGGCGGTGGTGGTGGTGGTGGGCTTGCTAGGAGCTCCAGCTGCATGCCGGCCATCGCTAGGGATCTCGCGGCGGCGGGCGGCCAGCGGCGGCAGTAATTAAGAGAGTGGGGATATGATCGAACATGAAGTTTATAGGATATATATATATATTGTACTTAACACTTGAAGGTTACGGTGTTAGTGTAATATTGGAGATGTATGTTTGTTTCTGTTAACTTCCCTTTGATTGCTTTGTTGTATTAACTAATTTCACTATTGCCAAAAAAAAGGTTATATTTGAGATGTATTATTGCTTAATGAGTTATATGTATCATGTGTATTGTACTTCTCGTTTTAGGGTTGAAGGCAAAGTAGTCTATGTAACAATGATATTTTATTTTCATTATATAATTCTTTAATTATATTAAGTCTATGTAATTAACTTCCCTTTGATGTATGTTTGTTTCTGTTAACTTCCCTTTGATTGCTTTGTTGTATTAACTAATTTCACTATTGCCAAAAAAAAAAAGGTTATATTTGAGATGTATTATTGCTTAATGAGTTATATGTATCATGTGTATTGTACTTCTCGTTTTAGGGTTGAAGGCAAAGTAGTCTCTGTAACAATGATATTTTATTTTCATTATATAATTCTTTAATTATATTAAGTCTATGTACGAACCTAAAGTACGAACCTAATTGTGAAGTAATAAGGATTGAGGCCGGGGAAAGTAATTTATATATGTGATCGTAAACAAATGGGTCAAACTAAAGATACAAAAGGTTCTCAACTTCTGCTCCATTACGTTGTTTATTCACTAATAAACCATTTCTAAAATTATTAAACTTTTTGGGTAAGGTACGAGAGAATGATATATAAATTTGAGTTCGGTATTTGATATTGAAATAAACCATCATTTTGGTCTGCAATATAAAATATTACATTGGCATAACACTATGTTTAATTATCCTCCATAGATTGATATATCATTGTCACTTATAATTCAGTTGATCCTACAATATAATTTGCTAGTTTAGAATTTGAAAAAAAAATTTATTTTTTTAAACTTTCTATTTAAAAAACGGTATTACTGCAACAAAACACTGGTGTATCACTAAAACTCCACAGCACTACTGCACTAGCATTAGATCTCGTCATGCTGAAGACCTACCAGTTTGCATGAATCAAGATTAATCATTGAAGAAGAAAAAATCACTCGTGAGGCCAGCTGAATTGAAACACTTGATTAGACCGTGCACATCCCACCTGTTTATTTATTTATTGTTGCTCACAATTTGCTATAGTGGTCATTGATTGTGGGTTCTAAGTTGATTGAAAAGAGATACAATGATATGGTATCAAATCATGATGAAAAGGGTAAAGTAAAGTATATACTTTGTGCCCATTGTCTCCTCCAATCTAATTTGACTGAATTTTAGTGTTTGTTTGGAATTGGTGATAGTTTGGTTGAGATAGTTACAATTAGAAATGACAATGGGGTAGGTTTGGGCCGAGTATCTCGATACCCAGACCCGCCCGTGACAGGTCGGGTTCAGGTCGGGTAATTTATCATGGGGCGTGGGTCGGTATGTAATAATTTACGTGAAAAACTTTAAAAATATTCATTATTTTCATTCGAAGACCAAAAAATAAACCATAATATGATAAAATGTAGTTAAAGTATTGGAGAAAATAAGGTTTTCACTTATTTACAACTTTATTATAGCTAAAATATTAGGTAATATGAGGAAAATTCTAAGTAATTTGACTAAGATTACATGTAATTTAGTTAAGAACGGGTCGAGAATGGAGCGGGTCAGGGCAGGTCGGGTCGACGAGAGGTACCCATGCCCGCGGCCCGCCCCAAAACAGGCCAAACAGGTCGGGTAAAACGGGTCAGGTTGAAATTGCCATCCCTAGTTACAATTCATCGTTTTTTTTTAATTTTCTGCACAAACAATACATGCATTGTTTGCTTCTTCCAACTATGTCCCTATATTTTTTTATGTGTGTTGGTTTTTCATACTAAATTCATGTGTAAAAGTAATTAACATTTCACTCAAAAAGTATATAACTGATTTAAATACTACAATAACTATCACAAAAACGATGTATAACTACCATCAAAACCAAACCAACCCCAATCTACTTCTTTTCCACTATCTCATTCCCATCTTTCAATCGTGTTCATTGATATTCTTCCCATTACACATTTGTGAGTTAGGCATTTGTGGCTTTATGATCATGATCATTGGATGTAGGAGGGAGCCCCATGTCTATAGAGAGAGGGGTTTCATTCATTTCTCTTCTTTTTAAACAATGGAATTGGAGGGGTAATAATGAAGGGGAATGGTCCAAAGGTTCCCCCAATGAATCCCACAATTTCATGAAGTTTTAAAGTGCCTTTGGGGGCTTTGGCTGTGAGCTATGTTTACTAGCTAGCTAGATGGTCCAACATGGCAAAATGTCTGTCACGGTCACACGTGACTCTCACACGTGGGCACACGCCCCACTCTTCCATTTCTTTTGTTCAATAGTAGTATCACACACTTCTACCACGATAATGATGATGATTGACTAGCTATAGTAACAATATGCTTGCTACTCTCATGATCAACACATGTTCTGTTGTGATCTTCCAACTTTTGATATGTAAGTGTTAACGATGTACAAAGCTCTCGATAACTTTTGATTACCCATACATGTAATTTGCTACTCTCATGATCAAAAGTAGTTTATGCACAGGAAATCTCATAATTGTGGACTAAATAATAAGTGAAATTTGAATGGTGACCTTAGTTTAGGGCCATGTGCAACTCTATCTTGGAAGCAACTAACCAAACCTAGGAATAGGGGTGGCCGTTCGGTTATTTAGGTTATAACCGGTAACCGATTGGTCGGTTATCGATTAACCGAAATAACCACCACCCTACCGAATACCGACCAAAATAGGCTTTGATTTCTCGGTTATTGGTTAATCGAATCACTTTTAAAACCAAAAACCATTTCGTCCAGCCTCCAATAACCGACCGAAGTTCGGTTACTTCAGTTACCGGTTAGTGGATAACCGACCGGTTACCGGTTTAACCGATTGGTTAACCAATAACCAATAACCGAACGACCACCCCTACCTAGGAAAAGCCAGCAGCTTGCCCTTCCATCTGAAAATCACACAGCACGATTTAGCTAATTTCCTTTTTTTTTTTTTTGTTAATTAGCGTTGTGGACCAATCCCTGCGCCCGACATTCATACATCATAATTGTGTTCACAACATTAAGCTCGACCCCACTCTTTTTGGTTTTCTATTGGGGAAAAAAAAGGGGAATCTCTAACCAAAGAAAAAGACGCAAATTTGTGTCTTATCATCATCATCATCAACATCCAAAAACGGTCTTTGTCGATGAATGAATGGTTACAAGCTTAATTAAAAAGAGGATGTACAGGAAAATTTGGTGTCTGTCGTTTCTAGAGATATATACCCACACATTGTACTTTGCAGGAACATGTAGATTTGAAGGTGCTGTTAGAGCTAGCTAGCTGCGACGTCAGTGCTCAGTCATGCATGGATGGAATATGGGGAAACCACCTAAACAAGGTTTTAACAAACCCTAGCAGTCTTTAGCACAGCTTAATTTGTCTCAAATGTTTTGTTTGAGATGAAGAACAAATAAAAAAATTAGTGATCCCGATCCCATGCAATGCTCAATATACAAAATCAATTAATCAAATGTTGACAGAAAATAGATAAAAAAATCTTGCGTATCACTTTATATATAGGCAACTTAATTAGTATGTTCGGAGACCGTTCTAAAATACTAATTATATTCTCGGTCTAGTCTCTCAAGCTCACAACAATTTCGGAGTTTCCTCTGAAACTTATAGATAAGAGAAGTACGAGCAATCGATATAATTGTGCAGTTGATTCATTACAAGTGCATGTCTCTTATACGGAATTTTAGTTTTCGTGACCTTGTGAATGAAGATTATATTTAACGATCCCACTGCTTGTTTTTAGCTTACATGTTAGGGCTGGCTATTTGGTCCGGACTGTTTGGTTTTACTCGAAACCGGACCGTATAACCCGGACCGGGACCGGAATGGGACCGGATAGCAAACAATCCAATCTCATATTCAGACTTAGATTTGAGGTAAAAACCCGGATAAAAACCGGATAAGAGACCCTCAACACCTAAAATCAAGATCATATTGGGACCGGACCGGGTCAAGACCGGACTGTATCCAATCCAATCTTTGGTCCTTATATTCCCAAAAAAACCGAACTGAGACCGGATCAATTTGGTCCAATTTAACCAAACCGGACCGTATAGCCACCCCTATTACATGTCCAAAGTATTCTCCATTACTTTATTGATTGCTAATCACATAAATTACTACATTCACATTGGCGGCAAATTAAAAGAAATATTCGCAAAGATAAGACATAGAAAGTGTGAGAGACCACTATTCCAGAGAAAGGGGTTGGCTGCCGCCCGCCCAGATTCAATCAAATCCGTAAGTCCATTACAGGAGCAATACTATAACTATAAAGAATTAGGTGTCAAGAACCAATAATTTGAGTTGTTGGGAGAGTTTCAATCATGAATCATATACCACAACAATAACACGCCCCCTCAAACGAAAGCCACTCACAAGTCACAAGGGCTTGAAGTTTGCACAGGTCTGAAGACAAGAATACCATGTGCTTAACAAATAGGAGTTACCGGGAATCGAACACAAGACATCTCGGTCACAGAAGGCTCTGATACCATGTCAAGAACCAATTGATCCCAATAACTCGAGTTGTTGGGAGAGGTTCAATCGTGAATCATATACCACAACACTAACATTAGGCTCATCGACAACTTTCTTCTAACATATATATATATATATACATAATTATATAATTATGTTAGTAAATCACATAAATTTATTTATTCTTTACTTTTATATATTATCAATTTTTCTATATTATCAATTTTTCAATCAATTCTAACAGCTAGACATGTAAGAAATAGTAATCTTTTTCACAAAGTATTTGAATTTTGAAGGAATAAGATCTAGCATAAAGGAGAGAAGTGAGAGAGCCATTTGAGACCAAGGGAGGTACTTGACACCAAGTGCAACTTTACCAACAACCAAAACACTGGTTTTGTGAATTATGAGAAGATCATGCTTCAAAATCGGGATGATTAATGAGTTCTGTAAGGTGTTTTAAGAAAAGACATTCTCGATATAATTTGCAGGATGAATATAGTTTTTATATTTTTCATAATATAAGAATACATTGTGGGTCATTTTTAAATATTAACAATAATTTTTTTCTTCTTCTGCCGGAATTGAACCCACCTTGGATAAATTTATGCTAAGGCCACTTTCAACATCTAAGTTGATGGACAGTTAGTTAGAGAAGGATGAGGACAATCGGATGATATTTCAACATCTAATGACTTAATGGTGGGAAGAGTCCAACTACTTTTGCTTTCTCTTTTTTCACCTAGCTATCCATCCTCCATTGAATCAAAATACGATCCAATGCATAAAAAAAAAAAAAAAAAAATACACATAGCCGGAAGTGGGTTTGGAAGGTGGATATATATTTGCATATAATTGAGATGATAGTGGTTCTGCCAAGCTTTTTCGCCTCCATTTTCGGATGTAATTGGAGTCGGGATCCTTCTATTTACCTCGGGTTTCCCTTGGGAGCTAAGCCGAATGGAGTTAGGATTTGGGAACCTCTCGAAGCCAGCTACAAGAAGAATCTCCAAGGATGGAAGGGGAGACATTTGTCCTTTGGGGCTCGGTTGGTTCTGATTAAATCAATCCTATCTAGCAAACCGGTTCATCTCTTCTCTCTACTCAAAGCTCCCAAAGGTACCATTAACAGACTTGAACAAATCCAGAGGCAATTCTTATGGCAAGGGACTGGGATCGATTTCAAGAGTCCCTTAGTTAGATGGGAGGTGTGTAAGGCCTCGAGGAACAACGGTGGCCTCGGCATTATTGACCTTGCCAGTTTTAACAGTGCTTTACTTGCTAAATGGGCCTGGAGATTTTCCGCTGATCGTGATAGTTGGTGGAAGAGTCTCATTTCTATCAAGTATCCCAACTCCTTGTCCTCTTGGCAGCCTGGTCGCATTCATGGTGGTTATTCGAAATCAGTCTGGTCCAACATTTGCAGAGATTTTGATAAATTTTGGAAGCTGGCTTGCTTGGACCCTGGTAGCGGGTCTGACGTTTCCTTTTGGCATGATTATTGGTGTCCCGGTAGCACCCTCGCCTCTAGATACCCCCGTGTTGCTGCTGCCGCCTTACACCCTGCTGCCCGGATCTCTGATCTGCACCACTGCTCAGGTGAGAATGTAGGGTGGGTTATTCCTTTAAATTGTTCTCTTCGGGGGGGTGCTGAGCGAGAGCGGCTTGAACTCCTAAATTTTCTAAATTCTTCTGCTGCTGGTCGCATATCTAATGGTCCCGGTAGGCTGGTTTGGCTCCCAAATCCAGACTCTGGTTTCTCTGTTTCTTCTATGTACAGGACTCTGGTGGATGATCTTTTTCCGGGTGTTGCTAACTACCCCGTTGCGTCTATCTGGAAGGCTATTATCCCAACCAAGGTGTGTTTCTTCCTATGGACTTTGTCGCATTTGAAGCTGCGCACGATTGACAAGTTGAAGAGCTGGGGGCTAAACCTGGCGAACAGGTGTGATCTTTGCAAATGTCAAGAAGAGACCGCTAACCATCTATTTGTGGATTGCGCCTTTGTCCGAGATGTTTGGAGTGGCATTACCAGAGCTTGCCCACTCGTGGAGCCGCCGCGTGGAGATATTGTTACGGTTCTTCAGTCTTGGCCTTCGGAGGTTCCGGATAATGTGAACTCCTGGTTTTCCTTTACTGCGCTTCACTCAGTCTGTTGGCACGTCTGGCGGGAGAGGAATCGACGCATTTTCAATGATTGCAGTAGCCCCGCCAGAGTTGTTTCCAAAAATGCGTGTAAAGAGGTTATTGAATGGATTTCTGCTCATAACAAGGTGGATAGATATATTTGTTCTCAATGGCTCAACGAGAGAATTCAGAGGATCTGATCCTCCTGGCTCCTCGCTGCTCTGACGCGATTTGTGTGGATCCCCTGATAGTGCTTGGAGTTTGTCTGCTGTATCTGTGGCGGGCTATGCCTCATTGAGTCTCTTTGGGGGCTGTTCACTTCCGCTGGGGGGTTGAGCTCGACTGCTGCTCATTTGGTGGTTCTCCTGCAAGGTGTTCTTTGGTTGCTGCTGTTGTATTCTGTTGGGTCTATGTTAGTGAGGGAGGGTCTCGTAGCAGAGTTTGGTGAGAGGGCGGTGCTATGTTCGTCTCCTGTTGCTGGGTCTGGTTTTTGTGTCTTCGTTTTTTTCCTTTGTTTCCCGGCGAGTGGGAGCAGTCTGGTCTGCTTTTCTCTGTCGCTTTTTGTGTCCCGTGAGCTGCCTTCCTCTCTTGGCGCTCATGTTCGTTTGTTTTTTCTTTCTTTCTTTTTCTCTGTTCTTTCGGTTGTGGCTCTGTGAGATCAGGCCTTGTGATCTCCTTGTCTGTACAGTGTTTGTTTCCTTTTCTCTTCTTGCAATAAAATTCATCACCATTATCAAAAAAATATATATGGAGGAATGTGGGAAAGCCGCAAATCTTGACAGAAAGCAAGTAAGTCGTTTTGGTAATGGAAAAGATATATCAGTATATTATTGGGCAACTGAAGAACTGATGAAATTCCATCACGCTTTGCTTCAGCAGTGCAGGACAGGGAAGCAAAGCACAGGAGGCCACATTGCGCCCTTCTCAACTTCCATTACCGCATTTTGTTTTTGTATCACTTCAGATATTATTGTATAGTATATATTAGTAGTAGGCGTGCGCTGAGAAGCTTAGTGCGCCCACATACTTTGTACTGACGGAGCTGCACAGCACAGCAAACCATCCTGCCTAAGGGCATGGACGAGATAGGTTATGCTGTTAGTTTGAAGTTTGCACAGATTCCCTATATATCGTGCATATGTTTGAATAAGTTGTTAATATCGAAAGTTGTAATAATGATTTGAATACGTGATTTCTTTATTAAATCGTTTTCTTGTACGTACACGGGTATCACTTTCTTATAATTTCAAACCATCAAAACGAGTCTTTTAACGGAGCTAAGGAGGCTCTATATATAGCCTTCTCTATTAGGCAAGGTTGTCGACCCGCAGGATCCAAATAGATCGACCAACAAGTCGACTCTCTGAGTTGACAACCTTGTTTTTTTTGTAAGGAAAGTTGGTTGGGTAAATTAAGAAGGAAAATAACAGAAAGAAAAGGTTGAACAAAGAAAGGGGAAAGCATGCAGCAGCTAGCAGGACTATGAATAAGACCATTCACTGCATATTCTCTTCCAAAAATACACAGATCGATCGATTTTCACTAGCTATAAGGTCCCACGTTCTCCATATAGTCCATTAATTCCATTCTCCCTTAATTCCCTTCTATCATCATTTTCACCAGCCAAACTTTTTCACATCGCGACAAGGAAAAAGGACAGCGATGGATGGATGGAAGAAGTCGTGAAAGAAAGCTGGCGAAATGTGGAACGAAGAACGAAGAAGAAGAAGAAAGCAATATTCAGAGAGAGTTGAGGATTTTGGGCTGTGCGGGAAGAGCTAGTGATGAGCCCACGAGATAGAGAGAGCATTATCATTCTAACCTATCAAAAAGAGATTCCACTTTTCTCAATTCACTCCTATATGTCCTTCACTTTTTTCCTCCTTTCCCCCTCCTTTTTATGTTCTTCCCCTCTCTTGGAGTCTCGAAATAAGATGTGAGAATTCAAACACGAAAGCTTCTGATTTTGAATATCATATAGATAACTATTGAGGAAACATATTATAATAGATTGAACAATCGATAAAGTAAGAACAACAAATGACATATATAACGTATTTATGTGGTTCACTACTAGCACAACATTGTGCTAATTAGCATAATTAAGAAGAACTAGAAGGTTGATGTAGAAACTTTCTCTAAACCCTAGATGAATCTCCTCTTAGCAGTAACCAGCCAATGTCCATAATGTAATCAACAAGTCATTAGTGTACTTACAGAACACTGTATTACTCATGCAAATGTTAATAGAGATGATTAATTAACCACAATGGGTGGTCCAGCAAAGTCAAACACTGCCTAGAAGGGGAAATCATGTCAGTCAAAAAGAACAAAGTAAGGTATATACTGTTGAGACCAAAAGCAATGGAAACTGAGTTCTTATTTTGCCACACTTAAGTACAATACAGCTCTAAAGGCATCAAGAGAAGAGAAAGAAAAAAGAAAGAAGGGTGGAAAGTAGGGGAGTGAAAGAGGGCTAAATGTCTTAATGGTCACTAAATTATGGCATTTGTAACACAGTGGTTATAAATGTCAATCTTTTTCTTCACTCCATCTTCGTTGGTTATATGGATTGGTTACTAAATGTCTTAATGGTCACTAAATTATGGCATTTGTAATCACAAGATTACTCGGAATGCTAACACATTCACACTAGCAACAAGTTAGAAAGAACAAGTCGCGTAGTTACTCTTTCTTTACAAAGTTGTTCACTTTAAGTTGGATTTTACTAAAGACTTTAAAGTTAAAGTTACCAATTTTGTTAACCATGTAACACCATACAATCATTAACTTCAGCAAAAGAAAGATCTCTATTGTTGCCTGCCAGCCATGCATGCATCCAAGTCCACAATCAAAAGTCCATCAATGAAGCTTTTCAACGGTTACAAGGAACCCTAAAAATGGTGTCACTCACTAACCCCAAGAGAAACAAAAAAGAGAGTCATCTTCCTCTCCTCCTTAGGGCATGAATGAATGAGTCAGTCAAAAAGAAGACATTCTTTTGGGGTAGGGATCATCACTCTCTTTTTCCCCAACCCCAACATATGTCCCCTCCTCCCTCTTCTTTCAGCCGTTTGTATTCAAACAAAGGTCAAGGTGCCTTTTCGTAATTTTACCATTCTCACTCACTCACTCACTTCCCATGCATCCTTCCTAACTCTCTCTAACCCATAACACAGACACACACACACTCACATCTCCTTCTTCTTCTTCTCCTTCTCCTTCTATATATACATTCAAAGTTTTTGTCATGCTCTCCACTACAATCCACTCCATTTTCATTACATTATAATTACTCCTCCTCTTCATCATCAAACCCCATTACTTATATATTATGAGATGAAGATTAGATGAAGAAAAGCTCCCTTTCTGTCAGAGTTTTGTCTCCATTAACATGGCAAGCACCACCAACATATCCATCCCAACATTCTTCTGCTTCATCACCATCTTCTTGTTCTCATCTTTGCTCTTACTGAATCCTCGGTCGGCCCTTGCTCAAGACGAGGAATGGGTGATAAAGGAAGCTGAGCTTCTCCTCTCCTTCAAGTCCTCAGTTCATGACCCCTTTGGCCACCTCTCCACATGGAAGAACGACACGTCTGCTTCAAGCATCTGTAGCTGGAACGGGATCGTTTGTGATGCTGTCAGTTCTTCTCGCGTCAGTCTCATCAACTTGTCAACGAAAAACTTATCGGGTGAACTTACATCTTCAATCTTCCAACTCTCTTATCTGGAGACCATCGATCTCTCTGGCAACCAGTTTTATGGCGAGGTCCCAAGCTACGTGTTCTCGAGCTCGTCCTTGCGACATCTCAACCTCAGCAACAACAACTTCACTGGTAAGATTCCGTCTGGAATCTCTTCCGGTGTGCTGAAGACGTTGGATCTCTCCAGTAACATTCTGACTGGAGAGATTCCGTGGGAGATCGGGTCGTTCTCCGGTTTGAGGTACGTGGACCTCGGAGGAAATGTGTTGGTTGGGAGGATACCAATTTCAATATTAAAGATTTCGAGGTTGGAATCGCTGACCCTAGCAACGAACCAGCTCGTGGGGGGAATCCCGAGAGAGTTAGGTCAGATGACGAGCCTTCGGTGGATTTACTTGGGATACAACAATCTCTCCGGTGAAATCCCGGAGGAAATTGGGAACTTGACTTCCCTCGAACATCTTGATCTCGTCTACAACAATCTCACCGGTGGAATCCCTCCGTCTTTAGGCAACCTCACCCATCTTCGGTACCTCTTTCTGTACGGAAACAATCTCGCCGGTTCAATTCCCGGGTCGATTTTTGGCCTGCGAAATTTGGTCTCTCTCGATCTCAGCGAGAACTCGTTGTCAGGTGAGATCCCGGAGAGTATATCTCAACTGCAGAGTTTGGAAGTTCTTCATCTCTTCTCCAACAACTTCACCGGTGAAATCCCAGCCGGATTAAGCACCCTGCGGCGGCTTCAGGTGCTTCAGCTCTGGTCCAACCGGCTGACAGGTCAGATACCCAAAGATCTCGGTGGAAAACAGAGCAATCTCACTGTGCTGGACCTGTCCACCAATTCTCTGACTGGGAAAATTCCGGAAACCCTTTGCAGCTCCGGCGGTCTGTTTAAGCTCATTCTTTTCTCAAATTCTCTGGAAGGCGATATTCCGGAGAGTCTGAGCTCTTGCAGGAGCTTGAAACGCGTGCGTCTCCAGAACAACAAGTTGTCAGGGGAATTACCGCCGGAATTCGCCAGGCTGCCACTTGTCTACTTCATGGACATCTCCGGCAATAATTTTTCCGGCAGGATCGATCAACGGCAGTGGGAGATGCCGTCGCTTCAAATGCTGAATCTGGGCAGGAATCGGTTCGTCGGTGGCCTGCCGGAATCTTTCGGCAGCGACAAACTGGAGAACTTGGACTTGTCGGAAAACGAATTTTCGGGTTCGATTCCGGCAAAGTTCGGAGCTTTATCGGAATTAATGCTGCTAAAGCTGAGCGGAAATCACATCTCCGGCGATATTCCTCCGGAATTTTCTTCCTGTAAGAAGCTTGTCACTCTGGATCTCAGCCGAAACCAATTGACCGGTCCGATCCCTGCAGAGCTCGCCCAATTGCCGGTTCTCGGTCAGCTCGATTTGTCCGAAAACAAGTTGTCAGGAGAAATCCCTAATGGTTTGGGAGAAATAGAATCGCTGGTCCAGGTCAACATCTCTCACAATCATTTCCGCGGCAGTTTGCCGGCGACGGGAGCTTTTCTAGCACTCAACGCCACCGCCATCGCCGGAAACAATCTCTGCGACTTAACTACTTCCACCGGGTTGCCGCCTTGTGGAGGAGCTAACGCCAAGCGTTCCCTGATTTGGCACAATTACTTGGTCGCCTGTATCTTAGGTACTCTGGCTTTTATCGCTCTGATCGCTTACGCCGTAATTCTAATGAATCGAGGACGAATGTCAATGGAGATGAAAAAAGTGGAGAATCTCGAAGATGGGTTGACGTGGGAACTGAGGATCTTCGATTCCGGCAAGGTTTGGAGATCCATTTCCATGGATGAGATTCTGGGTTGCAGGAAAGATGAGAACTTGATTTCCAAAACAGGGGACTCTGTTTCGTACAGGGGGGATTTCTCAGGGACTCTGTTCGTGGTGAAGGAAATAAGGCGGGAGATGGTCATGATGAGTTCGTTTCCTGCGAGTTTCTGGACGGAAATTGGAGGGATTCAGCATCCCAACGTGGTGAAATTGATCGGAGTGCTGCAATCGAGTAAAGGTTTAGGGTTTCTGGTTTACGAGCACGTTGAAGGGAGGAAGTTGATTGAGGTGGTTCGGAGCTTGAGTTGGGAGAGAAGGAAGAGGGTTGCGATTGGTGTGGCGAAAGCTCTCCGGTTTTTGCACGGCCGTCGGTCGGCGAGCAGGTTGGTCGGATGTGTTTCGCCGGACAAAGTGATCGTCGACGGGAGAGATGAGCCTCATCTGGAACTGAGCCCACTTGATTTGGTCGGCTATGAAACCAAAGGGTTCGTTTCATCCCCGCATTTTGGTCCAGGTAACAATTTACATGTTTACATTTATCCTTAATATTGAATTAAGAATTCTATTGATTGAAGTTTAGAGTGTTTAGGAAGAGTGTTCTCAATATTTTTCAATGTCACTTTCATTAAATGTTGATTTATCCGTTTGAATTTGACTCTTAAATTCATAAATTTTATATTATTTATCATACATTCTCGAATCGCAAATTTATTAGTGTTTTGCAACGGAGGAACAAAAAATGATAGAGTTTTCTTGTCATTGCATTTGCAGAAAGCTTGGAAATGAAGGAAATGAGAGAGAAGAAGGATATCTATGGCTTTGGGCTAATCCTCATCCAATTGTTAACTGGAAAATGCCCGAACGACGTTGAAGCGTTGGGAGTGGAGGAGGGAATCGTGGAATGGGCTCGATATTGCTACTCAGATTGCCATATCCAGACGTGGGTCGATCCCATGGTGTTGATGAAGCAACAAAATGAAGTGGTCGAAGCCATGAACTTGGCTCTCCGTTGCACAGCAGTTGATCCCATAGCTCGACCGTGTGCAAAAGATGTGTTGAAAACCCTAGAGTCGTCTACCTGTTTGCTAAATTCTTGTTGTGCCTCAAATATGTAGTTCACGTGACGAGTTCGCAACAATTGGGCTAAGGTGCAGAGCGGTCGGGCAAATCAATTCCCTACAACCATGCATGCAAAATGCAAACAGTCATCTCATACATGTGAAGTTTATTTTTGGACGGTTGGATGACAAGTTAGCGACAATTTTGTTGTCATCGAAAAAATGGAACGTTTTTAGAAATTCAGTCGCCTCCTACAACTAAAAGGTTGTGTCTCATCACTCATGCATGTTGAGGAAGACCGCTCTACACCGTAGCCTAATAGAATTCGTAGCTTACTATAAATCTTCAGTGTTTAGGAGTTTTCTAGTTGTTTTTATCTTGATCTTTTTTTCTCCTTTTTTTTTTTTTTTTGGGTTGTGGTTTGTTTGTGTTACCCTTTAAGTTTGAAAGAAAAATGGATGATTATTTGTTCCATTTAAGTTGTATCATATTAGGCTTAGCACGAGAAGGTTAAATGGAAGATGGAAAACAGTATGAAAATGATTTAGGTTTGTGGGTTATTGGCATTTTGCTTTAGGGTATTGCTAGATAGAGGTTGATGATTTTTGGTTGAGTGTATATTGTAAACTGCAAAAATATAATGCAACTTACATTTTCTTGGTACATGAATGAAGTAATTGCCACCATAAGAAATCTTTTTAATCTTCAGTTTCCTACCAATATATTTTATTTGCACAACAAAAATACACAATTTCATCTACAAAATCAAATCATATTTTTAATTATTTTATACGGGTCATTGTTCACATTTGTATCATTAAATTTATCACATTTGAATCAAACTACTATACGCTCGTCGGGAGTTACACCAAATCAGCATATGACTAAGCACATACATATATAAGAAAAAATCATCAGAATATGAGTCTTCACAACAACCTTAAGATGCCAATTCTCACATCAAACCGGTCGGGCAAGACCATCGAGTCGATCGCTAGGTTGGATCGATTGAACCGGTAGGTCGTGGTCCCTTTCCAATTTTGCAAAATCCCCTGTTTTTTCTCTGCATAACTTTCCCTGTTCTTCTCTTCTGTTTGTCTAGTGTAGTAGTGCTCTTTAGCAGTCAAGTCATCATCATCCATCGACCATATATCGGTCTTTCCTTTCTGCCCCCTATACTTCTTTATCAAATTTCATTTTGTCCTTTCATGTTGAGCCGTAACGCCTTTTCTTTCCATAAAGATGGTCCCTTTCCTTCTGACAGCTTCATTCTTCGTTTGGCTTTATACACAATACATATGGACACTTCTTGCTGATGAGTAGCATCACTGGCTAGCAGGAATTGGATCAATATCATGGTTGAAATTACTCTGAATGTACATAATTGACTTCTATGTTTGTCAAGTGGGGTTCATGAACCACTATCCTCTCCACTACATATATGAGATCTGTGTGTATGGAAGGTGTAGAGAAAGTAAAGAGGAAGGTTAAATGTAATACATTAGTCAAATCATACAATGACAAAAGACGAGAGGGTTCCCGAGATTCATTAAGAATAATTCAACTTTAACTTACAAGACAAGACGTGCTTTGAGGTAAAATGAAAAAAGTTCTTGTAAGAACTCTGAAACTAAACGCACTCAATGTGGAGCAACGCAAAGATGAGTAATCTCTGGGAAGTGACTATGATATGCATCCAAAGCGGACACTACTTTAGTAAGAGAATGGTTGGATGTTTACAAGTGGTATTACAGCCTCTTCGCGACCATCTTGAACGATCGATGGTGGGCAAACCCCAACGAGGACGTCGATTCCCAAGAGGGTGTATGTAACACCTTAAGCAAATCTCACATCGACAAAACACGAGAGATATCCATAATTCATCATAGGGAACAATCCAACTTTAACTAACAATACACATTATTTAGTAAAACAGAGAAGTACTTGTAAGAACCCTAAAGTTAAACGTAGTGGGAAGTAGTGCAAGAATGAGTGAAATCTTGTCACTATGACATAAGAGGTGAGGAACTTCCCTTATATATATTTCCTGTTTCTCCTTTCCTTTTGGGTTTTGGCCTCTCATGGCGTTCTAGAGGAATGAATGATGCCCTTTGAATGGTTAATCTAAATCACTTTTGCTTTGGCGGGCATGATTGATTGATTAAAGTTGCATTTGATCACCATGCATGCATGTCACAGTCTCATGCAGTAACAAAAACAGTGTAATCATTCATTCATTCTACAGCAAAAGTGAAAGAAGCCAACCAGGCAGTGTAATTGCCCTTTCTTTCTTTGATCAAATCATCACCACTTTGTCTACCTTTTGATGAAGGGATTGTCGAGCAATTGGATTGGTCTGCCCAACCAAAGCAGCTCCCAACTGCATAGCATAATCATGGCTGCACGTTAGGGTTTTATACGTGTGTTTCACTGATTGCGTACTTTAATGCATTGGATCAAAAAACAAAAACGAGAATTGCGTCTGCCGGGAGTCGAACCCGGGTCTATTGCTTGGAAGGCAATTATCCTAACCGTTGGACTACAAACGCTTGTTGTTGATATAACCGACTAATATTTAGATGAATCAAAATCATAGCAGAGAACCCTTCTTGTGGGTCTAGTAACCCATTGCAGCTCACTGCATCTTTTTTCGTACGTGATTGATCAGATGGAAGAGCAAAGAAACAATCTAAAATTTCCCAAGGTTGCTGGTTGTTCGAAGCATTCCCCAGTTCGGGTCATCCTCAACCCATTTCGAATCTTTGGTGCTAACCAGTAACCACTATGCGCTCTGTACTGTAGAAACGTTCGTTTTTCACGAAGAAGCTAAGCACACCGCATTGAAGTCAATTGCCATGTTAGGATCGTTAAAGAGTTATTGCTGGTTCGGTTGCTTTTTGCTGCATCTTTGGAGCTAACCAATATCCCTCGAGAAGGAGCATTAGGGGGCTATGCTTTTTCAGTTTGATGAAACGAAATGATCCTCTAGTAGCTAGCAGAGTAAGTTTTTACTCTCTGCTTTGGATGCCTGCTAGAAATTTTAAGCTTCTAGCCAAATTTCACTTTTACTCTACTGAATCATAAGTTTGCAGTACAGGTTCCTGATCCTTTTTTGTTACAAGTATGTCAGGAAAAGAAAAATAGAAGAGTGCACGATGCACAATGTATCAGTTTTTGAGATCATTTGAGTCTGTTAAAGCAGAGCAAGCAACACACAGATAACATCATACAAGGGAATCTTCAGTGCCTTTTTTCTGTTGTCCTGTGGCAGCGCGATGAAACTGAAAGTCTGTAGAACCAGTAGCAACTTCGCAGGCATACTACATACGACATGTAATCTATCGACGTAGCTGTGTCTATTTTCCATTTACATACTCGAGGAGGAGCCTGTCGAGTTCAAAATGTCGAACAATGCGTCCCTGCATGGAAAATAACAATGATCAGGCATCTCATGTTGGAATATACAGTCTGAAGTCAAGAAAATAACAATGATCAGGCAAACCACTGAGGAAAACAGGCAGCGAAGGGAACTGAAGAAGTTTTCCAAATACGCAATATGCAAAGCGTACCTTAGTTAAAGGAGGGTAAGGAGCTTTTGCTTCAAAGCCCCACTCTGGAAAACGTGCGACTTCAGTTGCATTTTCGAACAATATATAAGTAGGAAGCTGGTTCATTCCTCCTGCAGGAGAAACCTTCTTTATAGAACCCACTTTGAATAAAATATGAAGAGAAGAAAGACTTGTACTGGATTTCTTTCAGTTAGCTTTACCACTAAGTGATATTCCAAATCTCTCTGCAGCATTCGGGAAGAGTCCAAGATCGACTGATCCAAAGGATAAGTTCTTGTTTGAGTATCTGCAAATGGTAGATTATCAGGTCTATCTAAAAAATAAATGGTACTAAGTAAGATGCATAGATGTTTCTTTGTCAACAGCTAATGTCTCAACAGCTACCAAAACAAAAAAATTGCAAACGGAAACCTAGATTAGTGAACTTACGTGACAGAAAGTTCAGGAAAGCAACGACTTGTACGTATGCAAGTAGAGGAACACTGTGCACGAAACTCTACCTGCAACATAAAGGCCAGTCAAAACAGGATTAATCAAGCTCTTATAGGAGATGCCACTCACTAATACAAGCAATAGGTTTCACTTATCATATCCTAGTACCAAGAGTTTCAGTGCATCCAGTTTACACATGACTGATTAAGACATAGAATGCATGACAAAAAAAATTACATTTAGATTCCTCTCCCAAGAGAAACTGGAAGACCCGGAAACTGGCCTCTCTTTCACAACTCTAACAAACAATGAGATAACCAACGTGCATTGGCGTGTCATATAACCAACGAGTTGGTAAAGGAGAATGCTTAATCAATTCTTACAAATTGAAACGTTTCTAGAGCAACCAATCTACTTCGATAAGGTAACCGTTACATATTACAAAACACATTGCACGAGAAGATCAAGGACCAGTGAAAAGCAACCAACCAACCAGTATCTTGACGTATGTCCCTCTGTCAACAAGGTTTCCAACTGCAGAGGTGTTAACTTATTCACATCACCTGCAAAAGGAAAATTAGTTAAAATACCACGACAAGACCATAAGAATCTAGAATCATAAATGGTAATGCTAGATGCTCAAATATAATAACAGCCCATTCGACTGTTAAGTACCTAGTTCTTCGAAAACAGGTTGTTGTGCTAAGAGATATATCACTGCAAAAATGCGAAAGCCAGTCCAAGAATCAATGACCCTCTTCGCAACTGAAGAGTCAATATTACAATAACAGTATCAAGAATAGCAAACGAAAGGCGGGCTACCTGAAAACAACACTGTATACCAAAGAGCCAGATGGTAATCCAAAACCAATGAAATGGCGATGAGAAAAAGCTGAAAACCCCCCATTACAGGCTTCATTCAAAGTCAGACGAAACAAGACCAGGAAATCAAAAGGAGAGGGAGAGCATTGAAGAATTCGTCAATCCACACCTTGGCATAGAAGATGGTATCAGCGATAAAACCCTCCCATGTTTCTTCTTTCACCAACTGCCCAAAATCCATCACCAATCAACTCAGCATTCAAGATTGTAGCAATCAAATCAACGTCACTTTTAAACCCGGTTTCATTTATCAGATTCATCGATCAATTTGAAGAGTACCTTGACAGCAGCTAAAACGGCGAATCCGAGAACGGCTTGAATCTCCTGCACACAGATGATCAATTTCAGAAACCCAAAGTAAGGAAGCTAGGAGGATCGGAGATGGAGACGGAAAGAGAGGGAGGGAGGGAGCGCGAACCCGACGCAGGAAACGGAGGGACAATTGAGGGGAGAGGACCTGAGTGGCGGAGCTGCGAACCACAAAGTAGGAGAAGAAAACTAGGAAATGGAAGAGATAGTGTGGCTCCGACACAATTTTATTCAGCGCTTCGAACGCATTCGTTCCGCCGCCAAGCTTCTTCTTCACCATCTTCTCCGATCTCGAGATCTCACTGCTCACTGCGATGGCCGATGGCGGTTGGTTCAGGTTGTTTCAGTCTCCAACTCGGCAGTTGCAGTCTTGCAGTTAAGCCGCTCAGCGCTTAACATCTGCAACTTCATCGTTTTCGTCCGTTTGGCTTGGTACAGAGAGACGGCCCACTCATATTCTCCTACATTTCAAAGCCCAACAGGACACACAGACAGGCCCAAAGTTTCAACCGGGCTAGTCAAAGCCCATTTACTCTACGAAACTCACCCAGCCCACATAACACCCATATCCGGATATCCCTACTAAGTACTACTAACCAACGAACGAAGGGCCGGAGGACAGTCACGTGACTAATGAGAAAACTGGTGACCACCACGTGTTGAGCTTTGAAAAGAGGGGGCCGCCGGCGGAAAGCGGGTCAGCCGGCGAACAGAGTCTTGCAAGATAAGGGAGGCATTTATATTATAAAAATCAAATCAACATCGTCTCCGGGGATCCGATTGCCGGAAGTCCAATTGACGAGGGTGCGTGGTGGGATTGATTAAAGTATAATAATTGACCACCGCCGGTTTGGGGGGTTTCTTTTATGACACGATTGGTGGAACGTAGAGCCAAATCCAATCCACCACCACCTCTGTCACATGCTTCCCTGACACCCTCCCCACCCTCTCTATCACGTGCGATTCCGGGACAGCGTGACATGGTGGCGAGTTTACTGACTAGTGAGTGAGGGTAATGAGTCTTCGCAACCCATATATACAAGGAAAATATCCTACTCGCCGGAGTAAATGACGGCGGCTGCCACCACTCCTCGCCTCCATCGCCATAATGCACCGCCACCTTATCTGCTTCGGCTTTGGTGTAGGGTTTGTATATGTGTTGTTGATTGGGCGCGATAAAGAACAGTTCGAGTTAACTCGAGGTAGGTGCAAGTACGCGTTTATGCGTCTTATTTATTTGTTAGTTTTACAATAAGCCAGTTATAGTCTTATAGATATTATAATCTTTCATTTTCTTCTATTTTATTGTTGTGCATCGCAATCATTCGGGTGATAAATCATGTAATTGATAAAAAAAACATAAATTCTTAGCGGTTAGAAGGATAGTCAGTAAAATGATATAAGAGATTGTTGCAGTAAAATGATATAAGAGATTCATAATGGAGTTTCTTCGATCCTAACAACTCAAATTATCGAAACCAAAGAGTGAAAATAAATGATATAAAATACATATAAATACTTTCGAACATTTAGAGTTATATATAAAAAATAAATAGTTCATGAAACCCATTGGCCATATTGCCACACCATTTTGGTACATTCTACTGCCAGCTGCTTCCCCGTCCTCTTACTGTGTTACCAAGGATGTTTGCGAGTTAATTAGGCACAGAACTGACAGCACCAACTGTTGCAGGTAATCCCAAGAAAGAAATTTGTTAGATTAGTGGGGAGCTATAGCAGAAACCAAACGCCAGGTAAGTAATTTGATGTTATCTTTGTATTCTTGTAACGTGTATTTAATTGTAAGAACTATGTGAAAAAGAAGTAAGTACTACATTAAAAGAAGAAGAAAAAAGTTCATCTCTTTGCATTCACTATTTATGTATTGTTTATTTCCTGTGATGGATGCAATATTCCATAGTTTTTACTTTTGTTTAAATGGGATGAAATATTTGAATTTTTTTTACATATTTAATTCTTTCGTCTGTAAATGTAACCATATATTCGAGCAAGGATAACATCAGCTCCATGTTACAAGATTGATTCACCAAGTACATGATTAGGAATAAGTGCAAAAGTATCAAGTTTGATTGATTGGGAAAAGACAAAGTTACTTATTACAAACAAACTTCTACTAGAATGATAGAGAACGAATCAATTAAGTGCCTATACCATCTCGTCTTAAGCCAGAAGTTGATATTATGGATGAAGGAAGACACGAAAACGAAGGGGAACAATACATCCCAGTAGATTGGAAACGATTGTGGCAGCTGAAACTACATCCTAAAGTATTTGTGTTTGTTTGGGAATGGAGAGTACCATGCTATCAACGAGGGTTAATTTAAGTAGGAGGATCAAAGATGTGTATGACGAATGTCAATTTTGTGATTTATCTGAAACCCAGGAACATATTACCACATATTATGACTTGACTGGAAGAGTGTGAAGACCAAGCAGGAGTGGGAGCTTTTTCTGGCCGGAGAAGATCAAAATTATGTAGAATGGCGATGTGAATTACCTGAGACAGCTACAGACGAGGAGATATGCTTGATACTAAGCGGTTCATATGGAAAGAACGCAAACCATTTGTTTAACAATCATAAATTTGAAGAATGGGAAATAGTAGCACAGTCACAATATTACGCAGGAGGCATATATGATGAACCAGTAGATGGAGCAGACGATTCGGTCAAACCACCAATTGGGGATGTACAATGTCAATGTCGATGCCTTTGTATGGAAGGAGGGAGGATCTGGATGTGATATGGTCGTTCGAGATGGTGAATGGATAATCCAAATGGTAGCGATTGATCAAGCAAAATTAGTTGGCTGCTAGAATTAGGAGAGGCATGGGCTTTTTATGGGCTCTTAACCTAGTGAATTTACACCTTTTCAGTATTATGCTGGTAGAGATGGATTTGTCGATCCGTAATACATAAATTGAATCGAGAAGAAGACACGACTTTGGAGATTTTGGGAAGGAATTGAAAACAAAGGACACATGTTATGGCTCGCACTAATTGTAGATCATATTTATCCTATTTACATTTTACCATCAGATTGCAATGCTTTAATTATGCTACTAACCTCTTCGAACTAGAGCTATTCCTTAATGGCAAACGGGAAAAGAACAAAATCCAAAGGGATCAGAGATTAAAATGTTGTTGTGGCAGGAGTTAGGCACGTTGAGGAGATCGCAGCCGCCCATCTCACCGAAGTCGCGCTGTAAATGCAGCCCGTCGTGCTCACTGGTGGTGGAGCTCAGTTTAATGTTAATGATCTGATCAGATAAATTAATTAAGTTTGATGCTGCAGGGAGTGTCAGGTGTTTGCTTTTCTTTTCTTTTAATCACCTCTTAATTTATTACCCTCCTTTTCTGATTGGTTAATTAAGAACCTTGTAAATCCTTTTTCTTTTCAAGTGTAAAGAAGAAGCTAATGAGTTGGGATGGTTGTAAATGTCAGTGTAACTAGTGGCAAGGTGAGAAATATAATATAATATTTAATGTATATTAGTTTCGAATTCTAAGATTAACAATCATACGAAAAGAAGAACGATGCAAAAGTTCGTTAGTTACTACTTAACTCTTTATATTATACACCTCTCAAAAAAGTGTGGTAATTGCTGGATTTAGAGTCAGCCCAAATTCTAAACATATCTCGAATGCTCAAAATGCGGTTTTCTAGTGCTAAAATTCATAATTGTTGGAGAAATTTAAAATTGGGATTTAATCCGATGTGAAATCACAGGCTTTGTTAAGTTTGAGTGTAAAGGGGATCATGATCAAACCATACAACTATATAGGAATTTTACTATACTTTAAGGCATTAGTGCTTTAGTTTTTACGTTTATGGTACAACTTGAAATTGTAACTACGTCGTTATGGTACAACTTCGAGTTGTACTTATACTCTTTTGTAAAATCTTTTTATGGTACAAACTAGTGTACTTTTATGTTATGGTACAACTTTACAACTTCAAGTTGTACCATAACATAAAAGTCAAATTCATTTATGATATAACTTCAATTTGTACTTTTAACGTTATAGTACAACTTCAAGTTGTACTTTAAAGTACCAATACTTTAAAGTATAGTAGAAATGCTTTACAACTATAATGTCATGGTGCAACCGATCTCTAATAGCATGGCGGTTTCTAGTTGTTGATTGCTTCTATTTCACATCTATGTCATATAACGATTATATATAATCGTCTAGTTCGATCAATATATCAACTCAAGTAATATTATCCAATATTAATGTTAACGATAATTGATCAGAACTTATTGAAAAATAAGTAAGCACAATTGCGTTCTATGAACATAAATTTCTCAATAGTGACTCTTGCCCTCATCTTTGCACCTAGAGCTTTTCTCTTCTGTTTTTTGTCCAAGTTGCTCCTCTCTTTATCTTTTTTTTTTTTTTTACAGTGAGTTATTGGGGAATGGTGTAATTTTGCGGGAAATTCACTTTTCCTCGTCAAAATGGCACCTCCATATTTGTAGCTGTCCTCTCTGTCCCCCTTCTAACGCAAACCCAAAACTCTCTCTCTCCCTCATCACTGCCTACAACCTCGCTTTCCTTCCTTCCTTTCCCCTTCTCTTCTTCCCCCATTGCTCTCTCTCTCTCTCTCTCTCTCTCTCACTCACTTTCTTCTCCCCACTTCACTCCCTCTCCCTCATTCCATCCTCCCTCCATTTTCCCTTCTCCACATCCATCCAGCAGAATAACGGGGGGAAATTACCCACCCCTGAAAATATAGCAATTACTTACAGGAGGAAGAGAAATTAGACAAGAAAAAAAAAAGGGGTCATGGAAGAAGCACCAGAATTGTACCAATCCAACAATGGCGGAGGAGGATTCTGCATTACCACTCCTCCTCCTTCGTTTGGCGGGAGTAATAATAGTGAAAAGCATTCTAGTAGTATCGATAATTCCAAGCCCAGTACTGGCGGTGGAAGTGAGCATTTCGTCGTGGAAGACCTCTTGGATTTCTCCAACGAGGACGAGGAGGACGACGACGCCGTACTCGCCGACACCACCACCGACTCCTCCACTGTTACCGTCGTTGATAACAGCTGCAATTCCTCCTCCTTCTCCGGCTCCGGCTCCGACCCTCCCTCCGGCTTCAATCACCCTCCTCCTCCGGCCGCAGCTTTCTCCGACTCCCACTTCTCCAACGACCTCTGCGTCCCGGTAATCAATTAACCCATTTCCCCAATTTAGTCGATGTTCAATTGTATACCCATTTCATGGAACGAGTCAATTCTTTCTGTAATTGCGTGAAACAGAGAGCGATAATTCCCATTAATTCAGATTGACGGAATTGCTATTTATCGAGGGATTTTTTCTTTTGTCTTTTCCGGGGGACAGTACGATGATTTGGCGGAGCTGGAATGGCTATCGAATTTCGTGGAGGAATCGTCGTTCTCGAGCGAGGACCTGCAAAAGCTGCAGCTCCTCTCCGGGATTAAATCCCGCCGCACCGACGATTCGTCCGCTATCACCACCGGGAACAACAACAACAGCAACAACCCCATTTTCGACGCCGACGTCTCCATCCCGGCGAAGACGAGGAGCAAGCGGTCCCGCACGGCAGCCTGCAATTGGGCGTCCCGCCTCCTCGTTCTCTCCCCGACTTCCTCCACCTCTTCTTCCGCCGCTGAACCGCCGGAAATCACCGTCGCTCCGCCCCCTCCTCCCCCGCCGGCGCTCCAGCCGCCGCCGACGGCGGCGGCGTTGTTCCACCACCACCCGGCGATGATGATGACGACGGCGAAGAAGACGGTGAAATTGACGGCGCCGAAGAAGAGAGACGGCGGCGGGGGAGGAGGAGGGAGCAACGGCGGGGAGGGGCGGAAATGCCTGCATTGCGCCACCGACAAGACGCCGCAGTGGCGGACGGGCCCGCTGGGCCCGAAGACGCTGTGCAACGCGTGCGGGGTGAGGTACAAGTCCGGGAGGCTGGTGCCGGAGTACAGGCCGGCGGCGAGCCCGACGTTCGTGCTCACGAAGCACTCAAACTCCCACCGGAAGGTTATGGAGCTGCGGCGGCAGAAGGAGATGATGAGGGCCCACCACCCGGTGGCTACTACTACGACGTCGTCTTCGCATCATAGTCAGCACCAACAGCAACAGTTCCTGCACGGCCATTCTCATCATAACAACCAGCAACACCACCATCACCACCATCAAAGCATGGTGTTCGATGTCTCATCCAACGGTGGAGGTGACGACTACTTGATTCACCAACACGTGGGCCCCGATTTCAGGCAGCTCATTTAGAGAGGGCCCTATTTTTTTGGGGGGTTTTTTTTGTTTCTTTTTTGTCTTAAAAATTAAAATTAGCATAGGCGGAAAACAAGTCACGAGTTTAGTGAATTTCGCTTAATCTTTTTTTTTTCCTTCTAATTTCCTTTCTATTTTTGGGTTACTTTTAGGCCTAATTTCGATTTTCTGCTTTTTTGTCTTGGATTTTGCTTAACATTTTCCTTGAATTTTCCATAGGTTATAAATCATGAATTTTCTCGTCCATGCTATATGATTCGATTCTTGCTTGATTTATTTGCCAAAATGAGTAAGTGAGTTATTAATTGTGTAAGAAAACAAGAGTCCTCCATGCATGATTTTACGTAATGAGGTTAGCTATTTGCATGCAATTATAAGTTTTGTTTGGGTCTTTATTTACTAGTGCATGGCAATGCGAGTCTTCATACAAAGATATGCAAGGGATTTGCGATGTGGAGAATTTGGAAAAAGTGAGATGATGCTCTAGATTTTGGTCAAGCTTGGCATATATAGTTTTTGTTTGGTTAGGCCGTTGGAGGGTAGTTGGAATCATCGACCAAACCTCGTTGTTCTTATTAGGGTTGGTACTCACCACCTTTCATAGGATTTCGATCGCGAAGTGTATGAATCGTGTTAGTTTCAGTAACTCCACTTGTAGATATAAGGGTTTTCATGGGTCGGGTTTTGAGGTGTACGTGTTTCGATAAACTCATCAATCCTTATTTTCATTTTCAATATCTAAATTCATGTCCTATGCATGTCCTGATCTTCATATAGATGGAGCTTTTTCATTATCATTCTCGTGATTTTCTTATACGCCAGAATAATTCTCGCTCTGACTCTAGCATCGTATCAAAATTGAAGTTGAAGTCTTAAACTTAATATAATTAACTTGAAACACATGATTGTAGAGCTCAAGCCTTGAAATGAACATTATATATCACAAACTAACCACAAGATCGAGCACGAGAAACATAACCAAAAATATAGATTAAAATGTGGCATATGTGTCCTTAACTCCTTATGGAATTGAAAAGGTAAAGTTCGGGAGTTGATAATCGTGATCTTTTGAAATTTCTGTGGAGGGGATAAGATGGCATGTAATTGATTGTATGTATCATATGAATGAATATAGGGTGAATATGGGTATGTGGGGAACCTAAACTGATCATCTTAGACCCATCCCGCCACTTTCTTTGTTGATATTACTCATATACTTGCCTGTACCCAGTTAATGTGGGAATTTCCCTTGTTGACTGTGCCAGGGAGGGTTGGACGCCCATATTTGTGGTTGGCATTGTCATCTCTATTGTCGAGAGAACCCCATATGAATGAATCTTATATCATCTTCTTTCACGTCCAATCATATGCGAGAGTCAAATCTGTATGTTTGAAATTTGAACAAATTATTCCACCATGTCGTGCACATCAATTGTTAACAGTGGTGACAATTCAAATACAAAACCTAGAGATCAAAGATTTTAATGTCATGTCAAAAATCGATTGATCAAAATAATTCAAATTATTGGAGCGATTTATTCTCAGCATAAACAATGATACATATTCCATATGTAAATCCCTCCTAACAACTACCGTTATCAAGCTAGACCAACCAATTCTTCACGGTACCTACCACCACCGTAAGTATTAATAAAAAAAAACATATATATCAACATAAATTTCAGTGAGAAACTCCATGAGTGTTCTTGGTAATGGGAGCTGGCCGGTGGGGTTGCTAGCTTAGCTAGATCGGTGGCTGATTCATGGAGTGAATTGGGATTGTTCATATCTCAGAGAATGTTAGAAAACCAAAGAGGGTTTTTGCAGGGGCGGCCGACGACCTATAATTTAATGAACTAACAGTTTCCTTTTAATTAATTTTCCTCATTTAGTTGCATGAATTTCCCCAACTTCCTTTACAAGTTCGAGGGAGAAGATAATATATAATTATATATACATGAAGTTTGAATTTTTATTCCATTTTTCTCTTCTTCACAGTGCAAAATAAAAGATAATATAACCGTAACCCTAATTTTTTTTATTGGTCATAACAACTATGGAGTAGCACAATGCACGATCCTATGCTGCACTTTACACTAATCCAAAGACCGCAGTGCACACAGGAAAATATATTATAATTATATGTATGCATATATATATGCCCAATTCAGTGCACTCCCAAGTAGTCTTAGTCTTATTATTATTATTATTATTATTATTATTATTATTTTAACCCCAATTGCATTTGGTGATGATTTGTTCTCGCGTAGTCGAAATTATAATCACTTATATTTATAATTTGTACACTCACCCAAAATTAGGACAATTCGTTCTAACAGGTCGTGAATATACATAACTATTACAGATTATGTTATTGAACCGCATAAATGTTGGTATAATTTATTTTCCTACTTTGTCTATCGCTCAATAAGTGCAAATTTACTTGGAATTTACCGTGGGAAAATGGTGGTGGCCGCAGAAGTTTTATTATAAGTATTGCTTTGGAGTTAAAAATGGGGATGCATACATTTATTTATTTCCTTTTTTTATTTTCATACCATACATCAATTTTATTTATTTCCTTTATCCGTACAGGTATTTATTATTAATGAATGTTGAAGGGGAAGCAAAGTTCGCGGTGCTCACGTGCCCCTCCCTTCGTTCCATCTGAATTCCCAGCGCCTTTATTATATGCTCCCGTCCCACCCTTCCACTCTGTTTGGGAAGAGGGGTAAATGGAAGGAGGGTGCAAATGTGAGGGGTAAACACAGTTTCCAACACATTTGCACCTGTTTGGTTAATTTGGAACAGTAGGGGGTGCAAAACGAGAGTGCAAATTTACTGTTTCGGCTTACCCCGAATTGGGGTGCAAAGGAAGGAAGGAAGAGAGGGGGAGAGGGGAATTATGGAATTTTGTTTTTCTAATTGTGTTATATATAATTATATAATAATTAATATTATCAATTTCTTCTTTTTATAAATGGGAGAGGGGCGCATCTTTGTTTGGTTAACTCATTTTATTTGACTAAATAGTTAAAACTTACAAATTCGAACGTGTTTGACTAAGTTTGACAATTTAAGATTAAACTAGACACGAAAACCCTATATAGGATGACCAGTTAGGAGTTGAGCTTCGAGTTTTGAGATCGCTCGATCAATGATTATTACAATTGTTATAATTAATTATTATTTGAGCATTATTATATAATAACTATTTTTAGTAAAGTATATTTATTATTATATAGTAATATTTATTTTATTATTTTATGATAATATTTATAATTTTAAAATCTATTTTATAATTTTAAAATCTATTTTAAAATAATATAATTACTTACTTTGCACTTTATTTGCACCCCCCTACTTTTTCATCCAAACAACAATTTACCCCTCCACTTACACCCCCCAGCAATTTGCACCCCCAGCAATTTACCTCTCAACTTGCACCCTCCTGCAACTTGCACCCCCTTGTTGCCAAACAGAGCTTCCCTTTCGATCACTCCCTCAAGTAATTAAAAAAGAGAGTGGTATTTTTTGACAGTAAAAATGGTGTTTGTTACTGCGGTAGAAATACTATTTCAAGTCATTGGGGCGAATGAAGGTCTATACCTTGTCATAACTTTGTTTCACTCATACATATAATTTTTGGACAACATATTTATGTATCAGTTAGTTAATTAATTAATAAGCATTTGTGCATCACAGTTGAAATGATTTGTTACTGGGGAGGATATACCTAATATTAATTCGTGGGGGGAAGTGTCTTTAAATTAATTAACGTATCTCTCAAATTGATTAACTTAAGAAAGAAAGGGGTTTAATTGGGTCTCATGCAGAGATCACGTCACGTGCTCCTTCTCAGAGGGAGGAGCGATATTCATGGGGTCATGTTTAAAAAGCTAAACCGACAAATAAATAAACAGACTCAATAAAATATTTGAATTAGTAATAATGGTTAATTAAGCAAATGTTAAGGGTTTAGTCGGTGATTGGCCTATTATTAATTTATTAAATTGAAAAGCGGGAACATGGAAATTAAAGTAGAGAGGCAGAGTGAGTGATGTTAGGTTAGCAGTTGGCTAGCTTGTATTTTAGTCAAAGGGGCTTCTCTTCTCTTCTCTTCTCTGAGCAGTTTCATGTGCAGCAAGCAAGCTAAGCTAAGCTAAGCTACTACTGAGTGCCAGTGGCAGAGGATTGATTCTTATTCCATCAAGGGAGGCAGGAGGGTCCATGGTGCACAACGGTTAAATCATTATTATTCGAGTCTTTGCGAAATGTTCAATAATGAACTTCTGTGTATATATTATTCTCTTATGTTACGTGTGTATGAGTTGTGAAGCTTGTATTTTAGAGGGTTGATCATACGAATGTTTTTGTCGATCTTAAAGGTGATTCACTAAACCCAACATCAAACAGTTATGTTAATCTCCGAGTATAGTAAGTATGCAGTGGAGGAGCTAGGTTGAAGCAGGAGGAGCTATAACCACACTCAAATTTGAAATGTGAAGAAAATTACATGTAAATTTCGTTACAAATTTTGAAAATAGAGTAGTCGGTAAGGTATTAACCCTTCACTTCTCAACTCATCCCGTATCGCAGTTCAAGGTAGCCCTCCTCATTCAAATTTCTAACTCCGCGTGGAAACTATTATCCATTTGTTGAATCAGAAAGAAAAAGGTCAAGAAATGAAGGGATGTACTGATTTTTTTTTTTTTAACAACTAACTGTGAGGTTGAAAAGGAGCTGTCAAGAGAAGAAAAGGAAAGATAAGAAAGCAATTCCACTCTCGGCCCGACTCCTCCACACACACAAAAGCAATTTCACCTCAACATTTCTTCACCCTTTTTCCCCCCTCCATATCAGAGAAAAGGCAAATATCTAAAGCATATGAGTAGTTAAACTACAACATAATTGCATGCATGAGAGCTTCCCAAGCATCTATGCATTGGGGAGGGATGCATTTCCATGTGTGGAGCAAAAGTGTTTGTCCCCTCCTTCCCTTTCCCCCACAACTAGCTAATCTTCCTTCTCAGGACCATGACTTGGCTTGCCTGCCTGCAACTAACCGTACTTTCACACACAAAAACTGCCTAGACATGGACACAAATGGAAGACTCATCACACTAAACCAGCAGCTACCTTTCATTGGACCGATCCCACGAGGCCACGACAAAAACGAACAGAGATGTGTGTTCGGCAAACATCAGTAAGTACAAGGACGAGGTAGCTAGTTAAGCATGAAAGCGGAGGAAGTGTGTTTGGTAACTGATGTAAAAAAAAAAAAAAATGCAGAGGGTTGGTTAAGAATGGTGAATATAACTCATTTGGTTGATCATGGAAACATAAAGAAGATGGAGACAGATACAGACGCACCTAAGGTAATATATCACCCAACAACTTCCCTCCCCATGCCTCATCTGTTCCTTGTTCAATGACATAAACTCAAACCACTGCTGATAAAATGGCCATGCATTGTTGCCTCCTGATAGATAGATAATGGGAAGACATGAAACCAACCACCCAGACGTTTTTGCTAGTGTCAGGCCAAGGACTGCCCATAAGTAATCAATGGCAGCTACAGATGGAAGAGAGCATATGGTTTGGTTTCACTACCAGCAGTGTAGTAAAAATAGTATGATGATATTCCTCTTCAAAGTTTTTGAAGATTTTTTCAATTCAAAAGAAGTGATGTGACAACAACCCACAAAAGTGCAGAAGAATCATATCCAAGATTTTCATTGTTATTCCCCTTGAGACGAAGACGAAACTCTAGCGACAGAATGTGAGTTCACAAAGAGACATGTCCTTCGTCTGACTAGGTTCGTTATCGAGGCACACTCAGTCCCAGCTCTGCAAAACAATTAGGAAACAAAACCCATCTTAGAGTGGAATAACTGGCATCACATATTCACTTGAAGATGTTCTAATCGAGACGATTGAGGAGCATATGATGATTAGAAACAAGTGTCAATAGAATGCTCTAGCAATCAATGTCGCCAATAAGGTTTAATGCATACGTATAAGTTTTAACAGCCAGAATGAGATACAAATTGATAGTGAATTAGATAAGATAGAGTCCTAGAGATCTGCTTGGGCCATTCACAAGTAACTCTAGTACTCAGTCCCCCAAAAGTGTGGACCGGATTGGACAGGAGAGGTCTTACTGCATTGAGAATCAGAGGGTGTCCACCTATTTCAATGCAAACTGTAAGATGAACCTAAAGACAGTAGTTCCAATAGAATGATTGATGTTCTTCAAATGTTAATAATCGAGACAAATATGTATCGAGTTGGGATTAAAGAAAAATGTGAAAATCCCACCATCATTCAAAGCTACACTATGAGGACAACAACATTCCAATGACCTCATCTCCAACTAAAACTCAAATTACTGAAGTTGAAGAATGTATACAATTTGAGCACTAGTAAACCATGACATACATGTAGCGATATACCTATTGTGTCTTGCGAAAGAGCACACTGTATTTCTTTTGAAGGAATAGCTTCAGAATAAATACCACACTATTTGACTTGTAAATGCCTAGTATATCCACCTCTGTTCCTAAACAAAATAAGGGATGTTGTTTGGCAGACTCTATGCACTCCCATATGCACAATTGAAAAAGGAACCCGTGCAGTCCCTATCTACTCTGTGTTTCAAGTAGATACTCGAACAGTCAAGCCATTAATTTTTCAGCTCCAAATTGAGATAATCTAAACCCTGAATAAGGAGACATCAAAATCAGTATGGCCTAATTTTTCCCAAATGGCTCTCTCTACTGAACTAAAGGATACTCGTGCTACATGAAGCACCTATCGACTTATCAACCAATATTAAATACTTGCTATCCCTCTCCTCAAGTATCAAATGTATCATTCTCTACTCACTTCACATCTAATACATGCGATTCACCGGTCAATTGTCGTGGTTCGTGGCATTTCCTATCCAGCACTAAGTTAGTAGAGGGGACAACTGGAACCATAGCAATTCAATTGAAGTGCTATAAACAAACTAGAACGAAGTAAAAATACATGGAACTGAATTCAAGAGTAAAAAGTTGCTTACAGATAACCAAAACTAAAAGATTTCGGAGAGATTTATCAAACTCCTGGGTTCGCACTGCAGAGCATACCCTGAGACAACGACCGTGAGCTGGTGGAATCGATGCCAAGACACGATGTGAGACGAGCTGAAGCAACGGCGGAGTGTAGAGGAAGGAGCGACTGAAGAGCACCCAGTTGAGCAATTGGCCTGAGAATTGGAAAAATCCACAAAGTTCAGTATTCACAGAACTCCTCATAGAATTGAAATGCGAAGGAGCATAGTGCTTGCCTTGAGAATGTAGAAGAAGGGCGAGCTGGGAAAAGAGAAGCGGCCGAGGTGGGTGTGGGTTTAACGCCGGCCGGCTTGTTGACCGCGTGTTTGAAGAGAGAAACCGTTGATTTGGAAAGAGCTCTGTAACGAGTCGCCATTGATGCCCGAAGGTGAAGACCCAGGACAGGAGGAAAGTTGCTGACTTTAGGGTTTGTGCGGGAACAGAATCAATGGAAGTTCCAGATTTGAGGAGGATTGCCGAAAGGGGTTTTTGTGGGGTTTTACAATTTTCTTGTCGCTATGAATCCAGCTTACCTCAGAATGATAGAACGGCGTCGTGTGCGGAAGCGACCAACCAATCACCCCTTCCCGCCAAGTCCCGAACCAAAGGAGCTTGGCCGGTTGAACCTCTGGCCCATTTGTAGTATAGCAGTACTGTCGGTCGATCTTAGGCTCGAGATCACAGTCTCAAAGCTTCATATTTATTTGTTACAAAGGTTATGCCAAAGGAAGGGGTTGCATGTATTGCTCTTCAAAGATCAAGGATAGGAATGTCTGCCTCCATATCAATCCAGACACAATGGTTAAACAGAGCGAGGAGAGCCACGAACCATATGCTCAATAGCAAAATCACATGCAATAATCTACTTTAACATCCAAACAAATGATTTGATACAGATCCCAAACGCTAATTCTCGTATCCTGGCGCACGCTAATACATCAAAATATTCAGCGGACTAAAGAGACAGAATCAGCTTCACCGAGTGCCTGATCCCATACTATGATGATGATGATATAGACTTGACTAGGCAGGCAGCTCGTTCGCTCTTCTCCCCAGGTTATCAGAGAAGGCGTAGTTTCCCTGTAACGGAATCCACTGATGATTTTGGACCTGCTCATCAATGGCAACATCGATCACTCTTCCGGTAATCAGTTCAAACCAGAAGCCCCTTAACTAAATGAGTTAATGAAGAATTGGTTATGTCATACAACGACTGCAGTTTTCTGAAGCCAACAGTAAAAACATACCAGGTCCAACAGCCATAACCGTGTGTGAGCCAGCAGCAACCTGTCCAAATTTACAGCAAGACAATGAGCTTTTCTATTTGTATACAGAGCTCAACAAAATTATGATCACTTATACTTATTAGATCCATTTGCAGCCTGGAATCCTGAGAATACTACAAGTTTAATATTGGACCATGCGATTACTTGAAATTTTGGGCACTGAACTGTCTCCTGAGAGACAGTGAAAACACCGAAATCGTTCTAATAAATCATGGTTAGCATTTTCGTTTCCTCCCATAAATTTTCGCAGTTGTGTTGCTGATGTGACAACCTCCGCATACGAATTGAAGGATGCTACATCAGCAACATATGATGAAATCTACAGGGAAAACGGGAATGGCAATAGTGACTTATCAGGGCAAGTTTTGTGATTTAGTTGTCCCACTATCCCAGTTCAGTCCCCAATACGATGTACACGGACAAGTCCCTAGATGAAATTGATACTTAATCCAACATAAACATATAAAACTGGGGTAAATGTGCAGCAGCTTTCAAGCAATACCATATTCCCCATCACAAACTATGAAATATGGTATCACTACTAACAGCATAAGGCCACATGAAAAGACTTTGCAAGCGGACTTGGTGTGCCTAAGACTTGTCTTCAGTCATCATTCGTGTCGTTCCGAAAGCTCTAAAAGTCACAGTTAGACACCAAGATCTGGAAACCTAACCTTGCACTTAAGATATCCAGGCTTCACTTTATTTGGACAACTTCTTTCCATAAATATAATCAGTAAATTGATGAACCAATTCTTCGAAAGTCCTACCTGTGTTCTTCCAGCATCAGCGACCACAAATGTTGGGAGGCCGATGTTCTCAGCTGCTTCCTTGAGCTTATTCCTGATGATCAAACACATCTGAGCATCATCTATCCGAATAAGCAAGTACCGGAGATATCTTGGCAATTTCAAAACCAAACTTTCTGTCACTGCTTACATTTCTGTTTGATTTTTGCAAGTAACAACTATTTTAGCCTGCCCACATTGTTCCCACCGTCTCAGAAGCAAGCGATCACTGCAAACCCACACACGAAGAAAATGTGTCTCATTTCACTTCTTAGCAATACCGGCACAACCCCACAGTTAAAAACCATACAAGTTCTTTCGTGATATATCTCACACAGATGAATGATATGCAGCATCATTTGGACAATGCACATTTCATAAAAGAAAACCAGTGAGGCATTGAGTTCTGAACGATGATAAACGTTGTAAGACAATTGATATCAGTACTGCACCAACCTCTGAAGGAGTTCTGAGTATAAGCCAGTGGATGCATCTGCAAGATGCTAGGTTAAAAACTCAATCAGAAATGATATTGCAGCAATTGAAGGAAGTGGTGCAAATGGCAAAAGGGATAGAGAGATTTTCTGAAGCTATATTCAAATTCAAGCGTGTCTTTTTATTTAGTACAGTTCAAGCATGTCTTACGAGCACACTGTGAGGCAATCTTTCCAGTACCCATCTTCAAGTCTTGCCTAACCACCAAAACCTGCCACCACCCAGTTTCCCCCAAGTTTATCAAAAAGCTTAGGAATTGGAACTATACAAGAAAAACCCAATTCCATTATAACAAAAAAAGCATTAATTAAACGAACCATTTTAAGCTCACGGTTATTGTCACCGTCAGAGGAGTCCGGATTTTGCTGCTGGGGTTTCCCAGGTAAGAAATTCTTCTTGGTGGCAGTAGATGATGAACCTTTAAACGGTTTAGTCGACAAATCTATGAGCAGTCCGAGAATGAAACCGATTACGAGCCCCGGGATGAAGTTCTCCGCCTGGAAACCATCGGACAGCCCACCGGTTTTCCCCTGCTTCTGCTGTGGTCATGCCAGAGATATGTACGAGCAGTCAGTAACCGGAGCTGAGAAATCAAATTCAGGGGATTTAGAGAGAAAGGAGAGAGGGGATTTAAGAAGGAAGGTACGTTGGAGTTGAGTATTACCTTGCCGGAAAGCTGAGACTCTCGGGAAGAAGCCCACATGGCAAGTGAACCTGCAAGTTGCTCCGGCGAACTTCAGCCGAATTGAAGAAGAAGATGAAATGAGACTTGTGAGCAGTTCGCTGCCTCGGCACAGTGGATGGATTGCTTACGAGTTAAGAGCATGACGAACCTGACTACGACGCCGTTTAAATTTGTTGATCTCGAAATAGGTGTTTTGACTTTTGAGTGAGATAGGTTTTGTTTTTTTTTTACAAAAGATAATCATTATATTGATTAAGCCAAAAGATCGACATGAAGTCGGGTACAAAATATAATCATTATATTGAGTGAGATAGGTTAGACTTTATTAAATGTTTGTTATGTTCTTTAATTTGAAAATTAACACAAGTAAGATTCATATCGATTCTCGTATTTGTTCTCTCACATTATCATAAAAGGCGGGGAAGTGTAGATATATATTGTTTTGGGCACGTATGTGATGGTTTTAAACCTTCGAAGAGTCTAATAACTAGCAATGATTGACCCCAAACACTTCTTCAAAACTCGTCAGACTCATGACTTCAACCGTTGTCTAATTGACATAAGTGACTAGTTGAATTTTATGTAATTAATCAACTCATCTCCCTCATACAATCATTATACCTAAACCAGTGATAAGACACAATTATTTAGAATAAGTCATCTTATACGGTATTATGTATGTTTACTCGAGTTGCTCTATTTCAAATCCTAAACTTTCAACTATCTATTTTTATTTCTCGACCGTCCATCTATTCCAACAATTTACCATTTAATACAAATCCTAAAAACTATAATATCCAATTGTTTATCGTTATCCAATCGGAATAAACTCAATCAAATCCGATCACACCTAATTAACCTAGCATTGTTGGAACAAATATGAAATATCCATCACACCAAGTAAGACCGTTGTTTCTTTTGTTATATGTTCTAATCCACCTAAGATACATAACTTGGATAAGTTCATACCGTTAGCGGGAACAGAAAAAAGAACGAATATAAAATAACGAAGAGGACGTGGGCAAGTTTTCATTCATGGCTTTGATTGGGTTGGCTTCCTTTTGGCAGTTAACTTGTCCCCTAGAACCGCTATCAAGAATATCCCTTCCCTTTTCCCCGCCATCCTGCTTTCCTTCCTTCTCCCCCTTCTTCTTCTTCTTCCAATTGATATATACAGAAATCACAAAACGACAAATCAATCTTCCTCTGCAAACCCCACAATGGAGGAAGATCTCTTCTCCAGCACCGGCTCCTCCTCCCCTCCGCCGCCGCACCCTGCCTACCACCGCTCACGCTCTCGCCCAACCCAGCCGGCCGCCGCCGACAGAATCTACCGCGCGCTCCGCCACCACCTCCGCCTCCTCCACCGCTCCAACTCCGACTTCCACGTGCTGGGCGCCACGGGGAACGTCTACACCGTCTCCTTGACCGCCGTCCCTTCCTGCACCTGCCCCGACCGGATCTCGCCGTGCAAGCACATCTTCTTCGTCCTGATCCGCGTCCTCGGCCTCTCCCTCGACGACCCTTCCCTCCGCCGCCGCAACATCCGCCCTTGCCTCCTCCACCGCCTCCTCTGCACCCCTTCCTCCCCTGAATCACTCGCCTCCCCCGCCCTCCGCCGCACCTTCCACCACCTCTTCCAGACCCGACTCCGCCTCCAAATGGCGGCGGAGGCGGAGGAGGATGGAGGCGGTGATCCGGCGAATCGGCGGCGGAGTGGGGTCGAGGTGGAGGAGGGCGCCACGTGTCCGATTTGTCTTGATGAGATTGTTGCTAAAAAAACAGGGGAAGACGAAGAAGAAGCAGAAGAAGCAGAAGCAGAGGAGGGGTCGTTTGAAGCGTGCGGCACGTGCGGGAATTTGGTGCACGAGGAGTGCTTGAGGAGGTGGAAGAGGAGCCGGGGGAGGCGTGGAGCCACCTGCGTGATTTGCCGGTCGAGGTGGAGAGCCAGAGGTCACCGCCGCCGGCGTCAGGACAATGATGAGTACTTGAATTTGGGGGCTTATGTTAGTGAAGATAGTTCTTCTACTTGTGGGTTGGTAATGGGGGATAGTGGCGGTGGCCGGAGTTTCTTCGCTCCCTGAATTGATCAGATCGTGATCCACAGCTGATGATTGTAATCTGTTTATGTTGATATTAGTGGATGGTCGTAGCTTAATCGCGATTAGTTGATCCTGTGTATGCAATGTTGTTGACTCTGCCATCCAATTGTAAATACTCAGAAGAATGTAATCTTCTAGACTTGGTGTGTGTTTAACTATTTGTGAATTCATCTGACACAAAGATCCATCGTTGTGCTATTTTAGAGTGAATACTGCATAATGTTTGATACGAATGCATACAATTAGGCAGCACGTATTAGCTTCGTATTAATCTGTCGAAAAAAAGAGTATGATCAGACATGTACACACAGAAGCTAAGCAGGTTTTTCAGAGCAAAGTACCTCTAGACTCTAGTGATGATTGATTTCCTTTACAATCTCTTGAATCCTCTTCTTCAGCAACTTATCCTTCACACCTCCAAGCATTCCTTTGTACAACCTCTCCAGCTTCATTAGCTTCCCACGATCTGCGGATTCCAACATCTCCTCCCACTGCCTCGCAACATCGAGGCCACCACCAGGATTCTGCCAAGACGAGCTAGTAGCAATCTCGTGCTCTCTGAATGGTTCGCCGAAAATCAGCCCATGAAGCATACCTGCATACTGCTCCATTGCTGTGTACTTGGATTGCAGGAGCTTCATCTCATCCATTGCTGCAGACAGTCTTTCGTCGTCTGTGTTCTTCGAAGAACCGTCTTGGTCTCCAATGTTTTGCTCGGATAGTGGAGGCCATAACACGATACTGGGAGCGTAAGAATCAGCGGTGTTGCCAGTTCCAAGCACTCCACTTCGTCCCCTTCCCCATGACCAAAGCCTGTATCCACCATCGGCAACGAGGACAGTGTGTGCAGCTCCACAAGCTACTTGAACTGGATTGTGAAATTTACTGATCGGCAAGGGCAATGCTGCATCTCCTGCAGTATTTGTGTGGTTAATCAAAGCAAAAAACCGCTAATGTAAAATCAGAAGACCTGAGAAAGACTCCAGTTTGGTTTTCGGTTAAATGCAAGATGAAAACTAGTTAGCCAGCCATACCTGCATCTGTCCCAGTGAAGGTAGCATCTGGGCAGAGGCCGAGACCCTTTTCCATCCCCCATGACCACACATCTCCACTCGATGAAACCACACTAGTATGGAACAAACCACAGTCAACTGACACCAGGTACATTTGGTTTGGCAAATCCTTCACAGGTTCAGGACTTGACACACTCTGAGTGGTTCCATGTCCGAGTTGTCCATTATCTCCGAGCCCAAATGTCCAGCAGACACTTATATTGGTACCATCATCACCTGACACTCTCGTTCTATGGGACAACAAAGCAGTGTGGAATGCCCCACAGGATACCTCGTAGACAGCCGAAGTTTGAACAACTTGTGGATGGACTCTGCTCACTCGATCTCCCAGTCCTAACTGCCCATGATTATTGTTACCCCACGAATAGCATACTAGGTCTTGTTCCTCACCACCACCACCTTTGCTGTTTGTTGTTTCTCCTCCAACACTTACACAGGCTACTACATGTTCATTCCCACAAGCTACCTTCACAACCCTCTGGCCGCCTTGAAGATCCCACACAGGAACTGGGGCGAAACTGCTGACGAGGGAGAACCCACCCTCGCTGCTACTATTGCTGTTGCTGCTTTCCTGAGGGCAATTACCCCATATCCACAAGCCTCCAACGTTATCAATAGCCAGTGACATCATTCCCCCAGCTTTGATGGAGCGAATCTGGAGCAGATATCGCAATGTCCAATGAAGTCTCTTTCTTCCAAACTAGGCAAAAGTAAGTAATTTAGTTCATTAGTTGTTACCCTCAGTTGTGTTACGCTCTTAGTTTCTGTATCCTCAGATGGAGAAGACAGGTTGTGGAACTGGTCTAACAACTGTGGTACGACAGGGTTCTCTCCATTGACACCAATTTGGCCATCCATGTAGAAAGTCAAGGCTGTACTACAGAATGCTTGAATAGTAATAGCAGCCTACCACTGGCAATACATGAGCTTAAACATCTAGATTACCAACAGCGCAAGCTTTTAATCAGACGACAATGACTAATAAGCAGGAAATTTTAAGAAGGATACAGACATTGTAACCCCAGCACCAGACCGATCCATCATCTGCCAAGACATGGACATCAAGGAATTAGATAAGCAACTTTACCTGCCAAAAGTATGCTCTTTTAACCATCCAATGGCAGTTTGAAATTTGAATAAATCTAGAGCACAAACCCCCACAAGCAACAAGCAACTGTGAACCAGAAGTATGCATTAAGCTCACATCATTTACTTTCAAAAAAGTCTAACTAAGAAATTGATGCCTTTACTTCCACTCCTTTTCCATCAAAATTAGATAGTAAATTTTGAAGCCTTGCAACCACAAGCAACTGTGAACCAGAAGTATGCATTCAGCTCACATCATTTACTTTCAAAAAAGCCTAATTAAGAAATTGAAGCCTGACTTTCACTCCTTTCCCATCAAAATTGGTTCCTAAACCAAGAAACAGCAACAGAAGTAAAGAAAAAGTAGACAGAACCTGCTAGAGCGAGACTATGATAAGCACCAGCAGCAATTCCGACGAGCTTGATGGGAGGTTGATCACCGGAAGGTTCAAACTTGACTGGAACCGGGAAGGGCTCGTCTTGCTCAGAACCAGTTCCCAGTCGGCCAAACATTCCTCTTCCCCATGAATAAACGCGGCCATCCCCTGTAACGGGGAGACGAAAAATCCCCAAAGATTCATTCCTTCTTCGACTTACAAGAAAGGAATTTAAGGAAAGGGAGCCCATATAGGGAGTGAACGCAAATTACGCAATAGCTGCGGCCTGCGGGAAAGAAGCTAAATTGATAAAATATTTACCAGTGAGGGCGAGTGTATGAGCTTCACCAGCTGCGATGGAGACGACTCTGCGAGATAAGTCGGCCGTCTGAGGTGCTGCGGAGTCCGCCATTTCCGCCCGGCGGTAAATGGAAGTGCCCGCCGGAGTTCTTAGTTAGCAATGGAATGGGCTTTTGTTGGGTTTTCGCAGAATTTGCCCACTCGGCGCTATTCCCTTCCACTCCTGAGTCTATCCTAATCCCCTTGCTCTCTCTTTATCCGGCAAACTTATTCATTTGTATAATTCTATAGTTCTACTTCTATCACTTTTTCAAAGGATAAATAACATGTTTGGTTATTGTAATTTATTCCATGTTTATCATTTATAAATTTTAATTAATGTCCTTTCTAATTGAATTAATTTTTTAATTTTGATCGCTAACAGTTTGTAATAGAGTGTTATTATCCGTAAACCGTATTCTTTTAGCTCGAGTTATCGGACCAACTGGTTTATGACATGATATTAGAGCAGGTTTATCAAGTGACTATGTATTCCAATTTTCACGACCCTAATATAATAGTTGATTTAAGCATATGATATGGTGGAGGTGTGCAAATCTCAAACCTATAATTGGTTTTTATTTGAGAGGAATTGTAAAATAGTACATGATTCATAATTAACCTTCTTCCAACTATTCGAATTATTGAAGCAACCGGTTTATGACAGCATTAACTTTCGTCAAACTCAATTAACGCGATCGGTATTTTGATGAGGTGCGTGACATATGATCGTGACAAGAATTGCAAGAGACCTCCCCCCCCCCCCCCCACTGATTAACAAACTAAGCAAGCAACAACAACAGCAACAACAAAATCAATCAAACATCAAACACTACCTACAAATCTACGATTGAATTTGATAACTTAATGAAGCATCGATTGATCCAGATATGGACGATCACTGATCACCACCATCCATACACGACCCTGGTATAGCTATCCTTGAGCCAGCGGAAGCTGTTCCTGAATGTGCCCTTGACTCTGCCCTGTGCGCTGTACATTTTGTAGCTAGCCACCCTCTTCTTCCTCTGCAACTCCGGGTCCTTCACGCTCCACGACCTCATTGCAGACCCATCAGCATCCTTCTTCTTCTTCTTCTTCTCTTTCTGCTGCTGGGACTTACTGTGGCCATTTTGTTCTCGTGGATGATGATCATCATAGTAACGAGCAACCTGGTAGGAAGAAGTGCTGTAGGATCTCAGCTCGTAGCTAGAGGCAGAGTTGGTCGCGGAAGCGGCAGGTAGCCTGCTGGGTCGGTCGTTGTAGTTGGAGCAAGTGTAAGACCTCGATCTGTTGTAGTAGTATTCCTCCATGGCTGGCTGGCTGGTGCTGGAGGAGAAAGGGCAGGGCCAGAGCCCAGAAGGAAGCAGATGAAGAGGAAAGAGGCAGGGGAGGAAACAGAGACTGATAATGATTATTTGAGGTGTTGATTGATGGAAGGAAGCATGCTATTATAAAAATTGGAAAGGTGGGGAAGTGGGTGGGTGGAAGCCAGCGTGGGAAATGAGACAATGGAGGTTTGTTTATGGCTATGGGGTTGGGGCGTTGGGTGAAGCTTTGAAACTTTCTTGGCTACTTCCTTGCGTTTTGGGGGCTGTCACCAGGTTGGGAAATGGCGTGTTTGGATTGGGAATCGAGGTTGTCTGGCTTTGTCTTATCACTTGGTAATTGGTATTATTGAATTTGGAATCCTTTTTAAAATGTATACGCTAAAGTTCGTTGTTGTTGAAAAAATAAATAATATTGTTAACTATGGTTTTGAAATTGTGAATTTGTTCCATTTCGGAGTGCTAGTGTTAGAGATGTGAACGGGGCATCAAAATCTTGACTTGTCGTATGGTGGATAAGTTTGGTGCTTGGATGTCATAATGCATGTACGAATTCTTAAACATCTTAGCTTAATACGTGCGGTCATAAGTTTAAGCTCGTGTTGATCATTTGATCATCTGCAAACTTTTTTTTTTTTGTTACCAATAGGCTATTGTTGGTGTTCAAGTATTATGTTGTAAAACCTTGACTTTTTACATGAATTGTCCAGAGTGGTGTGGACAAAGAGGATCTCGTAATTTTGCAGTTATCAGAACAGTTTCACGATCCTAATTTTTGGGACTGCTTCTACATCTAAGAACACATAAACGTGTCAAGTGTCCATCAATGGCTACATCAAGTACTTTTGCCAAGTTTTCCTATATTTTTAACTCTTACTCAATTTCCTTAACCCTAAGAGACATATCATCAAGTCTATTAGTAGAAGCTTGCAAATCGTTAGAGCTCGAGAATCATCATTGGTATGATTTTTATGAGAAATAAGATTATGTTACAAACAAGAAAGTTTGGTGATCGATCTTACCATGTCTTAAAATTCAGGTATTTAGTGTCTAACTCAGACTTCCCCGGTGAGCTTTCAATTTTCAGACCTCACTCAAACAGTCAAGTCGCCGACTTTTCCTCGTCAAATCCCGCCATCCCTAAACCCTAGTTTCCCACTCTCCGTCTACAATGCCGGGACTCGCACCGGGCGATTCCGCCGGAGGAGGGCCCGACTCAGTCAACGGAACACTCGTCCCTTACTCGTCAGATTCTCATGTTTCAGCTATATACCCGCTTCGACACGGTCTGAACCCACCAATCTCCCGTGTCTCCGTCTCATGGGGCCGCGGCAACTCGCTCCGCGTCTCGGTATTCCGGCAGCCGGATTCCGATCCCAAATCCGACGGAGAAGTCGGCGGTAAAGTGGTGGAGGTGACTCTGGGAAAAAGCAGGGACGGCGAGATCAGTGATGCCCAATGGCGCAAAATTGCGTACGGTTCCGTCTCCCCCTTCGCACTTCTCCAGAGCCGGAAAAACTCGACTGCCAGCTTGTCCAGGATGCAATTGTCTCCCTCTCCTTATCACCTTGAGTGGTGAGCTCCGCTCGAAAGAATGCAAATTGTGTTTCCCCTCTGTTTGTTCTTTGCTTCTCTGATAGCTGCAAAAAACGAAATGTCGATATTCAGGTGGGAGTATGTAATGGAGTACAGCAAGGACATAGGCTCGCTTCTGGGGGATCCCAAAACTGCTTTAGCTACTTTGATTGAAGATCCGAATGAGGTTTTCCCAAAGGTGAGCGATTGGATTCAGTCATCGTTGGACTAGAAATTGGTTGTTTATGAATAATGAGTTGCTCAGAATCTTGAATGGTGTTGGGTTGTAGAAAGTCGAGGAGCCAAGCAGTTTGAAGGCAGCATGGGAACTGATGGAAATGTTCTATGTGGATAAGTTATCTCAAGCATGGTTACCTGAACGCCTTGTTGATTGGTTAGCTGTAATGTGTCTCTTTTGAGCTTTGTCTCTTTACTATCTCCAAGCCTGACATCGTGCTTTTAAATCTTTGGTTGTGTGATTCTCATGATTTGTTTTATGTTGCAGGACTATAATAGCCTTATATCTATCGATCTGCCAACTGTTCACTCAAAGCTTGTGGAGTTTCAAAATCAAATTGTCACCTTACAGGTTTTACTTCTTTTTTCACAATTCTGTCAAATTTCAAAATGAAGCTTGGATGCCACCGTCTGCTAGCTTTGTGATGTATCATATCTTTGTGAACTTTATTGTATAATTAGACGCTTTTATGTTTGTTCTGTAGGTGATTGAGGATGATCCAAGGTATTGGGACTTGATATCATCAGCACTAGCTGTTGGATGGTTGGAGATTGTGGTAATTGTTATCTCATTGCAATTAATGCTGCATCCATGTTGCTTATTTTTGTAAAAACAGATGATGAGTAGCTCTACTGGAGCAAGTTTGAGAAAAATCCGACTCAAGAATTGCATTTGCAGGTTAAGTTATTGCGTTTGCATGGATCTTATCGACTGGATCAACTGGGCAGAAGAGAGGTTAGGAGTCATTTGTCCATGTTTAGCTATGCCATGAGCACATTGTCTGCTCTTTGCGAATTCATTTCAATTATTATAAATAAAGCGAGGGAGGGGGAAAGAGATCTGATATGATGCTACCTTCGTTTTTCCTGTCACCGATTAGACAGAGAATGGTCTTGTAGAGGCTGTTGCTGTTCTAATTTCGAAGATGCCTCGCATGCGTCCGGCTATAGATGCTGGAAAAATTGGTGAATGCTTTAAAGCGAAGCCTGATTTTGTGAAGGTAAAATTTTGTGTGGTGTGCTTAGGGGCGTAATAAATTTTGAAGTATCTGTTCTTTCCAGTATTGTTACTCATACTTTGCGTCGCCTTTTGAATTTTCCTAGGCGTGGGAAAGATGGCGTGCACAGATAACTAAATTGGATTCTAGTGCATTCTGGATCCAGTGTGATCATCGTCAGACCCGGGAAGGATTAAAAAATATGCTCCAGATCATGCTTGGAAATGTCGATGTTCTCTGCTCTTCTACATGTCATTGGATGGAGTTATATATATCTCACTTCTTGTACATACGACCTTTCACTGCTGTAGGTTTCCAATTACTTGGTTGTTCAAATAGTTCTGAAGTTAGAAATGTTGATTTCCCTTTTTATGATACATTAGTTTGATGTTCGTTTCATTCAGTTCTATTTTTATGCATCAGGGACTTGAAAGCATGTATAGCTTGGCCCAGAAATGTTTTCGATTGAAACATACATCCAATCCCCATAAGCTGATGCGACTCATGATTGGAATTCTGGGGGAGAATAATGAGGTGATATGCTGACAGAGCCTGTGAATTTAACATAATTTGGCTCTATTAATTATTTTTGCCTGAAATTTCTTCTATTTCACCTACTGCTGTAGGTTGTGTTAGCAGAATGCTCAAGAGGGTTTGGTACTTGGTGAGCTCTTGTTCTATTCCCTTAATTAAGGCAGGCTTCTGAAGTATTCATGTTTATTCATAATGTGTTTTGGATTAATTCTACCCAGCTTTTGCTCCAGTTGTGGGGGAAAGCACATCCAACTGTGATTTAAATTGGCCTATCCCAGTTTTCCGCTCTTTTCAATTATCAGGAGAACTTTTTGACAAATGTGCTAATGTTTCCACTTTCCACCATGCTCCAGGATGGTGGCCCATGCCATAGAGCTTTTGACTGCTGGGAGTAACGAAGCAGATATTCTTGTACATGAGGAGCGTGAAGACTTGGGTGGGATCAGTTTGGAGGAACTCCATCGGCTTGTTTATGCTCAACTTCTATCTTCTCATCTATTAACTTGGCAAGTAAGGGAAAACTACTGCTCTGGACACTAGTCAAAACCACAATACTGAATAGAGTTTCATTAGATAATTTTTTGTTCACTCGTGCAGTTCAGTTGTTACTGAGTCTTAGTACGTAAAGTATTAAAGTATCACTTCTGCAAACTATACTTAGGAGTGTGATGCTAAAGTCTGTCTTGACTGTCATTCAATTCCTGAAATTAATGGATTCTTGTCAATCTTCTCATTCTAATGCTTGTTTGTTCTCTTGTGTCTGCAGATTGCTCCAATTTATTTAACATCGTGCATGAGGCAGGGAATGGGTTTGCTGGAAATTTTATTGCTCAAGCAGCCGGTTCAGGAAAATCAAATGCTGCTGAAGGTAACTTCTTAGCCTTTTTGGTTTTACCCTTTAATCTTAAACTTGTGCCTTTCTATGCTTTTTTCTAGTCATATGTATGTGTTTCTGGTTCTAAATCAGCTGTACTTTATTTGTGCAGAACCTGGAGATTTGTAGGCTTTATGAACTTGATGGTATCAGCTCACACCTTATGGAGGTACAAGGGAATAAATAACAGTAATCAATTCTGTCATGAACGAAACATCCTCACTCCTAATCTTCGACCATTATAAAATAACTCTCATGGATTTAGGAATGTTCTATTCTCAACTCTCCAATTACACTTCTTTTGAATCCAGATTTCTGGAATGTACCACTGGAAACACGGTAGGAAAGGATGCGCTGTTTTCTGGCTACAGCAGGCACATGATGAGGTTCGTCTCAGCGGGATTGCTAGCCAGTTGTTTGATTCTGTTGGAAAGTCAATATCTGGAGAAAGCTTCAAGGTAATGTATATCGTTGAGCTGTTTTACATACTCAGCTTTACCTAGTCTTCACTTCTAATTTTGTTTCTTTTGTCCATGCCAGCAATGGGAAGGGCTGATTGAATTGTTGGGTTCAGAAGGTCAGTTGGCTGGTGGTCTCGATTTCCTCCACAAGTAAGAAACTTTCCTGTAAACAATAAGTGGGCAATTGCTTCAACTTCAAGCTTTCTTTTCCACACCCACTCTTGATTCTGACCTGTTTCCGGGTCACAGGTACAGGGATTTCAAGAAATGCCTTCAGCATGCTGAGAGCAGAAAAGATGCAGATGCTGCTCGTCAAGCAGTGGAATCACTTATGTCGGTATGTTAATATGATTTAGAGCCAGTATCTGTTTTCTTTTCCACCCTCTTTGCTCGTCCGTGGTTAGTATCCGTTAACCTGGTGTAACTTTACGATGTGTGCAGCTTATGAGGAATGCTTCGACACCTCAGCGTTTCTGGTTACCCATTCTCTATGATGCAGTGAGCTTCCTATAATTTCCATTTACATTCTTATGCTGCTTTGCTCTTCATTTACTGACCCTTCTTTGTGTTTAGGTGAAGCTGCTAAGCTGGGACGAGGGACCTCTTATAAATGTTGGCCAGACGAATCTATTGCTCAATAAACTACAAGAGTTGTCAGTAGCAAGACTTCGCCCGGACTTTGTGGAGGCCGAGTTGCCAACCCAGGCTCTGAACCATGTTCGATACTCACTGGCTACTAATCTCGGGCGTGCTATCCTCGGAGAATTGTGATTGACTGGCATGCGCTTTCTAGAATGTGGAGAAGGGAACGTAGGTAATATCCCCTGCAGGATCTGAGCTTCACATATGGAGTATGTTCAAAGAGATAGCCAGAACCCAGGGTCCCAAAGACAAGAAAGTTAGGTGTTTGTTTTGTGTTGTTGAGTACTTGATTTACATGAGAATGGTGCATAGTCCGAAGGACGGTTTGTTCAAGTCACGGGTCACATTAGAATAGTGCGTAAAGGACAGTATGTTCAAGTCCCGACGACCCTCTAGACCTAGTCTTTTACAATCTCATTACGTTGTTGCCAAAACATAAACAAAATCCTTAACCTTGTCTCAATATGTTAACCAAGCCTGCAACATATAATGATTGATTACATCAGTTAGATCTTGTATCAACGAACAATCAGATATATCACAGTTCTGTTATTATACTTTAAACTGGTTGGTAATCCTGCAGCTTTGATTTCTGAGTTACAGGCTTACAGCTAACAAGTTGGCAAACCATCGCAATTTGCATGCATCGCGAATTGAATCTTACGGTAAATCATCACAATCCACGAACCAAATATAGTCTCTCCCCACTACAATACATAGCTAATTAAAGAATGATACGTATAATATAGTTAATAATATATACTGTAACGCTATGCCGCCGGCCATCGGAAACCAGGAAAAAAATCAACTCACTCAATGACAGTAAAGGGATAAAAAAGTAAAGCAAGAATTCGCAGATAATAAACAGCAGAAGATCAACTCACTCCTTCCTCGATTGACCGACAATGTTCTGTACAATACCTCCGGCGATCATTTCCCAGAACCCAACTTGAAGCCAACTAGAGCTTCTTTGGCAAGTTATAGGTCTTCTTAAGAAACTTCGACGCAGCATCATCATTCCGATAACACAACACGCGAAGAATGGTGTTTGGTTCGGTCGGATCCCACTGCCCAGAGGTCGGAGGAAGTGGAAGCCTCGATCTCGCAGCTGAACCATACGCCTCCAGTGTCTCCCTCCTAAACCTCTCAATCAAGCTCTCCGTATCGGTCCTAAACAATGGCAGAACACCTCTCACTGTGGCTGCAAACTTATCTACCAGTTCTGCTGGTAGGCCATCTCCATTGGCCCAAAACAGATCCTTCAGAGACTTGAAGTCCTCTTCGATTATCGCAGAGTCCTGACGAGTGAAGCAGCGAGAGGGCCCACCAGCGAGCAACACGAGCAAGAACCCGTCGAACGTTGCCCTCATTACATCTGCAATGACCCGGGTACGAACCTTCTCGTTAACAATGTCCGAGATGATCGTCAGGTTCCGCTCAAGCTCCTCGAGGCAAGGCTCGATTCTTGAGGACGATGGCTCTCCGATGTATAACCCGTCGAATAGGAGGTGACTCAGGTCGTGGAAAACGACTTTGTAGCCGAGTGACTCGCTGAGCTGCTGGACTCCTTCAACGCAGGCGGAGGGTGCGAGCTCGAACTTCTTGGCCAGCCCGTTTGAGAAGTCATGTGCTTCTGCTGATTCGGAGTTCCGGAGGTGTGTAATGATTCGCTTCTCGACTGTGTCCAGCTCGGATCGAATTCGGTGGAGCGTATTGATACGGACGCATAGCTGAGGTGTCGCGGAGGTGGCATTGCTTCCGTTCATTGTCGTTGCGACCTGGGAACTTGACCTCTTTTGACCGTTAGTGGTTGTTGATGACGACTTGTCTTTCTTCTTCCACTGGAACTTGGATCCGGTTTCGCATCTGGTTAGGGCGGGCATGGTTGGGAGGTAAGAGCTTCGGGTTCCTGAGCATTGAGTTTAGAGAAGTGATTAGTTTGCATGGTGGATCAACAATCATTTCTGTGGGGGATATATGGTTGAGTGAGATGCTAGGGACGGAAATAAATTACCACAGCCGGATTTAGCCTTGGTTGCGTAATACTGAAGGCATCTATCCAGGCCTGTCATCAAGTCAGGCAGCAAAGCTGGATGCATTGGTATTGGGAGCTGGAAATATGCGTCCAGTGTTTCGTCTATCAAACGTAACACTTCCACTCCTGATGGAGCAAACCCTTCTTGGCTTGCCTGTGGGCTCCAAACCTGCGGATCACAAATCAAGCTATGAATCTTAATGCTCATAAATATTAACAATGATATTCATCAGACGAGTATTTACCTCTTGTTGTAAGCTTCTGTCGATCCATTCCTTCAATCTGTCGAGTCTCGACTTAATCCATACTTTCACCAAATTTGCAATTGCAGCTTCAGCCTCATAAGGAGGCATCTCACGAATGATAGCTTTCCCTCCATCATCACTATCCACAGAATCTTCTACAGCAATCTGCACCAGATCCTGCTCCAACTTATCTGCCGCCCTTAGTACTTGCACGGCATCTGGTGTCAGTTCCGTTATCCCAGAAATGAATTGTTTCAACTCATTTCCATAGCAAGCATGCAGTGTGGCTACAGCCAACCCTGCTGAAAATGGGTGCCATCTCTTGAGTATTGGACTAAACATTCGCTTTTCCTTAACCGCTAGCTCACCAACATCTTTGGCAAGGATGGCAAGGACAGGAAGTGGATTCGGCTGGTTCTTGGTTGCTCGCCTGCTTGAGTCAGCCTTCTCCATTCTCTGTTGCATCAGCAGTCAAACACATTGACACATTCAGTCAACTCACCAACTCGAGAACAGTTCAAACAAATATATGTAGATTATTCATATCACAATGAAGTCGTTAGCGAATTTAGTTTCCCTAAGAAACACACACCTGAAATTCTTACATCTAAAGCTATCGCCTTTCTGTCTTTAAGGTTGAATCACCTTAAGCTACTCACGTGAAATGATGTACCAAGCAAATGACAGCAAATATAATATCTTTATACTTATCCCGCCTTCTCCCGTATATCAAATGTAATGCAGATATAGAAAGATATAGACTTGCCTGAGCAAAAGCGGTACGGAGGGATGACCTGATGTAAGTATCGATCCTACTACGAGCAACATCAACATCGTTCTTCCTCCTCCGCCGGTACTCATTCGATATATCCTCGACCAAAATTTTCGCAGCAGCCACTCCGAGAGATACAATGCTCTGCATGGTCACGGAATTTCGACTGTCGAAAGTGTCGTGATAAGCAAGCAGCCTTTTTTCAGCCCAACCCATGATCGCAGTCAAAGTGGAGCTCAAAACTTTGGAATACTCAGCATCCTTTGTCGTCTTGGCATCTTTGGCAACTTCCAGCAGCTGCCCATCAGCAGCATCTAACAAGTCCGTCTCCACTTGGCCAGTAGCGACAAACCGATGAAACAAAACCCACGTAAAGCACAAGTTATGGAGCATTTGATTAATCCCAAGCACAGTCCAAGTTTTCTTTATAAACTCCATGAGCTCGTCCACTTCATCAATGATGGAAGTGTCGTCGTGCACATCAAAGCAAGCTTCCAGCAGCATTTCGTACAGACGAAGGTTTAACGGAATCCCATCAGCCCAATGGGCAACTTCCAAAACCGATGAGCCATCAGATCTACTAGCGAGAGAGGTCACCGCGCTGCGAAGAATCTGCATTGACTCGTTGTTACGCCCGGTTTCCATCTGCTTGTTCAGAGCTGCATTGATGATTTGCCGCAGCCGCTGGGAGGTAGGGTTTGACTTGTCGAGCGGGACTCTAGGGTGCGAGAGCAGCCCGAGCTCGAGAACTTTGAGAGTCCTCTTCTGCCACGACTCGAATTCTTGATGATCGGTGAAATCGGATGATTTCAGCTGCTGCAGAAGCTCCAGCGGTAGCACCACCGTCTCGATTCGCCGGCCAACCTATCGAATCCGCATTACCACGACAACGGCGACCAATTAAGAATCCGGAAATGGTGAAAATTGAAGCGAGAGCTCAAGTCAAACATAGATCTACCTTCAATTGAAAAACAGAAAGCTGACCTGACCAGCGGAAATCCTCAGAAGAGCTCTCCGAACCCTCGAATCGTCAGCCTCCGGTACCCGCATTTGAATCTTCATCAGCTCGCCGACCGTCAATGGCTTCTTCGACTTGCCCTGACCAGAGCCAGACCCAGACCCGGGGCTCTTTTTGGAACCGGAGCCTGGGGATTTCAATCCGAGAGCTTTCTTCATCTTGCTGGCCGCGGCGGAAGTAAGTGAGCGCTGGAGTGACGGAGACGAGTTGGAGTTGGAGCTGGAGCTGGGGGAGTGAGGCAAATGGTTGTGGTGGTGGTTAGGTGGGTCGGTGGTGGCGGCGGTGGAGAGGGGCTTGGCGGAGGAAGTGCGGGTGAGGGCGAGGAAGATCTCGTAGGCGGCGGAGCGGAGGTCGGAATCGGTGAGGTGGGAGGCGAGCTGGCCGAGTGGGCACTCTAGATCGGCGGCGACTGGCCTGACGGACATTATCGGCGGCGGGGGCTGGATTTGGAGCTTTGGCGGCGGAGAAGGAGTGGACTCCCTCCATGATTGGCCTAAGGAGAGGTCTCTGAAGAGAGAAGCCATGGCTTCTCGGTGACAGAGACGGGAAATAGAGAGTGAAAGGGGATGTTGGAGGAAGACGATATAGAAAGTCCCACACGCTACAAAAGGGACGAAAAACAAAGCAAGCGAAGTAGTCGGCAGAAGAAGAAAAGCAACTGAGCAGGATTTGATTTTTCCTTTTCTTTGACAACTAATCTGAGTAGGATTAGGCTGTGTTTGTTTGCTGTTACACCAAAATAAGATCAACAAGCAACTAGGCAAGTTGAGATCAAGAGTTGTGGGTCCATATATATTATCGTAAGTTGGTTTGTTGATTGATATTACAAATGTCACGATCAGTTATTTTTTGATATTCGTATTGTAGGTTGAATACATTTCGCTACTATTCGAATTTGGTTTTGACGACAATCATACTAGTTGTGGTTGTTCTGATGTGGCCACATTTATAAAATGATCAAAATCAACCTCTTCCATCTTAACAAATTCTACATAGCCAAATCACATGAGAGATTAATGTTTTATTAGAAGAACTGAATCTTAAATGACAATACGTGTTTTGGGTGAAATTGATGAGTTCTTCTAAGAAATCATCATGATCCACCTCAAAAACAAAATCATATGAGAATAGATTCCAAGCAGACAATCTTAATCAGACAAGGTTAACATATTAGTTTTTACATGATACATCTAAAAACATAACCGTATCAAAATGACCCAAAACAAATCATATCTTGATGAGACAAGAAGTTGAGAAGTTGTGTTTAACATTGTAAATAAAACCCTAATCTCCATTCTCTCCCTACAAACTCAAATTGAAAGCAAAGCAATTTATTGGCATCTCAAATAATTTGTATGCGTTGCCGATTTTCCCAAATACACAAGATGGATGATAAATGCATCCACAACGGTAATCTAATCTCTAGGGCTCTCTGTGATAATTGCTTATTTGAATCACTTTTTGATCAATTAAAACCTTAATCTATTTAATTAAATAAAACAGTATCAATTCATCAGTTTGAAATGGAAATTTATGATCAACTAATTCCAATCATATCGATAATTGTTGAAACTTGTTGCGCAACAAAAAAAAAAAAAGAGTATAAAGTATAAACATGTATTATGTATGTGACTAGGTATGTGCATGATTTGTTTTTGTTTATTTGTTTGCTCTGTTTATTAGCTGTGATAATCTGGACAGGTATGATTGCTGAGTGTAAAATGACAAACTCAAAGCTGATGCTTTTGGTTAGTGAAATTGTTATTTTATAGTCAACTCGCTAAACATGCCTTAGACAGACAATAATAATATAATATACATTTGTGTATATATTTATAGACGAAAGTTCTCTAGCTGATATTTTACTGATTACTATGATATCACAGTATGTTAAAATAATGACACTTCCCTAGTAGATGCAACAAACCAGCAACTTGGCAGCTCCAATAATAAATTACATAATTAACTTGGGGTACATGCCACCGTATCGCTATTAGATCATGATTCATGCATGACACAGATCATGTACATCTATATCGATATACATGATTTTTGTGTCCGTATTTTGAGGTAGAGTGTGGTCACGTAGATTAACGTGTGTGTTTTCTTTTCTCGAACTTTAATTTTGTTAACAATAATAATATTCATCGTCATCAAAAATTAATACACAATTGTTTGGTGTCGAATGTGATTCATCATTCATTGATGATATTTGTTTAAACTTCGTCTGAGCTACAAAAATTCCTAACTGATTCGACTTTACGCCAAATTGGACTAAGACCCTGAAAACTTATCGAAACAACAGAGTGCAGTGGCCCTATCGGAGCTTGGGCTTATAAAATAAATCCTGGCAGGCAGTGGCCCACAGGGCGTAACTTGGCGGGTTTTAACTGAGACAAGAGTATTGGCCCAGCCCAATAACAACCACGACAAACAAAACAAGCTTGTTGGGTCGAAACTAGAATGAGCAGAAGACTGCTCTGAAGATCACAGCTCCGTTGCCAATCCATGGAGAATTGGTAAGTACAGAGTCAGCGGCTTCTTTCTTCTGCTCGTGGCTGCAAATCCAAACGATGAGAGTAGTGGGCACAGTTCTACAGAGATTCTCCATTGGGTCCTCCTCCAAGCTCCCAAGCACCACCGTCTCCTCCTTTCTTCTCCTTTCTCCAAGTAATGTAGCATTCAACAACTCTTTCTTCTTCCTTGTTTACTAGAGCAGCAGATGATATGAGTCGCTTAAATTCCACAACGTTGCAATTTTTTTTTTCCCCTTCAGGATGTCATCTTCTGGGCAGGGCGGTTTCATCTTCGGCATTTTGGTCTAATAATGCTTCGCTGTTTCCGGGCAAGGAGAGATGTGCGGAGAAGGATCATATGGGCAACTTCAGAAGAAGGATATGGACATCCCCTGTTGTTTGTATGGGCCGGCGTTCCAGCAAAATTGCTGGCAGGAAGGTCTCTTCTTTCTGACCCCTTTCGCCTTTATATTAGTCTCCCACTAAACCCATTGGTCGTCCAACATTGGGTTGTTTTGGTAGTGTTGATACTTCACTAGTGAATGAACCACATTGTGTTTTTTAGTACTTCCTCACACAGGGATTGCCTCACATTTTAGCATCTTCTGTTCATTTGAAGTGAGATGGGTGTATTTGTCTTTCCTGGTCTAATTTCGGGTGGAATTGGTCTAGGTTTTGCTTGTCATACGACGTCCAGTGGCATGCACGCCATCTGTTTGATGAAATGCCTAAATGGCTACTATTGTTGTGTAGCTCTCTGATAGTTATCCAGTTCCTTTCTCACTATTGTACTCCCTCATGGTAGGATCCAGGAAATTTAGGTTTCTGATGGGAGATGGACATTCTTGCTCATCGATATTGTTTCATTATGTGCTAAATTTAGGGAGCTCAAGATGCCAAGAAGGCGAAGCTTTATTCAAGGATTGGAAAAGAAGTCGTATCTGCGTAAGTAGAATTACTGTCCAAAGAATCATGACTTGTATGATCTCCTCCGATGGGTTACAATTTAAGATACCTCTCTGTAACGTAGTGTAAAGAAGGGTGGTCCAAATCCAATTTCAAATACAGCTCTTGCTGCTGTACTTGAGAAAGCCAAGGAGCTTGATGTACCCAAGGAAATTATGGAGCGCAATATTAAGAGGGCTTCCGAGAAGGGGCAAGAGGCCTACATTGAGAAAATTTATGAGGTTTGTAAACAATGCTTGTTCTCCCTTGATGCACATGGCAAAGGGTAGTTGGTTTCCTTCCTGGTTCCTCTATAACGTTTGTGCTTCCACTTATAGGTGTATGGCTATGGGGGAGTGAGCATGGTTGTGGAAGTGTCGACAGACAAAGTAAATAGATCCGTGGCGGCTATTAGAGAGGTGGTTAAGGATTATGGAGGGAAGATGGCAGACTCAGGATCTGTTATGTTCAAGTTCAGACGTGCTAGGGTTGTGAACGTGAGAGCGAACGATGCTGATAAAGACCAGCTGTTCAACATTGCTTTAGATGCTGGTGCTGAGGATGTTATTGAACCTTCGGTTTATGACGATGAGAGTGATGAAGATATGTCCCAAAGGTAACAGTTCTGTTCCTTCAGAATTTCCTCGTAGCATCAGTCATCCTTAGTCAAGGATTTTGCTACTAAGGCAGCAAGTGAATTATGCTGACTTCCTGACAATTCCTTCTCTTAATTTGATATAGCTACTACAAAATTGTGAGCTCGACAGAGAATTATGCGGCCATATTATCAAAGCTGCGTGAAGAAGGAATTGCTTTTGAGACAGATAATGGTTCCGAACTGATTCCCATAGCAAATATTGAGGTATACAACACCATCGTTGTTGATGTTTTTTTTTTCTTTTTCGGCAAAATACCTCAATACGACCCAACTTTTGCTCATTTGGATGAAAAGAAGCTACATTTTTTCCCGAAATGATGAATATGGTCCAAAAACTGAAACTGTTGAGATGAAAATGGCCCAGATTTCAAATTCCGTCTAAGATTCCATCCAATCTTTCTCCTGCGCTTCTGCTTTGGTCCTGGTAGTGGTACCTCAATTTGACAGGGCTTCATATTCTGGTTGAACAGAACAAACCAGAATTTGAATTTCTGGTAATTTTCGCCTCTATAATTTGAGTTGTGGGTCATATTCATCATTTTCTTCCAAAAGGGTAAAAGGTTGAGCCACAGGGGCGAGTGTTTACCCTTTATCTCTGCGGGAAAAAAAATATAGTCTTTCTGGCAGCTATCTTCATCACAGTGACTTTGACATTAACCAACTGATCATGATACGTCGGAAAATCTGTGTTGTTATGATCCTTTTTCCAGGTAGACGACGAGGCAGTAGACTTGAACAGAGAGCTCATGTCCAAACTGCTAGAGCTTGACGACGTGGATGCCGTATACACAGACCAGAAATGATGCTCATCCAGAGACCCTTATCAAGCAGACTGTTCACCTCATCAGCTGAGCTCGACCCATATCATAGTTTACCACATCCATTTACACTCTGCATGTCGTTTATAGCAACAGGGTCGTCGTCGTTGTCATCCTCAGAAGTCATCATGCCTTTGTTTTGTCTCAAAGTGATTGTCTTATCCACTCTACCGCAGGCATTCCGATTGATTCGGTAGGAATTTCTCGTTGAATAATGCCAATCAATGGCCAATGCTATTTGCAGTGAAAAGGATGGGGCTTTGTCAGTTTACCTTTAACCTTGAGCAGAGCTGGCCGCCGGCAATGATTTCCGTTTCTTACTTACCCTCTGTGTTTGACTTGATAGTGTATTTTAGTTAAAAATATCTGCGATTTAACAGAAAGTTAGTAATTGACATTATATGCATTCTTACATAATTCATGACTGCTACATCTTTCTATTATTTTTGTTCTCCCAACTCGACTTGGATACAGCGAAACGGCCAAGCTGCATCAATCACCAGTGTGAAAACAAACTTAAGAGGAGGCTCCGGCCTCCGTATTGGGTGAATTACCTAGAAGTTAGGATGGGCGATGGCCACTCCAAACTAATTTCTTAATGAATAATATCTTTTTTATTAGTTGAAATATTAAATTTAATTTTTTTGTGTGTTGTCTACATTGTGATATTCGCATTGTGAAAATTATTCTTGCTTATACAATAAGAGAGTAATAACACTTACACCACAGCAGTGGCAGAGAGCCCCTAACTTTTAAATGTAGACAAATATATATGTAAAATTTGTAACATGATTGTGAAATAAACTAGTTGGTAAGACTCTAGTCTCTTCCACAATAATCATGGTTCAAATTCGTCAAGTACAATTTTTTTTGCTCCTTCTTGTTTAGATTTATGGTACGTTTGATCATTGGGTTCATCATTTTTTTTATGTTTGCCACTAAAAAAATTTAATTGCATTAGTGGTCACTCACTTTACATATTAGTTTCACAATTAGTCAGTGATCGTTAAATTCCGTTAACTTTGTCCGATGAGTCTTAGCTAGGAGCCAAACACATTCAATTTAATCTCCCAATTCGACAATGATTTTTTCCTGTTAAATTTCATTAAACTGCAATGGTTTTTTGAGCAAGACACACATTTACCATAGTGCTAACTGCTAAGATGGGGTATCACCATATCAAGAACATGTTATTTTTCTCTTTTAAAATATATCATTGTAGATATCATCTTGTAGTATACAATTAATATGACTTTCTACCAAAAAATTTTTTTTGGTGAAAGTGAATGGGCTTATCTTGTTGCATCATTTTCCCTTTTTAATAATTACTCTTGTATGGATTAATTAGTTATTCCACTAATTAGTACATTAATGTAATTTTACTGAAGGCAACATGCACAAGAGACCAAGAAGAGGAAGAAGTGAGAGATTTGCACGTAATGACCAACTTCATTGATGAACTTATAGTCATTTATATACAATAACGACGACGATATCCATACATGAAAGGAGATAGCAGTTGATAAATAGAAAGAAGCTGCCTAGCTAGAGCTACACGTCTTTCATACTGCTGCCTCCATTTGGTGCATACATACACAAACACCCACAATGAACACCACAAGTACTACCACTTTCATTCTTGGGCAAAATCCAAATCTGCAAAATCTACACATTCTCGTATCTTACTCTTCCTAACAAAAATCTTAACATCACTAACACGAATTAGGAACAGTAAGATACAAGATTTTATAGATTATGCAGATCTAATTTTGCACAAGTTCCTTCCCACTTACACTAGTATCCCAAATTATGTATTATGGTCTATAACACTAACTTCTTTTTTTTTTTTTTTTTTTTCATCCAGCTATATGGATAATGAGCTTCTCGTGACCAGAGCTATTGGTCACAAACTCAACAAAATGGTGGCCAAAGAACTTTGCCGACCATTTTACAGCTTTTGGGAACCGATAGAGGTGGTCGTTGCAAAAGCTCTCTCTTACAGCTTTACGTTTAACTGGAGCTAGGGACCCAGGCTCCATGGAGGCCGTAGGGAAGACCGTAAGGGAATCTTGCTCTTGCAATCTCTTCGAATGTGGAACCGTCCAACAACACCGCGTAACCTCCTCCATCTGCCTCGCTCACCATCGATATCACAACCCCTAATCATAATTAATAATCACCACACATTAATCACAAAATGATACTATGATTATATTCATTATCAACGTGCTTAACAAATTGGAGCTAGCTAGCTAGATGGATATATATAGCTCACCATCATCTTCCTCTGTTGCACCTGGTCGGGCCACGAAGAACGGCTCTGACGGAATGGTGCCCTCGTCGTGCCAGTTCTTAGCCTTCTTATCCATCAAATCAATCTACGCAACAAACACAGATGTATAATTAAAATCCATAAGAAGATTAGGTGACAAGCTCGAAATTCTCTTTAATTTCTAGCATGAAAGTCGTTGAACATGAGATGACGTGACAAAACGATTTAAGATAAACTGCGATTTACCGTCGAATCTAGCAGTACTAAACATACCTTGGTGAGTGTGTTGGGGAAATTGCACGGGCGTTCGGCCCCACAAGCATAAGCATATCTATACTTCTTGCCCAAGAAAGCAGGGTTGATGCTGCACATGTCCATCCCTCTCCCGTGCTCATTGGGGTCCAACGCTGCATCCAACTCCCCATTCGGACTCCCATCTAACGGAATCCTGAACCTCCCCACCCTGCGTTACATAATTCGAAAACATCGTACAAGTGGTTAAAGTATTGGACTCGGTACGAAAAGTTCGAATCACACTCTAATAAGAGTCACTTGGATGTGTCACGCACCTAGCGTCTGGAAGCACATCCACGCCCGTAAAAGACCGCAGATTCTGCAGCCTCAGCTTCTCCAAAATAGTCGTGTCAGCCTGATGCTCGCAACAATCGACGATCACGTCCGTCACGCGCCCGTCCTCGTCCTTCTCCTCGTACGCATTGATGAAGTGGAACGTCACAAAAAGTGGTACCTCCACGCTGGCGACAATCTTGCCACTCGCCTTGCACATGACGTGCATGTACGCGCTCGACTCCGGGTGCCACTCGAACTTGTAGAGTGGGGTCGGTTCGGCCTTGAGCAGGTTCCCCGCGCAGTACCTCAGCGGCATCTCGGGGACCACCACGTAGTGCTCGGTCACGGGGAACGAGTGGACCCACCCGGGGGCGGGCCCGCCTCGACAGTCCACCCGACCGACCACTTTCCGCTCGTTGGTCCCCGGTTCCATCCGGACCACGAGGTAGCCCGGTCGGATCAGGTCGGGTAGGAGGGTCAGGAACTCGGACTCGGTCACGATCGGGTGGGCCGAGTGGATCAGCCCGCCCAGGGAGTCCGTGTACTCGAACTTCCCCAACGTGTCGAGGGTGTCGGGGTCCACCACGATGGACCCCTTCTGGGTCTCCGTCAGGCAGACCACGCGGCCGTCGCCCAGCTTGACGACGCCCGTGTTGGCGTTGTCGGTGAGGGAGGCCCCCGACAGGAGGTTGGCGAGGTCCCCGATGTAGGACAGGAAGCTGTCCGTCCTGGGGACCTCGGAGAACTCGCGGTAGCAGAGCTTGTTGTTCTTCGTGGCGGCCTTGTAGGCCTCCGACTCGATCTGGCGGTGGCCGAAGACGAGGCGGCCGTCGCGGAAGTGGAGCTTGACGAGGGTGGCGTAGCCGTCGAAGAGGTGGCGGAAGTTGTAGTCGCCTAGGTGCCATAACCCTGGCCCGTTCCTCAGGTACGTCCCACTCTGCACAAGAAAAAGAAAGAAAAAGTCATGAAAAATGCAGTTAATTATAAACATATTAATTCTTTTTTCCCCTATGATTAGACATAATTAATTATTGAGTTAACATATTTGTAATCATGTTCTTGAATTTTCCTTCCGACCGACAAAAATAACCAGCAAGTATCATTCCATCCGGACAATTTGTTATTAATTAATGTTATCGTTTCAAGGGACATTCTTTTGGAGCATAGAGAGTAATTCTTTATTACATCATTATAGGTATCCAATGAAGATGAATGAGCTTGCTAGGATTATTTTAGGTGATTTCATGGGTATTTTAGGTGTGTTGGATAACTTTTTCGCAAAAGATAACCACCTTGAAGGAGGGAAGTAAGGGATGATGGTGTAATAGATGTTTTTATCTCTATTTTTTTTCCTTCTTCAATATAAATCTAAAGGTTATAAGATTGACAAATATAGAATACAGTAGACTATATGCAACTGAAATATCGATAAAAGAACCTATTTGTCACAAAAAAGTGACTCTATGAAACCTCAAAAGTGCAAAATAATACGAACGAAACGAGAAAGACCCAAAAAAGATGTATACTTCATCCAGAAAAATGTCAGGCATATAATATTCTATACAATGAGTGTTTAAATTTTTAATTTGCATAATTTGATTTTAAAGTGGAAGATATCAGGGGCGGAGCTAGGATTTGAAATTCGGGGGGGCCGAAAATTATTTAATACTATAACGCAGAAGGGTGATAAAAAATTAAAACTAAGCAAGACAATCAAAGTAAATTTTACTTTTATTAGTATTATGATTAATCATTTTAGATGATTAGAGTCAAAATATTGATGTAGAATAACTTATGAAAGGTCAAAATGGATAATTTTTCAGTGAAATAAATTGCAAAGTGGTAAAAAAAACTAAACTTGAAATTAAATGAGTCAAGAAATAATATTGAAATAATGAAATGAAGAAATCATAAGATGAAACTTGAAAGATTAATTATATCTAATTAAATGAGTCAAGAAATAATAAATTTAAAAGAGTAATTATGTAGATATATTAAAATAAAAAGCAAAAAAAAAGTATCAGAATTGCAAAGGGTAGGGATCGAACCCTCAACCAGCTGTATCATAACTCATGTACTCCCCGCTTGACTAAGCCTACTTTGTTTAAACAAATTTGCACACTAAACATATTAGCCCTTTGTTAGTTTTTACGAAATTTTCAAAATATCGATACAGTTTAGACGTAACTTTCACGATTCTCGGGGGGGCCGGGGCCCCCCCGAGACCAGCTGTAGCTCCGCCCCTGGAAGATATGTAACGTTTAATCTGATCGTAAATCCCAAACCATATCCTTTTTCTTTTCTTGAACTCTTCACATATTTTGTCGAGTTGTAAATATTTGATTTCCATAATTGACCACACTTGTTATTGTTGTTTTTACTAATAAAACAAAAAAAGTGAACTACTTACGCGAAAAGGCCAAGAGAAAGAGCCGGAAAGAGAGGGCATATATATCAATATCATCAAACTATATTCAAATAAGATATTAGGAAAAAGTATACACCGAGATTATCTAATAATTAATAATATAGATTTCATTATCGCGGGACGGGTGGATCATCTTAAGAAAATACGCCCAATAACAAGAACTTGCATCCATTTGATCCGGCCGCTAATTGAATTGGTTGTTCACATCCTAATGACTATGTCTATGTACGTAAATTTCTAAACATATAAAAAAAATCCATTTTGAACTTTACTATGTCATATACAAAAAAAAAACATAATTAATAAATATTTAAGTATATTTAGGAATTACCAGCCAGAGAGGGATTTGTCCTTGGACAGCCAGCTCGCCTTCCCACCGCTCCTGCCGGACGCTAGTCCACGCCGTGTGGCTCTTCACGTCGGCGTCACCAGACGGCGAAGGGACGAAAGCCGCCGGTGCCTGGGTGGCAGCGCCAGCGACGACAGCTTCCCGACTCCCGCCGCCGCCGGCCGCCTCGCGTTTTCTAGAGAAGGCGGAGCCACCGTCGGCTGGAGTGCTGGAGGAGCAACGGAAAAGGGATGGAGCTTTTATGGAGGTGGAGGTTGGCGGTGGGAAGTAGCAACCGACCGTCGCTGAAAACGCCGTCATGGAAGCCATTGTTTGTTTGTTTGTTTAACGACCACGTCGTTAAGTGAGGTTAATTAGCTAAGCTAATTATGATGATCAGGGAGGGAGACACTTCGAGGAAAGGAGGGATAGTATGATTAGAGAGAGATGAGGAGGTGGATTAAGGTAGAGGGAGAGAGTGCGGTATTTATAGAAAGGGAAGTGGTGATATGGTAGTAAGAGTAACGGTAGAGAGTGTGTGGAGGAATTCTCGATTAATTATTGCCTTTTAGTTTAATTATCTCCCGTTAGTACTACTCATATTATAATTAGGGTAGGTTAGATTAATTAATGCATGTTACACGTACTTCTTGATAAGTCTAATAATGGTATGTTTTTTTATTTATTTCGAAAGACCATACAAATACCATAATGTATGCTTTAACATTATTGATGAGATATATTTCCAGGAAAAAAGTTTGATCTCATTACGAGACTCAAATTCGTCGAGCTGATAAGTTCGAGAAAGTCGGCTGCTCAAACAGCATGAAGCTAGGGTCTCGCCCTTCTCCCTCCACCCATGACTCGTGCACGTCAGTGTTTGAGGTCCATGACCTGTGCACGTCATGACTCGAACTTATAAGTTTGAGAATGATCGGCAAACAACCGTGATGGACACAAACATTGTGATACGTATTTAGTATATATGCATTCAAAATCGAAGGCGTAGATGATTAGTACTACTCCAACACTGTTGTCTATTTATTAGTAATTAATTGATGAAGGAGTTGTTGAGTTACATAATTAGTAGTGTTATGACAGAGATGTGGTGTGCTAATGGAAACTGATATTTGTTCATTTAGAGGAGGGATCGGAGAGGGTATCTTCGTGGCCGGTATTCCTCTGCACTACAAGACACAAAACTTGCTTGATTCCCCTACGGCCTAAAAGCAGCCAAACCCTCTTTCTCGTCAACAAAGGGTCACTAAACCCTACCAGCTAAGTACTTCCAAACCTGGAGTTTCAATACGTGTCGTCGTCGATCGTACAGTGTGTTTGGGCAAACCGATGCCTGAGTCTTTCCTTGACATCATAGGAAATCAATGTCTAAAATCCCCATTGGTTTATATGGGAACATCTTTAGTTTCTTTAGGATGGAGAAGTACTATAAATATTTCTCTGTAATATGTATCGAAAGAATCTTCTTAAGTATAATGAACTTGGTTCTCTCCGTGCCCTGGACTAACCAACAGACGTTCTATTGGTGAACCACGTAAATCTCCGTGCTGATCTTTACTTTCTTGCTAATCGTTGTCTTTCTTGTTTTTATCGATTTCTCTGATCCGTGCGCGCATGATATTAGTTATTCATGAAGATTATTGGAATTACTCCTAGCTAACTAAGCTAGACTTACTAGACCATGTTATTTATAACATGGTCTAGTAACAAGGTTATGAGAGGGTCACACATGCAGATGCAGACATCATACAACAACCAAAACCCTAATAAATTGTTAATGATGGACTTGTTTGCATCTTGCGAACAAGAGGTTGGTCTACTGGTATTAGCACTGATTTTGAATATGGGACTCCCAGAAGCATAGTCCTTATGTGGCGCTTTACTATAAAACAAACTTATATCACCTCTTATAAAAAAAAAAAACTTGTTTGCATCTTGCCCTTATTATTATTCTTCATCACGATGTGAACCCTTGCAGCAAACTGCGGGCTCGTTTGAGATGCGTTTGATTTCCACCTCGATCGAGCTCACGAATTTCATCAACTAATCATTCGTGCCATCTCTTATCTCTAGTAAACGACCAATTATCTCTTGTTGTTGACCATGATATGATATGGCATTAAAGAATGGTCACATCGAGTGTCAATAACTTGAGTTATGCAGACAGACGACCGACTGTTCTTTCTGATGATGTCGGTCGGTATACGGAGGCCAACTGGACTGACATGGAATCGAAGCATATATATATAGTCATGAGTCCTACCACATATATTTGTAGCTAGCTAGTTAGGCCTATTGGTCTAGTTTGGATGATTCCTACATATTTTTTTTTTTTTTAAAGGTAACTTAATTAATCCCTACTCACTAGCTAGGTAGATCGAGCAAATGAAATTGAACTATTATTGTTTAGCATGCAAACATTCAGTATCATGGATCCATCTGTTGATGACCGAATTAAGAAACCATTATAATAGAGAGAGAGAGAGAGAGAGAGCTTGATTAATTAATTATTAATGGTTAATATGATGATCTGCCGGATGATCGTAAGGCCAGGATGATCGCTTGTATGCATTCACACGTCGCCGTGACTGGTAAAAGATTCCCGATCCACTGGGACATAAAGCTATTTGTTATTAGCAGCAGCGAATGAAAGAATCAGAGGCCGCAGGCATAATCATGAGGCATTTGTCCAATTTTATTCGGAACTATGGTAATTAATGAATGATTAAAACAAGGAAAATCCTTGACACGATTGAATGTTGTTTGTCGCTGTGCGGGGGAGTGGTTGGTTGGTATATGATCCCAACAGATAGGACACAGGTGGGGTGATTAGTGATGATAGCTAGCTAGTTGCCCTGCTGCCAAGCAAAGATATATGGTGAAGGCTATAACTTATGTCTACAGCAGTTTCGTTGGCGTTGGGCCATACCATGATCGATGATCATAAACAACATACAAATGGTTAGTTCCAATTTTCAAGAATTCGTTGATTCCAATAATGCGAGTTGTTAGGAGAAGTTCGATAATGGATCATATACCATTTACTCGGCACATCTATTCAAACGAAAGCCATTCGTATAGGTTTGAAATCAAGAATCATTTGGTCCCGATAATTAATTCGAGTTGAGGTTTGATAATGAATCATACACTGTTTACTTATTAACACACCAAATCAAACGAAAAAGCCACTTATACACATATTTGAAGTTTGCACAGGTCCGGATACTATGTGCTTAACAGAACAGATGAGGGTCGTTGGGATTCGAAGAAAAGGTCTCTCGGTCACGAAAAGTTCTGATACCATGTCAAGAACCAGTTATTCTCAATAACTCGAGTTGTTGAGAGATGTTCAATGATGGATCATATACCACTCACTTAACACCAATAACTCGAGTTGTTGGAAAAAAGGGTTTGTATCAAACTCCCTCAAAGGAAAGTCAACTTGTGGAGTTTTAGGTTGAACATATATCATGTCTTGTGCTAAACCAACATGCATACGGTTTGCAGACATTATAAGCATATCATTCCTTGTGGTAAACGGTTTGCACACATTATAAACATATCATTCCTTGGGGTAAACCAATAGTTTATATTGGAGGGTTACAAGGATTTGAAACTTTGACCTCTAGGCCAAAGGCTATAATACCATGTGAACGAACAAACCACTTAGTTTCAAGAACTCAAATGGTTTGAAAATGGTTTGTAGAGTTTTTTATACAAACAAGCCTAGCCTATATATGGCCAGCATGTAAAACACTCGCAGACAAGAGGAGGAGAAGGAGGAAACGCACAGCAGAAAAGAGTAAATTAAATGGGAACATATTGGGCCTACGACAAATGATAATTAACAATGCAGAGATCGATCCCACAGTAGCAATTAGGGTGGAGTTGACTCGATTGATTTGGGCTAATTTGAACTCCATCTGTAGCCCAAGTGCTGCATATATAATGATGTTCCCCATTAGCAAAGGAATCCTCGAAAACTGCTGATTGGTTTACGTTTCATGTTGTTTGGTAATCAATATGATGATCTCTGTATTATGGGTTATAACCCACTAGATTTGGTTTCTTAGTCTATGCCCTTTCGGGAAAGTGGGAGGGAACCCTAAAACAGTATATACCAATTAATATCATCATCATTCGTTCGTTTTTTGCTTTACTTACCTGCAACTCATTGCTGCAAATTTGCAATGTATGCGTAGGCATGATGATTAATATATATAGGAGCTCCCACAGTTGTTGTTTAATGTCTATGAGTAGTGCTCAAGATTGATCATCAGATTGCAATTAACATCAGGTGGGTCACTAATTAACCTGCTTCCCACTAATTATTCTGCCTCCATTTCTGTGATTGTTTGTTTATAACCACGGTTTTGGAAAACCAGCTAGTCTCGATATATATATATATATACACACACACGTAGTTTTCCATAGTCTTGTCCTATCATCATTTGTTTAAATCAACAATTGGTATTAGAAGTCGTGAATATTCGAACATGAGAGCTCTTGATTAAGCCGATTTGATTTCTTTTATTTTCTGGGTATATACATCTATAATTTAAACAAGCTAGTTTCTGAAATTCCTAAATTCATTAGAAATTAAAGAAGAAGAAAAAAAAGAAGAGTTGATATACGTACTGATCAGCTTTGATGTCTACAGCATATGACTAGTTCTTGTGTATTAGGTATTTCATTATCAATTAACGATTTTAATCAATATGGAAGAATATAATGCAAATGCTTATTTTACTTGTATATATGTGGCGGACAAAATTAGGGTTTCCCGTTATGGTTACACATAATTACGTGGCCCCATACTCGACCCAAGTTTTAGAAGCCCATAGTTTTTTCCATCTTGGTTTGCAAAGGAACATATACCTGTTTTCTTATGTGAGGGACTGAGGGTCGACTGTAGTCAAGATACTATTTTCTTATGTATTATTGGCTACCATCACTAATAGTGTGTTTAATTATAGTACTCCCCTAATTTTATAATACATAAAAATTATGACAGGTTTACGAATTTGATAAATGTCATTAAGTATAAACCTTAAACCAACCACTCACAAAAAAAACTAATTACGAGTGTTGTTTTTAAAAAACTGTAAACAAACAATTTATATTTAAATCTCGATCTGAGATTTTCCAAATAATATTAACGTGATTTGACAAATCTTGTAACATTTTGAGTTAGAGTGATATGTTTCAGCTACATATCTATCCGAAGGATAATAAAATAATTGAGCTCGTCCATTAATTTCAGCCAAATAACAAAGTTTTTTTTTCTTTTCGTAACATTTCAGACATATACC